AACGCGTATCACATGCACGACCACGACCACTTGTAAGTCCTGTTTTTTTTTACATTTTTTTTTTGTCAACGCTCATACTACAATGTATTAAACTCGTGTAAATCGTGTGTCCGCCATTAAAACCCGTGTCGAACACGAATACCAGTTTCTCGTAGAGAATCCATTAAAATAAAAACCGGCATCTTGGGATGAGTTCATTAAAATATTATAAAAACAAGACTGTCACGGGTCACCCGATACCGAGGGGCACAGATACACTAAAGTCGTCCAACAATATAAGAACAAACATTAGACGGCAAGGTGGTCGTTTCCACACTGCGTTGCTGTATATTTATTTAAATATACATAACAATCTATGTACGTTTTTACAGTATAAAAAAGAAAATATTTATCAATTTTCATTATACCAAGCGTGTCTTAGATGATTTTGTAATTAAATTATAACTATAAATATATTTTAAAAACATACATATAGCCTCTTCTTAAGAGAATAACTATGGTCTGAAATTAGAAATGTTTTATTCTGTCAAAAGAGAATTTCCTAAAATATAAATTTAATCCTCAAGTACATTATTTACAAAATCTTTCGTAGCCACCCCCTTAAAATGATTCGTCATAGGCTCGATTTCTCGGCTATAATTACAACTCGACGGACGGCTTTGGCGATTAAGTCCGGTCACGAGAAGAAGGATAGGTAGGTATACAGCAAAACGGTCGGCCAGATTCCCCGAGGGAAATGACTGGGCACCAATGTCTGTGCAAGTAGAAAAAAACCGGTACGCCGCTTGCATATTATTTATAACATTAAGACGTTGTATTGTTATCCTTTGGGAAAGGGGAGGATGGTCAAAGAACTTTTTGCAGTCGCCGTTTACAACAATACACGAGGCGGCGTTGTTTAATCTACACTGAAAGTCGTAATGCCCGCACCAGCTCCTCCGAAAACCGTTAAACTGTCATTAAACGATTTAATATACTTTCCCCCCCCCCCAAAAAAAAATCGTTTTCAAACACTCAGCCGACTCCCGACGATTTGCAATGCACGCGCACACGCCTATCATTGAGCCACGACTGTACACCCAAAGGTAGTAATTAGATATACACGAATACGAGATGCTGTTTGAATCTGTGGTGCGAGAGACCCGGTCCGACGTGTAAATACCATTATAGCAGCCGTCCTCTTTCGGCTGTGTGGCAGGCATAAATTATTTTTAATCGTTTAAGGTTCGAATTTTGTACCCATATTCCGCGCATTCCTCCGTAGCGGCCAGTGTATAGTAGAGGTTTATAAACACACGAATAATATCAGCGCTATGATTCACCGCTATCATATCAAATACAACGGATAGTGAATATTTATGGAAAAAAATAATTGTAATAAATATTATTTCGTGTCTAATATTATGATATTTTTTTTTTCCCGTTAACTCCGACCTTATAATACTGTGTATGTAAAACGACTGGATCTCAAGATTATAATATATTTTATAAATACGAGGTGACACGTTTTTTTTCCCTGTATTCGATACATCCATAGCTATATTATTTATATAGTATTCGTGTCTCTTTTTTTTTGTCTTTCTCTTTCTCTCTTGTCTTTTTCAAATGAATAACACCAAACCGCACCCGATAAATAATGTATCTTTTATTGTGTGTTCAGCGTTACGCGTGCATAACCATGTATTTTGCAAACATTTTTTTTTTGAAAGACACCTATTGACACCGTGTCGTTATATCATTTTGAAAAACGCAGGTGTATTATATAAACCGACACATTCCAGTGTGTATCGCAAAATGTTTTATTATTGTGTTTTTTTTTTTTTATAATGCCGCGCGCCTACCGAACTCGATAAAACTGCTCATTTTATGTTATATTATTATGGATAGAAGTCTATCATTATAATATATGTAAAACGTAATTCGATTTAGTTTCTAAACGAACGTACGCGTTTTTTTTTCCATAAACATATTATTTCTATTTGAACACGTCTAGTCTTAATAGTATACTAAAGTATACACTATTAAGTTAAAAAAAACATCGGTACAAATTAATTATTATAGCCGTGTAGATTGTATAAAAGTCAGCGTTGCACAACAAGGTACACGACGACGACACGACGTTATGGAATTAACATAACGTTACACATAGATTCTATCGAAACGCACATGGTAGATAGAGAGAGCTGATGACTTTATAGGCATATCGATTTTATTTTTTTTTATCGAATACTCGCTTCGTAATGTCGAGATGCACCGCTCGTTATAATATTTTTTAATCACCTACAAATACACATAGATTTTTTCATCAGATTGTACCTACATTTCCACGGTGGGATGGACTAAAGATGAACAGTGTGTGAACTCCTTGGCCGCAAAACGTACAAGTCTCGTGCACAATAAAGGGCTGTTACTTGTTACAAATGGCAGCGTCAATCGGTTATCGAAACACAGTAACAAAATAATATGGAAAGCGACCTGTTACGAGAAACAGGATGTTGGTTGTATGTTGTCCTTGATAAACTACCACTAATATTATTTAAATATAGGGTTTCACTCGAGGCGTTGCGTAATTTTGGCTAATAAGACAACTCTATCCGATTCTTGCAGCATCTTCCATGAATTATGGGTGCAATGATCATAAACTATAATTATTATTTAGTAGAATTGAGAACAAAATCAATCTGCCAACTCTGCTAAACCGCAAACCCTTAAAGCGACGACTACCTCTTGACAGCAAAACCGTACCGTCGGCTTGCTTTGTTAACGGAATTTCAAATGAGTTTAATTAATTAACTATGTTTTCTAGAAATAAAAAAACCAAACGATGACGAGTATTTATTTTTTTAAGCGCCGCATATATTTTTAGTGACATATCTTACTGAACCAGTCCATTTAAATTAATGTTGGTAATTTATTTACGTCATTTAATCTTAACGATAATCCGCGGCGCATTTATAATTAACGCACCTATAGACAAATGTCGGTTGTCAGGGTTTTCTCGAGCACCTTTTATCAGAAACAATTCGGTAGACGATTCCAGCTAAAACAATATGTATAATGATTCTTCTCATTGATCATCTCAATAGTCGCGTTTTTACATATTATAATATAAGATGTATTAATATTATAATATACGTGTACTGACAATGAGTGAGTTATTTTGTCGAAAATATCTATAAAATATGCAGATATATGGTGTAAGCATTAACACGAGTGTTATACCCGGCAGCAGCTGATTCCAAGGACGTCGAGATTTTTTCGAGAGTGGCTGGTTGCTGTGGCCGCCGCCATTGATGCACACAGAACTCACTTTAATGTAGCGATAACAGCCAGCGCCATTTGGCCACTTAGTTTTAGTCGTTAATTATTATTCGTAATGATAATACCAACCGCATTTGCAAAACATTAAGTAGTATTTAATATAAAAAAAAAAAACCCAGGAAATAGTTTCCTGCGACATAAAATGTTGAGGATTTTTTCATTTGATATTGGTCAATGGATTTTTTCTCCACACATTAATTATTTATGTTCGGTCGATATGTTCTTATGTATTAACATATAATATGTATATTTTTAAAAAACAAAAATTATGGTGTGCACCGATGGCACAAAGAAAACTTTTTTACGCACGTTTAGAAATGTTTTTCGTTCATTTTCAACGAATAACTTGTTTGATTTATCGACGTTTTCGATGCTAAACAGATAAATTTGCATCCAGGCTCGGGTAGTATTATTTTACCTAATACATTTATTATACCGTAACCCCGCGGTAATAATCAAATATGGCTCCATCGCGTTTTAAACGATGAAACCGTCGGTGGTCAACAACCGTCGAAAACAAAGGTTTCTCTATGTTTTGAATAATTAAAAGTAAACGATAAATATTGTCGTTGCTTGAAAGTTTCCTAAACACCGGGTCATACATTGTGTAATAGAATAATTTCTAATTAGTAATAACTAATAAGTAACGTCAAATTTTAAAGTAAAATTCTCGTAAGCCACGTCTTATTGGAACTCGTTTAGACTGAAATATAACGATGTCCAGTTTATTGTGTATCGACAACTCTATCACTGAAGACAACAAGGTAACAATAATAGCTATCCCAGTATATGAGCCCCCTCTAGCGCCTTACGGTACCATTAGCTAGGAGATTCGTCACCGTCCGAAATTTTAATTAAAACACGAGTTACGACCCTCTGGCTGCATATAGATAGAGACAAAGTATGTCATCATACAATTATAATTGAAGGATAATAGGCCATCATTAATATAGCATCGGCGCGATAAGCAACGAGACACGGTATCTTAATACAATATCTAATATTATTATTAACCGTGTCTTGAGCGTGCGGATGAAACAAAATATAAGAAACGGCAAAACCACAGAATATTAAGCAGATGGGTCACTTTCAATGTAAACAACAACTTACGACCATTCTGCCGTTTGGTTGTATTCATAATAAATTATATCTACACACAACTAATATTATTAATAATATATATATATATATATATATATATATATATATATATATATATATATATATATTTAACAGTATACTGATTCACAAACGAGAAGATGGCCGTTGCGTTTTTGTGTGATAAGTATTATTACCGAGTTAATTTTTATCAGTGCCCGGTGCCTGGCAAAACGACCGGCGTTCGTGGGCTTGACATGTTATTTTTTTTATCAACTGATGTATGTATGTATGTTTAAGCGCGTGTACAACACGATTATTATATTTATGTGGATTGCAAAATCAACTAACATCGCCATGTTAAATATGTTTACACACTCTTATTGATTTGGCGAGGGGGGGGGAGAGGACAAAAAAAGTTGCTTATATACAGTAAATACGTTGGTCACGTCTCGAAACAATGGCCTATATTTGTTGCGACCATTGGTTTTTTTTTCGACGTTCGTTGTTGTTGTTGGTCGACCGAAGTAAATAAAACAAAACTCCTATATTATAATAAATGTGTTGTTTTTTTTTTACAGACCGATAAGGCGCCCGCGGCGCAGTCCGTACCAACTCGTATATACACACCGTAGTGTTTTAGCGGATCCCGCGGGGACAACTACACGCTATAACTATTACTTCTATTAAAACTACATACTACACAACTACAACTGTTTTGTAAACATTTATACGGATCCCTGTGATTTTTTTTTTTAAACAATTTTTCTAAAAAATCGCCTAAACTATAAATATCTTTCCGCGTGTGTGTTATTCCCAATGGCGTACGACAATGGTTGTTGTTGCGCCACCGGTGTAACCGCGGTCCGGGCGCTGTGATAACATGTTATCATGAATGCGGTTTTCCCGTCGTCCGTTTTCCTCCGACGACTATGGCGGCGCAGGCTGTTGCTCGTCGTCTTCCTACTCGGTTTCCAAATGGCCTCAGTGGCCGGAGCCGAGAAAACGTCAGAATTCGTCAAAGGCAAAAGTAAGTACCTGTAAAACAGTATATAAAAAACCGTTATGGATTTACATGTAAAGAGGTTGCAAAGAGATCGTTCCCCCCATGTCATAACTTATAGGTCTAAGATCATTTACAAAAATATAATATTTAATGCTTATGTTGTAAATATGTATGCAAAATGTACTTAATATATATTGATATGGTTTTGCTTAAAACGCTAGACTTAGTAGTAACAACGGCTTCACTGTTGTAAAAGAGTGTACATGAAATTTACACTTGTTATTATATTACCAATTATTTTTCCACGGCATTAGACGGAGCTGGCAAAAAAAATGTTGACTATTCAAATAAGTCGAGTCATTTAACTTACGAGACAATAATTTATTTTATGAAGATAAATTCTGATTCTAAGAAATCCTATCACGGTAATTAAAAAATCCATATATGTTGAGAATGGCCATCAACTTAATTTGTCCATAAAATGTAGTAAATTTATGCCAACTCGGTGTCCCGTGGTTAGTCAAGTACGAGTAAAAACGGCTGTCTACATTTTTAGTACTAAACGAAAGTGTGACATCTCACCCTAATAATATGCTATTAAATTTTTAGAAATGTCATATGTCTGATTAGAATTTTTAAATCTTACCGTCACAGAGAGTGACAGTAATGCGTTACTGTAAAATTGTTGTATAGTAAATTTTTTTCGTGTCCTTGCAGCTCGCTTATTACGGATTTAGCACGACGCCTGTATATATTATTATAACGTCAGAGAATTCCAGATATTACGGTCGTTTGGATAGTAATAATAATAATTATTATTATGATTAATATTATGCTTGGTAATGGTTATTAACATACACAAGTGCCGAGAGAAAAAAAAAATTCATAAAATAATCACAATATGATTTCTCGATTCTTTGAAACAATAAACATACACATAACACACGTGTATGTATATTTGTTTTTTAACTTTAGTGGGGTTATACGTGCAATGCCGAAAAGAATAACTGGACCACCACTGACTGCACAGTATTATAACCAAGGAGCAATAATTTCTAAAATCTGCGACCGTTTTAAAACTACTAAGATTAAATCCAATAAATAATTATACATATATATATATATATATATATATATATTTGTTCTCACGATGTTCTATCTCGTCAGCAAAATAATAGGTACGGCGCATTTCTATTTCTCTCTGATCGTGTCTCTGAGTTTGCAAATTACTGACCAAGTTTCTTATTATTCTTAAAGTTATGTATCTTGTAATATTGTGTGTTACACACACTCCTTTTGCACTTTTCTCTCGCATATGCGGTTCGCCGAAACGTGTCGAACGCAATCGAGACTAGGTCGTGTACCCGTCACAGCGGTTTTGCACAGTCAAGACTATGCAATAATGATAAATAATAAATTAATGGCGACCGACCGCGCACTCACAGCGCTGTTAAACGCGAGCATTGTATTTTATCGTGGAAAATAAGTAATAATAAATGATACCGTAGATAGAATTTACATTTTTTTCTCTGTAGGTCGTCGCCGTTCTGTCGATCGGGATAATGTTAAGAACCTTCGTAATGTACTTAAAGTTCGATAACAACCCAATAGCCCAAAAGAAGCCGGGCCAGTAGGTGAACAGATTACAAGACCAAACCCCGTAATTTTAGCATTACTATTTTATATTTTTGTTTGAAAAAGACTCGGGTTACCCCATCTGGTCTTGATATAAAACACAAATTTTAGCAAAATAATCATTCTGAATTTATAATGTGGTTTTAGACACCAGATTATTTTGATCTAACCGCGAGTCGATACGATTTGGCGCTTTTAAGTCGCTGCGGCTTGAGATTACTCGTGTACAGGTACAACTGCAATATTATAATATGGTGTCGCACGCGATTGTATTATATTACCCAGACTTAACGCGTGTTTAGCGTTACTATTACCATCTATAATAATAATAATAACGATAAATAAAAATATAATTATTTCGGACACGTCGACTAGCGCGCATATCTGTTGTCGATGAAAAAAAACAGGTTTATGTTAAGTCTGCATGGATTTATTATTGAGATCTGCATATAGTGTGTGTGTGTGTGTGTTATTTTGAGAAACAACGAAGAATATAGTTTTGAAAAATTCACGCTCGACCGAGCGGATGAATCGTCGTCGGGTTGCAACTTGTCAACCGATCAAGCACACTCGGCCGTTCGCGGTGGCAGCCGTCGGTATGCGTTTGACGGGCCACTTCACAGGTTATAAATATTAAGTATAAAATACCTATTCCGCCTTTTCTCTTTTGATTAAAATAACAATAACTATTATTATAAAAATATGTATTTGCAAACGAATAAACATTATTCCGCCCGAACAATACTAAAACGGAATAAATAAAAAACAAACTCGACGCTTGTAAAATTTGTTGGGTGTCTCTTTGTGTTTACAATTTACATTCATTAAATATCCACGAAAAGAATAAGGGGTGTGCAATTTATTTTATTTTTTAATTTTATTACTCAAAATCAAATGTTACTCCATAGTTCATAATTATTACTTATGTATTTTTCAAAATTAAAAATTGTAATTTTGTTTACACTGTGCGATACGAAAATAATGACAATGAAAAAAATCTGTAATAGTTTAGTGTTGAAGCTTAAAGCTTAAAACATCAAAACTTAATTCAAAAACATTTTTTTACCAAAGTGATATTGTAATAATTAAATCGTCGTGGAAGACCTGAGAATCCTGCATTTATTATACATAATAATTTAATTAATATTATTAATTTAATAATAATAATATTATTATGTATAAAAATCTGCACGTTTGTATATATTATACCGGTTTTAACATAGTTGTTTAAAATGTTGAGGCCATTTTCGAAACGCTTGACGTGAAGTTTTTTCATGCTGCTTTCGCCGCCTGAAATGCGATAATTTAATTATTTTCATATTACGGAATTCCCATACAGGTCATACACAGGTAATCCATCATTTTCATTTTATAGTCACCATTTTATTACTTGTTAAGAATTTCAATAAATTAACATTGTGATTCTGTTTTCTATAACCTCGTTAAATGTAGCCGGCGGCAGCTAAAACGATTTGTACATCGTTCTTCTTTTGGCATAATCTTATGCTGCGTAAAATAATACCCGAGTTAACCGGATACTCATCTAATTGCGGCTGAATCCAGAAGAAAAAAATTAGTGAAAAAGCACACACCTCGGGATTAAAAAACGACAATCACCGAGTAGTAGTTCTTTTATTGAACTCGTTTTTTCCTTACACTGAAATACTTCAGAAAATACTATAGTCATTCGTCAGTTCTTGTAAAGCACAAGTTCAAAAGAACATTTTCCTTTTAAGGGACATTCCTGGAACAAAATTCCGTTTGTTTTTTCCCGTATTTTTTTATTTTACAGTTTAGAGGACACTACACATTCGTAATTTATCCACGAAAAGTGGTTTTGCGGAGGACAAAATATACGTGAGGGCGGTATTTAAAGTAACCGTCTTTATAAAAAAAAATATTTTGTATAGATATCATAAAAATAAAAACGCTACGGCATAAATAACGTTCTTCTTTATACATTGTAAATATTTGGTTAATGTACTTTTAATACTGGCCTCACATACTTGCTCCGCGCAAAGCAGTTCTGATGATAAACAAATTGTTTATGTTTTCCTTTAGAAATGACTGTGATAGTCGTAAAAAAAAAAATGGCAAGAATTAAAGAACCCTCATTAGTCATTACTGTATTAATATGTATACACTATAGTTCAAGCTCTAAATCAAGATTTTGCAAACAATTGCCTATACTTCTTAGAAAAGGGCGGTCCGCGGTTAGTTGTAAATTAAATGAGAAAATAATTAATTCTATTATTTATAAATTAAATAAGTATATTATATTTATTTATTTATTTATCATCGACACGATAAGAATCTAGGTAAAATGATAACACACTTCGTGGCGGACCATGATAATATGTGTATGGACCATTCTAATCTTGGTAAAATTACCAAGCACCGACTATAATATCTATTAACAGGGTTGTCAGGCATCATTTGGGAGAGTTTGGACAGTCTAATATGTATTTTCCTAATCTACATTACACATGCTATTTCTTGTTTATTATAAATTATATTTTGCCCAATTCCATTCAATCTGAAACCTTTCCCTTCTATTCAATAGATCTGAAAAAATAAAAAGCTTTCTGGAATTTTAACATGTTGTCAAAAAAAAAACGGAATGTTTGGAATCCTCCAATTCCAATAGAGTGGCAACCACGATTTCAAGAAAGTTAGGTTACACCAACAAAACATGCCTTACGACAAAACAAAAGAGTTTGGGTTAACGTACTTAACACGTAAATCACGATACCGATTAATTATATTTTAGTTTTTAAACCAAAACAAGCGGCGCCGTCGGATCAGCCGCAAAAGGAACAACCAGTCGAGATACTGTTGGTGTATATAATGACCGTCCGTATGATGTTTAATTCCATTATTAATTACCATGTACGTGTCAAAAATCAAAATCTTATAATTACACCCCGGAGCCAATTCGGTCTCGAACCGAATATCACACCTATCGGCCGGTTCCCACGTGTACAGTGTAAAATAAAAAAGGTACTATACATATATATATATATATATTTCACGATACTCGAATGGTGCTTTTCACGCGCGTTTTGTTTTGTTTATTGTTTTTTGTCTTCGAGACATTTTATGTTGCGCTATCCGAAGGATAATAATAATGTGTTATAAGTATAGCCAGAACAGACCGATCGGTAGACGTGGAAATGTCTCTCGCCATCTGAAGAGATCCCTCTCGCGAACGGCCGCGTTTAAAGGTATTATGGGTACAACAGGTACATACGCATATTATAATAACCGCGTGCACGAGTAAAGAACAAAAAGAAATATATATTTATTTATATTGTATAATATGTATATAAGAGTAGGAGGAACGAGAGAAAGAGAGGGGAAAAAACGTATAATTATTATACACAAAGCCTCCGGGCACGATGACTGGGCACATACCTATCCACTCGAAGCGTACCGAATACCATGTACCACACATCGGTGTACTATTATTATTACTATTATTATTATTATTATTATTATTATTATTATTATTATTTTATTATATTGTACGGCCGGTTTTTGATTCTATGTAAGACAGCTGCCCCAGGGTGCGGTCGACGGGGTTCTTCTTCTACTTGACTCCGCCGGCGCAGGTGATTTTCCTATGTGTAACTTATATACATATAGAAATACATGCTGCATAATATTAATATTATATGCAAGACATTTAAAAAAAATCTATTTTTTAAACGTACCCCAATGGAATTTATGACGACCGTCTGATAACCAGTAAATCGTCTTATCGTCATCATAAGTGTTCATTACTGGTTGCCGTTCATGCATCACCAGTGTGACTTTTCCTTTAGTTGATATACAATAATTTTATGATGATAAAAACCGTATGGTCGTCGGCGAACGAGCGGCGGAAACTATTCTAAACGATTCGTGCGGCGGTCGACAACGATGGTGTTATCGTGGCGCCTCGTCCTTCTTTTTCTCCACCTACACGCCTAAGCTGGGCTAAGCACGATTGTGCCTAGGTGCACGAAGTGTATGTATATTACAATAATATTATTAGCGAAGCCGCGTAGTTTCTTGGCTTTGTGTATAATATTCATAATAACACATATTCGTTACTAATGTAACTTACCCGTTTGCCGCGTTGAGATCACAGCGCTTTTTTCGTGTTTTGGCTGAACTATATCGGAAGAGTTTGTTAAAATATTGTAATTGGTTATTTTGCAATCAATTTTGTTGTTGTTGCAAAACATACGAGTCGAACGAGAAGTCGATACCAGCTGTCTTCGATGTTAGGATAACAAAATGTGGCGTTCATGCGCAGAGTTCGGCGATTTCAATGTCCGATAAAACGCTGTCGCCAAATTGGTTAATTCGCTTCAAGACGATGATTATTTTTTCAAACAACACGTTGGAATGGATAGTTGTCGTCGACCACCTTGTTTTCGATGTCTTGACACGACATAAATTAGTCGATAATTTTTATATATATATATATACTAAATAAAATATCCGACTTGGAATGATATTAATCGCCGAGTAGTGTGTATAGAGAGAGCGCTACAAAATATTATGTTTTACCCGTTTAATATTCGGAGTTGATATATATCTCGAAATACATCTTTGGAATAATCGAAGAACCGCCGCGCCGAGTAAATAAATAACGTGCCGCTCTATCGTACGCATAGATCTAATGGCGAGACACAAACTTGTTTAAAGGGGAAAAAAACGAACACTTTTCGAATGGCTTTGGTCGACAGCTCATTACGCATTCGAATGCCTGTAAACGTGTTTACGGAGACTTTAACGGTGGAATTGTACAAACGAAATTACTTACAGTTTGTCCTCAACCGCGCTTTACATTCCGCACTTATTGCGCTCATCGCTAAAATTTAACTTTTTCATTTTTTTACAAAACATTATACCTGTGTATGTTATTTGAATTTCACAGGCATATACATAACTATAGGTATTTTTGGTTGGAAAGCATGTGCACTACATACCTACTTCTACATAAAATTCATAATTTGCTTTCATAAATCTTAAAGAGAAATAAGAATAATGGGGAATCGAGACATTTTGGGGTTAGGTTAGACGGATTACATTGATAAAACGAAAAGAGTTAGCATACAATAATTTTATAGCAATATCATAAGTCGCATTTTTCAACTTTTAGGAAAATATTTGTAAATTATTTGCTACTAAAATTCTAAAAGTGTTTTGTTATTTCTAAAAATATAGATTTTATGACACAAGCAATTTGAAAAAAACAGATTTTTAGTCAATATATATATATATATATATGTCGAGGAGGACCAAATAACCAAAATTGACAAAATGTGTTTTATCAAATTTTGTCATCCAATCACAGAATTTATACATCGTATAAATTAAGTACTAATAAAATATGATAGCTAAATATTATTTTTATATTATCCACGTGTTTTTCCAAAAAAAAAAAAATTATTGCTACATAACCAATTGGAGGAAAGATGTAATACCATCGTGTGAATTTTATACATTGACATTTATGGATTTTATCCACAAAAAGGCCCCCTCCTAGTTAGTCCTATGACTTTAGCTTCGGCCGCAAGGTATTAGTAGTTAATTGGTGTGCAAGCAAAAAAAAATGTATTTAATATTATCCCTTTAAATGTCCGTTTAAAATTATAAACGTTTTTGGGGTGTAATACCTGAAAATGATTAGTACCTATAACATAAAGGAACTCCCTTTTATAGTGTTTTATTCCTCGTATAGTTCTGTACACTTTTTACAAATATTTCCAACCTTTTCATTTGGTGTATTTCACGCATTGTAAACGGCCAGTGGGCGTGCGTTTGTTGCATTTTTGTGGGAACCCTCGCAGCGGGACAACAGAGTCGTTTAAAATTGTGCACTCGAAACATGGATAAAGCAGACAGACCCCTTGCTGACCGCACCCTATTCATTTTAAAAATAACGAAATTTAATTATATTTAATGTAATCGTGTATAAATTGGATGCCTATAATAATTTTTTAAACAAAAAAAAAATATGATATTTCAAATTAAAACTGTCGAAATAAAATTTGTTGGGAACCCACGTTTTCTTACTTATCGACAGAATCCGTACCGAAAGATGAATAGGCATATTTTTCAAAAACAGAGGGCAACTGATTTCGGGTTAGAAACCAGTTGGCTCATCAGTACAAAATCACTTGTATGGTTTCCCATATGCTTTTAGCCGATAACGATATTATCCGTCTGGACATTTTTAAATTAAATTAGCAATTTGAATATATTATTATAAATATAAATGCCACGAATAAAATCGGGAATAACTACAAGGCAGCCAAATATATAAACTGGTTTATTGCGGGGTCAATTAAAAATATTTTTTCATCAAAGCAACAAAGCATAACCGTGTATTGATAGCATCGCATTTACACTAAAAAAACATATAAGCAAATTATATGTGTCCCACGATAAAAATCCTTGTTCGACAATAATTAATAATTTTTAGGTACACGTGTAGATTTCTAGTGCCGTACACTTCAACATTCAGGATTAATTGATTAATATATCAGTACCTAATTGCCAGTTGCTCGTTTTCCTGGCTTTACCGAGAAAATCTACATATTATTAACTATGTATGTCCCTATTTTAACTATATGTTTTTTCGTACATATATTACATGATTACATGATTCATCAACAACCATCCATTTACGTTCTGCTTTTCATTAACTTCCTTTTCATGTATCTAGAAGGAAAACCATTATATATTATTGTTCATTAATTTTTCTCCAATTTGTGTAACCACCACTTAAGATTAAAAAAAAACTGATAATTTAATAAGTTCTTTCAGTTTTTACAAAAATTTAACTCTAACCCGATTCTGTACTTTCAAATTAAAAAAAAAATATTAATGATGCGTCATAGACAAATAGTTATAGATTCGTTTAAACAAAAGTGTAGCAAGAATTCTAATCTAATATTATATCCTTAAGGACATCTGTCTAAAATAGTCTGCTGACCGTGTGAATCCACGATGGACAATGTTTAGCCGCAAGGCAGGCGAGATCAATCCAAACGCTGGTTCAATACACATAACGCGTTTTAATTATTAAAGCTGTTTATTTGTAGCAACTAGCATTGTGCAGCTTGGAATTCGATGGGCGATCTCTTGTTGTTACATACAAGAGTAGAAAACTGTTGTTTGGCACCCGTAGTGCAATCGGTTTTTAATTAAAAATTTGATATTATAACACCCGTTCGGCCGTTTCAGATTGTGTTACACAAACGCTCACACAATATTATTCCATTATTATTATTATTATTATTAATGTTATCAACGTAGCCGTCTTCTTTTTCTTCTTCTTCATCATCATCGTCAACAACAACAACAACAACAATGAATAAATGTAACAATAACGTGAGAATGACTAGCAGCGTCGTCGTCCACACATCATTGTTGTTGTTGGTTAGAAGGCACTCAAAACCGTCGCGGTCGCACATACCAATCCATGAACGCGCGCTTCTAAAACCCCCGGGCTCGTATAGCCGTCTAAGATTTTGAGGAAAATTTCCTGTTGTGCTCTCTAAAAAAATAAGTCTGGAAAAATCAATTAAAACCACCAATCTTAATAAAAATAGTTTAATAAGCAGCTAATAATACAAAACTTACTCTCAATACTAATCATTGAATTACTAATTATTTTCAGTATGCATCGGTACTAATGGTCGGCTGTCCGTCCCTTCAAACCGGGATCACCATTACCGAAACCTCAAAGACCGATATACGAACTGCACGTATGTGGACGGAAACTTGGAGTTGACTTGGCTGCAGGACGAACACTTAGACCTCAGCTTTCTGCAGCACATCCGCGAAGTCACTGGTTACGTGTTGATCACCCATGTAGACGTTAGCAAGATCGTATTGCCACGCTTGCAGATCATTCGTGGTCGCACCCTGTTTAAACTGGCCGTCAAAGAAGAAGAGTTCTCTCTAATGGTCATGTTGTCTAAAATGAACAATCTCGAATTACCAGCTCTCAGAGGTAAGAGTCTAATGTCTTTTTCTTTTTAAACGTGCCTTCTTAAGATTATCATTGTTTAACACCCGTGTCCCGCTTAGATATTTTGGCCGGCAACGTGGGCATGATTGACAACTACAACCTGTGTCACATGCGTACTATCCAATGGGAGGAGATCATCACCGGCCACGGTGCCAAATCCATGTACATGTACAACTTTTCCAACTCCGAACGCGAATGTCCGCCCTGCGACAAATCGTGTACAGGTGGTTGTTGGGGAGAAGGACCACACAACTGTCAAAAGTTCTCGAAGATGTACTGTAGTCCTCAGTGTTTCGGGGGTCGATGTTTCGGGACCAAGCCCAGGGAATGCTGTCATTTGTTTTGCGCGGGCGGTTGTACGGGACCAAAGCAGAGCGATTGCCTCGTAAGTACAAACTCCTCGCGGTCGATCAATGTTGTACAGTATGAATAATGGTATCCCGAATTCAAATTTTTTAAGGCATGTCGGAATTTTTACGACGACGGTGTTTGCACCCAAGAGTGTCCACCCATGCAGCGTTACAATTCCATCACGTACTCGTGGGAAACCAATCCGAATGGAAAGTACGCATATGGAGCGACCTGCGTGAAAAACTGCCCGGAACACTTGCTCAAGGACAACGGAGCGTGTGTGCGCAGTTGCCCGCCTAAGAAAAAGGTAACCTATTAATTTTTATTGATTATTGACACGTACGGCATTTTACGATTTTATGTATATATGTATAATTATTTATTTGCAGGCTGTAAACGGCGAGTGTGTTTTGTGCGACGGCCCTTGCCCAAAAACTTGCGAAGGCGTGACCACGATACACGACAGCAACATCGATAGCTTTAAAGACTGCACTGTGATAGATGGTTCGCTGACCATACTAGATCAGTCGTTTAAAGGGTTTCAACAGGTTTTCGCCAATTTCAGTTTCGGTCAACGCATCAAAGCCATGCATCCCGATCGATTAGAATTATTCAGCACGTTGAAAGAAGTCACGGGCTATATTAACATACAAGGATCACACGAAGACTTTAAAAATTTATCATATTTCAGGTAAGTTATTGAATATTTAATACACCTAATGGCCAGATTTGGTGTGTTAATACAATTGGTTTTGTTCAATAGAAATTTGGAAGTGATCGGCGGCCGTACAGTCACTGAATACTTTGCGTCTTTGTATATTGTAAAGACTTCACTAACTTCCCTGGGTTTACGGTCGTTAAAGAAAATCCATTCCGGAAGCGTTGCAATATTGGAAAACAAAAAACTGTGTTACGCTCAGACAATTGACTGGGAATCCATAAAAAAATCGTCGGAGCACCCTAAACTCTTGCAAAACAACAAAAACGAATCACTATGCGGTAAGTTTTTGGCCGTATTATCACAGCTTCGTCGTCCTAACAAACAGTCGAATACATATTTTGCATTTTTTTCTTTATAGTTGACGAAAACGAAGTGTGTGATCCAGAGTGTTCAGATCAGGGCTGTTGGGGTCCTGGACCGCACCAGTGTTTGTCTTGCCGAAACTTCCAATACGACAACCAGTGTTTGCCGAGTTGCAGTTACGTACCTGGGTAAGTACATTTTGATTTGAACTCTATACCATTTTTGTTTTACTAAACATTTTTTTTCATGTTTCGTATATAGAATTTACGAGGCTGGCGACAAGACTTGTGCGGCTTGCCATCCGGAATGTGATGGTGGTTGCCACGGACCCGGTCCGGAACACTGTACGAAATGCCGAAACTATCGTGATGGCATGCACTGCGTGTCTCAGTGTCCGGCCACCAAGTACAGCGCCAGTCCGTCCAAGCCCAGCTCGTGTTTGCCGTGTCACGTTAACTGCGTTGGAGGCTGCAGCGGTCCTGACAACACGATCGGTCCCAACGGGTGTCGGTCATGTCACAAAGCCGTGCTTAACGCTGATGCGTCGGTGGTAAGTGTAGAATACGTTTATACAGGCAATTTAATAGCCGTTTAACAGCGAAAAAAATTACTAATTGACGACGTGCAAATATTTATGTTCGATCATTCGCTATAACTCGAGTAAAGAGCAACAGCAAAGGGGGGGAGAGATGTAAAAACACAGGTCTTTTGTAAGTCGTGTATCTGGTTACGATTTCCGTGCCGCATACTACCGTCGTGACCGTTAAGTATTGGATGTTTTTAATGAGTTCGCCATAGTTATCGGTTTTCAACGAAGACCCCCGTTTTGTAAAATCTATAAAGTTAACATACTATCTCGGATAATTATTATTAGGTATCGTCATTATTTGTCTTGGTTCCCGATTGATTAATCCTGATGGCCAATATTTTATTGTTATTACTATTGAATCAACCGTGGTGTAACGTTCATGTTGGATGCATTACAGGAGAGGTGTTTGCATAAGAACGAGACTTGTCCGAACGGCTACTATTACGAATGGGTTGGCCCGGTGGAACAAGGAGGTGCCGCTCTCCGCGCCTTGGCCGGCAAAGCTGTGTGCCGGAAATGTCATCCGCGGTGTTTGCGGTGCACGGGCTTCGGTTTCCACGACCAAGTGTGCCAACGGTGTGCGGGTTACAAAAGTGGCGACCACTGCTTGGACGAGTGCCCCATCGAGTATTACGCCACCACAACCACCCTGCCCACCGGAGAACAGGCACGCGAATGCGTGGCGTGCAACATCATGTGCAGAGGGTGTTACGGGCCATTGGCTTCTCAGTGCCACGCTTGCCGGCATTTCAAAATATTCGAGGTGAGTACTGTGGCTATTAAATTATAATATATAGTGTTGTATACACTATACAGGTGTTTTTTCCGTTCTACACTCGCTTTTGTACGTGCACAATGATGTACTAAACGTTTGTTGCTTTTCAGCCAAACGGCAACCCGTCAGACAATCGAACGGCGTTTAATTGTTCTGGTCAAATCTGCCCGACTTTCGCACCCTACAAGGTGTTCACCAAAGACGACCAAGATCCCTACTGTTCCGCCGACGACGTTAGAATGGCTTCCCCACTGTAAGTATACTAATCCCCTCGCCCATCATGTGATGTGCCTGTGTTTGTTTTTCGCGACGTGTAGTTTATTGAACGTTTATTTATTTTTACAGCCGCGATTCCGAACAAATACCATTGATATTGTTGACTATCGTGTTGTTCGCCGTTTTTGTAATGCTTCTGTTGATGATCCTCGTGTGTCACTGGAGGAAACGGGCCCGGGCCAAGGAGACCGCCGTCAAAATGACCATGGTACTGACCGGCATGGAAGACAATGAACCTCTGCGACCTTCCAATGTTAAGCCGAATACGGCCAAGCTAAGGATTGTCAAGGAAGTGGACTTGAGAATCGGCGCCGAACTCGGAAACGGAGCTTTCGGTGTTGTATACAAGGTGAATTTTATGCCGTTTTTTTAATATTCATTAATTATTATTTGTAAAACAGACCGATAACGTATTGTGTTTTTTATCCACAGGGCGTCTGGGTGGTCGAAGGAGAAAATATTAAAATACCTGTTGCCATCAAAAAGTTACACAAGAAAGACGATATGTGTGCCTATGAAAACACCAGCAAAGAGTTTCTGGACGAAGCCTACATCATGGCCAGCGTTGAGCACGACAATTTGGTGAAACTGCTAGCCGTTTGTATGACGTCCGAAATGATGTTAGTCACGCAACTCATGCCACTCGGTTGCCTGCTTAAATATGTTCGCAACAACAGGGACAAAATCGGATCGAAAACGTTCCTAAAGTGGTGCACTCAAATAGCCAAAGGTAAAAATGAGTAAAACAATAATTGTCGAATCTATATTAACTAATGCCATAATAATGTTTTTTAGGTATGGCGTATTTAGAAGAAAAAAGACTGGTGCACAGGGATCTGGCCGCTCGTAACGTGCTCGTGCAAAACACCAACTGTGTGAAGATTACCGATTTTGGTTTGGCCAAACTACTGGACGTCGATCAGCTAGAATATACGGCCGATGGCGGTAAGATGCCGGTCAAGTGGTTGGCGCCCGAGTGCCTCAAGTACAGGGTGTTCACGCACAAAAGTGACGTTTGGGCGTTCGGTAAGTGTATCAAATTGATTGTAAATACCAAAATAACCGTATCAATAACGACGCGTTTTCTCGCCTTAGGTATAACTGTCTGGGAGTTGTTGACCTACGGAAAACAGCCATACGAAAATGTAGACAAGAAAGACGTACTTGGCCTGTTGGAAAAGGGCGAACGGTTACCGCAGCCGAACATTTGCACCATTGACGTGTACATGGTGATGGTCAAGTGCTGGCTGATCGAAAAGGACAGCCGGCCCAGTTTTGAAGAGTTGGCCGACGAGTTCGCCAAAATGGCCATCGATCCCGGTCGGTACTTGGTCATACCAGGCGATCGGTACTTGAGGTTACCTTCATACTCGTCTCAAGACGAAACTGAAATACTATCAAATTTGGCTACGGAAGGCGCGGACATGAGCATCATGGAAGCGGACGAGTACATGAATCCGGAAATGAGCCATGGAATGCCTGGCCCTTCCAGACTTGGTTCATGCAGCACGGCGGGAGTGGACATGCTTGGGCCCATGCACATCAGGCACAACTGGGATCGCGAACTCCGAAAATTCAGCGACATACATAGATTAGGTAATGTTGCCGGAAATGACATTTAAAAAATTGTATTTATTTAATGACGTCAAATCAAATTTACTGCGTATAAAATATTCTTCTAAGTATGCTCTTTATTAATAATATTATATACTCTTTGACAGATTGTGATACTTCCGATGATCTCAGTAACGGAAGCAAAGCGCAGGTGGGCACGCTGAAGCTGGACTTGCCGCTGGACGAAGACGACTACCTGATGCCGTCGCCGGCCAACGACGATATCGACCACAAGCGCCGGCATGCCCCTGCCAACTATATCGATTTAATCGGTCACCAACACCCAGAAGGTATATTTTCGGCCAGCTGTATTCCTTTGAACTACGAAACTGGGATATTAACATGGTATTTTTTTTATTTGTAGCTGAATACGCCAATGGTTTGCCTAGGCCGTCGGGTTTAACCAAAAATTTCCATCCAGACTTCATACCCGCTCAGGTCAGCAGTGTTGACAACCCCGAATACCACTTGACGGGAGGCGACACAAACGACACTATTGTTACGTCCACTGTCCCATCGGTTGTTACGGGAGCACCCAACAATAATGGTACTACCATCATGGTTGAACCTCAGTCGCCGGCACCCAATGGTGGCCGTAGTCCTGAAGACGAATCGGATCATGAGTACTATAACGACTTTGACCGATTACAACGAGAGCTACAGCCGCTTAGGCGCAACGAAACAACTGTATGACCTCCGAGAATGGGTTCTTGACTTAATAAGTTTAATATTATTTTTATTTATTTTATTCCTGTTGACTCATTTTAAGAATATTCTAAACAAAAATGGTAAATAGCTCTCCGTAGATGAGTTTCTTTGACGCGGGGACAATATTATATATTATAAATTTGTTTTGTTTATATTTTTGTGTCAAAATATTTTATTTATTTGTATATTTATATATTATTATTTAGGTATAACTACTGCTGTGCCATTATTTTCTATGAACCGACTGTACAATTTTTATATATTTATATTTAATATATTTTTATATATATATATTTAAAATCGAACTGTAAAGGGAATATTTGATTTAAGTTCTTCTTTTATTGTTAATAAATTTGGGACTGTGGGTTGTTGCTCGGACAGAACATTAAAAAGCGCGAAGATATTGTGTTGTGGTTTTCCGTGTAAAATGTATGTACTTAAAGACTTAATCAAAAATAATTTTTATCTCAAATATATCATACGATAAATGCCTTAAACAAACACTAGGCGGACATACAAAAATATAAATTTTTACAAAAGGCTGTGATATTTGTTAGTTTACTGTAAATAACTATTTTTTTTTTTTTAACTTATAAATAATATATGATGTATACACATAACTCATAAGTATGTAGACGTATTCATTATTTGTGAATTCTTTATCTGTATTTTATAAAATTTAACTACTGCAATACTTATATGTTTGACAAACTATTCGATCCATGTCGTGTAATTTCTAACTTCAGTTTTTATTTTATTCATTTATATTAAATTTAAATAATAAATTATAGAATTATATACTTTTTGGGTTATATTTAACTCTTGTACTTATATACAATCTTAACAGATTTTGTTAACTTGTTATGTTTAGATCTCTTATTTTTTCACTACACTGTAATTGTATTTTATTATTATTATTATTATTAGTAATAGTAGTAGTTTTAGTTAAAATAAACTTGCCATCAGTTTTATTCTTAGTCACCACGTGTTGCATACCAAAACATTAACACGAAAACCTCCCTAAGCAAATGTCATTAATGTTTTTTTTCTTTTTTGATGTACACTTTTTTTTAATTTATAAGTGCCATTATCTCTTATATGTTATCGTTATAAAAAATTAAACTATACAATCATGAAAATAACAGTTGATTTTGATCTAACGTCTAATAATATAGGTGTGATTGTGATTTTTTTTTTTAACTATGTGTAGTGTACATTGTTATAAATATTGTAATATTATTTTGCAAGTCTGTATAGTGTCAATATAATTGATTGAATTACTTATTTGGATTTTAATTTTTTTACAACTATTCTCGAATTCACCATTTAAATAACAAGTATGTCTGAACAAAACTTAACAACAAATAACTTTAAAACAAAACATTTTTGTTTAAGTTTGGAGACAACTTTTCAGGCATCTTTGCAGTGATCCACTCAATATCAGATATCTACTAGGATTAATTAGTAATTGATCTTTTTTGTTCTGTAGTGGTTCTATACAATTTAATCGCAATTTTCGTATCAAATTTTTAATGTTACATAGAAACGTAAATATTTTATTAACTTCTTAAATTAGGAAAACTGATCAATAACTAGTTTTGAGTCATTACTTTAATAATGTTATTAGACTATTAGAGTTTAAAAGTCACAACAGGATAACATTTGCGATGAAAGCTCGTATTTGCACTGCCCGTTCCCAGTTAATTAGATCAAATTAAATGATATTTTTTTCTCTCTCCAAGAAATAAAAAAATTTAGTTAGTATGGGTTTTTTATCAAAAGTTAAACTATTTGGATATTTTTTCGCTTTCATTAAAAAATGTTAATATTTAAAATGAAAAAAAAAACAAATTACATTATTGCAAGTGTATTTGTTATGGAATTAAAATAAGTAGATACAATTAATAGATAGGAAGAGAGAAAATATAATTCTGAATAAAAAAATGTTGGCCAGATTTTTTTTGTTTTTACTTAAAATCTACTTTTAACGACGTATTTGGCCGATTCAGAAATAATTTTTCATTTAAAATTTAATAATATTTACAGTTAAAAATATTTGTTATTTTAGTATTATGTAAATTGTATGCTGCGTCATGCGTGTATAGAAGGTGTACATGTATTGTCAAATGAGAAAAAATAATAAAAATGTATATAGTATAACAACAAGAAAAAAAGTAGGAAATATAGCTGAAAACTTTTGAAAACCTAAGCCAAAAAATTATATTTTAAAATTGGGAAAGGATTAGTTGAACCTCCTCCTGGGGAGTCGATAACAGTATCTATGCCAAAATTATATAAAAATATATACCAAAATGGTCATAAAAATGTATACAAATTTGAGTAATAAATACTATCAAAAACAATGTTATTATCTCGGTATTTGTATTGGGGGGAGCAGAGAAACGTTTTTCCCGCCCCTCCCATGATTTTCTCGTTTTTCCTTATAAACCAAAGTCATACAATTTCTGAATATTGTCATACAAATTGCATACTAAATATTGGTCTGAAAATAACGTAAACACAAGCTGAACTAAGATAAGATAAGTCATAAGAGTTTAAAAGTTAGGAAGGACAAGGGAGTGCGTGCAGATAAAAATAATATTCCACTACACCCTTCCTCCTGCCTTAAACTATAAACTTCAATAACTTCAAATTTGTATGATACAGGAGCCAAAAATTAATAAAAGTAACCAAGTACGTAATGGTTTTTTTTAATTAAGTTAAATTAAACGCGTATAAAATACACAGATAAAATATCTCTAATTGACCCATTTATGTTTATTAACTAATTAAATTTATTATTGACAGGCGCTCAAGTCTAATCGTATATACTCTCAAAACTACATTTTTAAGCACATTATTGTCAATACGTACAATGCTTTTATCGATATTTGACATTTGTAATTCTACCATTAGGTAACCCTATTACTATATTACACTGATTGTAATAACCGCACTGAATTACTATCGGTTATTATTATAGAAATTCGGTGGTTATAACAGCTCAATAAAGATTGAGAATAATGCACAAATTAGGATGATATTATCGTTTTAATATTTTATACAATATAATATTTAGACTCGAAATTGTGGCAATTAAAATTGTGTAGAAACTAGAATCTTACTGTACGGGTGGTACAGGTATGTTACACGTAATAGTTTGTTGAACATTAGCCAAACCACGTAGACGATGGTCGATGGATAAAATAGAAAGTTGATGAAGTCATATAAGTTTACAGTTTACCCAGAGACGTATTTAGGGGGGGCTTGGGCCCCGGGCGGTAAATTTTGGGAGTATTTTTGTATATGTAATACGGTAGGTCATTTGGGTGATAAAAAAAAGTAATGATACTAATAAAACTATTATTGTGGTTTTCATTTGTCACGAAACATGCATTGTTAATACCAGGACATAGAAAAGTATATTGTAGTTTGAGAATTGAGATACACAGAATAGATGAAACCAGAATGGAAACTGATAAGATATTACATGAGCTCTTATGGCGACCCAAAAATATTTTGAGGTGACACTGAACTTGATGGTCATCAAACTTTTATAATAAAACATTTTTGGTAATTATAGATAGACTTAATGGAGAACTGAGAAAACGAATAACTGCTTATGAACAAGTATGTGAAAATTTTGATTTTTTAATATTATTGATTTGACACCATCTGAAGTTTATGAAAATGCTGAAAATTTACAAAAGTATTACCACAACGAACTTGCCTCTAAATTTGCAAATGAATGTGTCCATTTTAGAGATGTTTTTATTAACATTACCAAGTGATAATTTACCTAATAATATACTTAAAATGTACTCTCTGATCATAAAAAATAACTATCAAGTTTTGTATCCATATGTAAAAATTGCGTTACGAATTTTTCTTTCTTGTATCTAACTGTTCTGCTGAGAAATTTTTTTCAGACTTAAAAAGGGTCAAGTCCTATTTGCGATCAACAACTACAGACGAGAGGCTAAATTCTTTGGCTGTTTTAACCATAGAGTCAGATTTAACAAAGAAGTTAGATTATGACGATATCATTGATAAAGCCAATGAAAAAGCTCGGCGTAAACAATTTTAATTTTAACATATTTAATATTCTTATACCTATGGGGCATTTTATACATTAAGGGATTTTTTTTTAAATGTTGTCACACTATTACATTTAGGTTTTTTGTATATACCTATTATAATTATGTAATATGTGCTTCAATAAATTTATTTATTTATGTATACCTAATATACCTTTCAGATTATGAGTGTAGCGAAGAATGCATTGGTTTCGCTATCATGTGTCTTTTTTTACAAATACACCTATTGCTGAAGAAATTTAGGTTGGGAAAGCGCGTTTTTTTTCTTACCTGGGGCGCAAAATTCCTAAGTACGTCTCCGAGTTCACCCACTAAACAGAGCGTCCAAAAAGAGTGTATAAACCAAGCAGGGTTTATAATAAAAATCAGTAAGTATACCGTGGACCGTGGTTACTGGACATGCTTGCTGAACATAATATTATGGAATTCGACAAGAGTTATAAATGTTGTGTATAATATTATAACATAATATTATCTGTAGTATTATGATAATATTATTTGATGGGTGTACGAGATTACAAGAGGCGTGCCGGTTCTTTCCGGCTGGCCTTGGTGGTTGGTCGGGACTTTTGTATCTAATAGGTATCTGTTACACAGCGAAACATTACACGGTACACCGCACACGTATACATATATTTCATACCAAACTATAGACCGGCTGGTTCACAGTTAACTGTTTAGTTTAGTTTGTGGCCCGACTGTCGGCTTTGAAGAACAAAATAATATCATCGACGGGTACTATTTATAATTATTTCACTCCTTCGCGATAAACGTAAGTATCCAAAATATATTGCTTTGGACAATAATTCCATTGCACTGTTATTATTATACACAAATAGAAATAATTATGTACTTATTCTCTATGTAATGTAGTCGAAAATCGTAAGGAAAATGACTTATAAACTGACATACTTCAACGTAACTGCACTGGCCGAACCCATCAGATTTCTGTTATCTTATTTGAACACCGATTTTGAAGATTACCGTTTCGATCGTGAATTATGGCCCACTATCAAGCCAAGTAAAAAACCACTACTCGAGTCAAACGATAATTTTATTAATGATTTAACATGGTATTGGTTTAGCCATGCCGTTTGGTAAGGTCCCAGTTCTGGAGATTGATGGGAAAACATTGAATCAGTCCACCGCAATCACTCGTTATTTGGCCAAAAAAGCAGGATTAACAGGAAGTGACGATTGGGAAGCTTTGCTTATTGATATTGCTGTTGACAATGTTCATGATTTCAGACAAGGTGACGACATGGGATTTACCAATATTTATGACGTTAAATATTGTGTATAACATAGTTTATTTTTTATAGCACTTGCTGGTTACTTTTACGATGCCAATGAAGAATCGAAGAAGCTAAAATATGAACCACTCTTGAAAGAAACAATTCCGTTTTACATGGACAAGTTTGAGAGCATTGTTGCAGAAAATAAAGGATACTTTGTGAATGGGAAGGTATAGACTAATTATTATTTTTATGTATTACACGATTATCACCCAAAAATTCCTATTAGTCACTAGATATAAAATAAAAGCATTTAGGGAGTGGAAATATTATTTTGCCTAAAACTTCAATATTACATTTGTTTTTAGCTTATAACTTTTTTTTTTTAAAAGTGCAGTTTAATTTTTAAATTATTAAATATGAATTTTTGATGTATTAACATATATTATGTAATCCTTGAGAGGCAGGCGCCGAGGCCTGAGGGAGATACGGTGGTAGTGTAATAACGCACGGTCACCAGTTTGAACCTCGGCCACTGGTAGTTTGTTTTTCCAGCAAATGACTGTGGTGGGAGAAGCCACTTGTCTCTTAGAAAAAGCGTTTGGTCGGCGGCTAGCTGTAAAACCCCCAACACTACCAAATCTATAAAGCTCCGATTGATTGGACTAATAGACATAAAACATAAAAAAAAATATTTATTTAACCCTTAACTATTAACATGTAATATCAAGTGTATTTTTAAAAAATATCATTTTTGAGATGCTTTTAATTACTAGGATTAATTACTTGGTAACGGGCGCTCTGTTTGCTGGGTGAGCAACCAACCGGTGAAAAGGAGCCGCCAGCCCGCTCTGCGGTGATAGACTGACAACCCGTCCCAGACAGCGAATTCATCTAGTTACCATCTCATGATGGCAACATTGGGCCTTCATGGCCTGTTAAGCTCGCATGATGATGATTTTAATTACTTAGTAGTGTTCCAAATTTTAAAAAATTTGGGTTTATTGATAAACTTTATATTATCAGCCATGTGTTAAAATTTAAAGGAATGCCATGCCATACAACAAACAGTTATTAGTTATATAATAAAAACACGTCCTAATTTACGGTTAAATTGAATGAGCCTATTATAGATTATTAGTATTAAACTATTACATGATCCCAAGGAAATCATTGACCCGTATACCAGTGAAATTATTATTTCTTAAATAGTTTAAAAAATGAACAAGTATAATTCTATTAATATATTATGGTTTTTATTTTTCAGTTAACTTGGGCTGACTTGTTTTTTGTAGCAGTTTTGGACTATTTAAACTATATGGCAGGTATTGACTTGTTAGATGGCCGTCCACAACTACAAGCCCTTAAAGCAACAGTTGTTGCCATTCCGCAAATAAAAGCTTGGATAGCAAAACGTCCAGTAACTCCTTGAACTCATTCTTCTTTGACATCAAAGAAATCAAATTTAATATAAAGCAGTATTTAATAACTGAAGACTATTTGCATTAAGCACAATATTTTATACATATATATGTATATTTTATGCATTTCATGGTATTATTATTATTATTTTCATCATACACTTTTATATAATATAGTTATTTTAAATAAAACAAATTTAAACATATTATGGTTTCATAATACATTATATGATGTCCAATAGTAGTAAACATAATTAGGTAACAATAGTAGGAATCAATCACTAAATAGGAATTATATAACAGGCAGAAATACAAATTATTGACTAACTAATACTTTCTTAATAAAATTCTTGTTTTGATAAAAATAAAATATTACATAGCTAAGTATTAAAAATCTTTTGGTCATAGTAATTTGTAGAACAAATCATTTCATCCAGTAGTGTAGGGGTACGATATACGCTGTATGTAATCACCTCCCATATAAGATGTGTACGCAAATAGAATACATGATTTTTGTTACGAGTATACGCATACATAGAAAAGTGGGAAGTGAGTACACAGAGGTTAAGTGATTGTTAAGTTGATTGTCCGTTATAGATGTCCCACAGAGTAATTTTGTTGTCTTTGCAAGCAACAGCAAGCATATATTTGGTTTTCCAAAATGTAACCAATGATTTAGAGTATGTAATATCTAAAACACCACTAGAATGTGAATCCAAAATAGCCAATAGTTTCATAGATTTCCAAGAAAATAATTTTACTGTAGAATCCCAACATGCGGCCGCAACGATTTTGTCATCTGGTCTTAGACGGAGAACACTAACACCGGGGTTAGTAATTTGCACACTCTTTTTACAACTTATTTTACTGTCTGCAATATGGAATGTATTTATAGTATCAGAACTTCCAGCACAAACTCCTTTAGCTAAACTACTGTCTACATCCAATGCCATCAAGCATTCCGTATCGGGAAAATCAGATGTTTCAACAATAGAGTTTTCACACCAAATAATGACTTTACATGACTCATAAGCGCAAAAAATATAGTCTTTTATAGTTTTGATAGTCATTAAATCACCTAAATTTTTATCATCTGGATTGTAAGTTTTCATTATTTCATAAGATTCAGTTGAATAACAATTCAATATAGATTTTTCTTTTAGTGATTTACATAGTATTAATTCAGTCTTGTATAAAGAAAATTTACAAAATCCTAGTACTTGGGTGTGAAGGATATGGTGAATTGAGAGTTTAAACTGATCCATTGTCCAAAATCTTATTTCACCAAATTTGTTTTGAGACACCAATTGGTTCTTTTTTATAAGAATCTCTAAATTCATGATGCTTTGATTACCAGCATTAGTTTTAATTTCTTGACGGTTAGTCTAAAAATGCAATTCAATACATGAATTAGTAGAGGGTAACATATTATTATATAATAATAGAGTACATGTATAGATGAAAAAAACAAATGTAATCGCTGTCAAGGATGCTATGATAATCTGAAAAATAAACTAACTACCAAAAAAGTGTCCTAATCACTGAACTAATAATAATTATACATCATTGTTCAACCTTAAAATTAAGATTTTCCAACAAATTGCCTATACGATATAACCAACGCCTTAATAAGTAGTGGTATGAAGTATTCTTATAGCAAAAATGATAAAGGTTTTATTAGGTAAGGCAAATTTTTTAAATTACATCTCGAATCTAACAAAAAAATTGTAAACAGATATTTATTAAAAAAAAACTAAGCTACAATGGTTAAACATTACCTCTAAGTTCCAAGAATGTATTTCTCCAGTTTGGGTACCAACATACAGTAATTGTTTAGCTGTATGGAAAACCACACAGTTTGGTACATATTTATCACATTTAAATGTGTAAACGGGAGTTGGTGTATTATGTTTTGACATTTTGTGCTAGTTTAACTCAAGACATAGAGAGAAACATCCGATTCGCTGTTTATTATAGGTCCCTTTAAATCCGAAATAAATGTTAAATATGATTGACAATAATTAATTTGAAATCTTCGTTAACCCAATTCACCCTCGATTTACCTTTTGTATGAATTATCCTGATCATAATTACATTTCAATAAATCCATGAAATAAGTAATAACTATATAACACTGAAATGTGTAATAATACATTTTTCTTATCGAAATATTATTAATGATAATTAATAACAATACAATTTGATAGCAAAATACGTTACAAAAATAAGCGTGTACGTTTACGGTATGTGTATAGATAAACTAGATTGCTAACTGTAGTTACTGTACATGCCACCAACAGAGAAGATTGAAGCAGCCACTTTTCGCCATCTTGGTAGGAATTAGAACCTTATCACGCGAGAATAATATATGTTTATAACAATCACATATATAATATTGATATAATAATATATACAGATATATATTATATGAATTGATAACACAAATAAATCCCACCAGAATGGCGGACCGTCAGCTTCAATTCTTATCACTAGTTAGCAATCTAGTTTATTATACATATATATCTGCATACAATACAGTGTATTTTTTATCTCGATGCACAGAATGGGCACTGATAAGAAATTACACGGGCTCGTATGGGAGTATGGTAATTTGGGCTCAACTACACTCAGTGTAACCATCGAATCAAGGAAAAAAACAATTTTTATAAAATCCTTTTTTACTGTACAATAGTTTTATCTGGCGGTTGATTTTAACTCTATATGTATTATCTACAGACTATATAGTTATTTTACGATACCCGCATAGCAAAAAAATTAAATTAAATTAACAAGCTAATTAATTATATATAAACTATTCTGTGGTTCTATCTCAACTTTACACAGTTGTTGTTTAGGAGACTATTTTAACGTTTGATTACATTTATTTTATCCTTTCACTGAATCGATTTTATTAATTTTTATGTCATTAAATCCAGAACGTCATAAAGTGGGTATAATGAGCTAATAATTTTTTTCAATAAAACTTAAATTAATGTTATGAAAAATAAAAAAAAATTTCTGATGAAAAACAAAAAGGTTCTCGGGAATCGGAATAGAACTTTCTGTTAGCTACATTTTAATGTAAATAAAATAGTGTACTTTGTACAATAGATAAAACCTTTTGACTACAAACTTAAAAAATATATTATTGTATCGTTTGTAAAACAATGTCAACAAGGTGCCTTTTTTTCTCTATTTCATTGACTATCAAATAGGGTTATCCAATTAATCAAATTATTGGGGTACATAGAAATTATAGTTTTTCTGTATCTTCCTAATTATTAAAGCCCCTGGATACCGACCGTTTTTTTCAGCCAAAACACATCATTTTTTGTCCATCGCACAGGCCGAACCATTGATCCGATAATCAATCTAAAAACAGATATGAATTCGTCATGAAGTTTACTTGAGATCGGTCAGAGCACATTTTTTAATTTTAACCCTTTCCAAATTTGATTTTAAAATTTAAAATTTTATAAAAATGTTCAAACGTGTTTTATGCGTAGAAGGAATAAGATATCAAAAAAGTACGCTGACCGAACTCAAGTATACTTCATGACGAATTCAAATCTGTTTTCAGATTACTTATCGGATCACTGGTTCAGCCTGTGCGATGGACAAGAAATGTACTATTATATTAACTAAAATGGCTTTTACTCATAGACAAAATGATTTAAATTAAAAATAATACCATGAAGTTCATATAAGTTAACCGGTAAATTAATTAACATGGTCGAAATTTAATAAAACCACTTTTTTCTTAAATATTGCCTATACAAAACTCCTTTAAAATGGTCGGTATCCAAGGGCCCTAATATGCCAGTTTAAATAACTTTAATTACAAATTTTACATTATTCCCCAACACCATTTTTGAAAAAACTGACTTTAGAACCCTTAGTTTCCAAGCCCCGCGAAGCGGTTATTTCTTATTCGTATTACACATTAAAAAAAGTAATAATTAACTTACCTTTTCAATTAATTAGTTGTTTTTACTACACAATACCTCAGAATTAGCAGAAACTAATTACGCAATAAGCATGGTATAAGAGCAATATTTAACGAAAATCAATTTACCAAACACATATGTATAGTTTTATTCCAAAACGATGACTCTATAATGACAACATCGGACGATCCTTTGAGAACTACATAATAATTCATGTGTAAATACTAAATATTATATTTAATATACCTACATAAATTAATATTTATACATCAATTCAACATTCTTCTTCTTCTTTACGTTCAAAATTGTTTATATACTAAAGTTTAACTGTTATAATGTATAGGTAAGTCATATTAATTAAAATTTTGTGATATTAGTTTTATTAGTTCGGAATTGGCACATTCGAGTTATAAACATGATACCTAATGTAGGTTTAGCAAGCTGGAAAAAGTAATTAATATAGTTGAGCCCTTTAACATAAGACAACAAAACATATGTCACCAAAAACAAAGAGACCTTTCTGCCGGACCCTGTATTATCAGATGTTTTTGATGTTTTCCATAGCGCTACCAATTTTTGAAATTTGAACAATAACATCTATATAATTAGCTAACTTTTTAAAGAAAAATTGTCAGATCATTTTGTTTGGTAGATAACCAAATTTAAATAATTTTTAGGTATTCACTCTTTAACCATTTAATATTCTGTTTTTGAATTTTTTTAAAAATTAAATAATGTCTAATATTGTAAAATGTATTATATAACACAATGTAATGGTATACCTAATTAGTAATTACTGATTAGTGATTACACAGGTGACAGGAATGATATTTTAACACGTATGTTACTTTTTTATACTTATAAATATCTTATAAAGATAACCACATTTTTTTATTTACCAATATTAGTGAAATACAAACATTTTTATTTATACATTACATATAAATGATATAAACAAAAAATCTTTTAAACACCTCAACCTCAATGTATTACAAAAATAAAATCGTGTTATTGTTAAAGGTAAAGTGCTCCAAAACAGTTATTTACAAGTGTTCAAAAAAAAAAAAAAAATGTTACCTAGAATAACATTTTTTTACAGGGAAAAACAAATTAGTTCTTTGATTCTGAATCAGCAACTTCATTATCAGCTTTAAGCTTGCTCAATCGACCCATACCTGGCCTATATATTTCTATAGCTGGACGGTCTTTATTTCTAATACGACGATCAATTTTGGATTCATGTCGTCGGTTGTCTACACGTTTATTAATAGCAGATTTTTTATCTACATCAGATCTGTTTTGTTTTGTACATTCAATATCTTTAGTTTCACCATGATTTTGTTCATCTCGATGTTTGTTATACCTGGACGTTCCAATGTTTTTATTTTCAAAGTATTCATTTTTTAATGTTGAGGTTTTCTTTTTAGATTCATATTCACTTTTATCTTTATAGTATTCATGATTTTTATCAGCTCTTGTAAAAACATCTTCTTTTAAATCATCATCAATGTTTTTTTTAAATTCATTTAATTTTGAAATACTTTTCACATTAAATTCAATTTTTTTCACTTCCTCTCCTTTAGGATTAAACTCATTTTTCTTATGGTGACAATCTTCAGTACTCTTTTTTTTATCTTCTTCATCACACGCGTTTTCTCTATGACTTTTAATAATTTTTCTGAAAAACAACAATTAAATCCTCTTAACATATTATAATAAGCATACATTTTTTTTTAATGTTAAATTTTTACTTGGTGTCTTTTAATGGTTTTTCATCAATTATTTTTTTACTGACTATGATGGGCTTCACAATCGGTTTCTGTTTAATTACAATTTCACGTTCCTCTTTTTTAATTCGTCGAATTTCTTCTTTTTCTTTTTTCTTACTAAAAACTTTTTTACGTCGTTCATCTCTATGACTAACACGTAATCGTTGCCGATCATTTTGTTTAGCCAAATATTCTAATAATGGTGTACTTAAATCTTGCTCTTCAGATTTATCTAAAAAATGTAAAATTGAATAAAATAAATGTATTTTACTAAAAAAAATTTCTGGGTTGCACAAAAAAATTAAATATATTTATGATTTGTTCAAATGTATTACACCAATCATGGGCCAATCGGATGTTTGATTAACAACCAAATATCAGTCAATTTTACGTTTGTACAACCTGAGAATAGGTATAGAAAAAAGCGGCTATATTATAATTGGTTAAAAGTTTAAAAATCAATACCATACCTTCAACAGATTCAAAAAAGTGTTGTGTAGTTTTCAGAGTAGTGTCAATGGTCTTTTGCTCAAAGTTATGTTTAAATTCCAAAAAAACTGGATTTTCATGTATTTTACCCCAGTTTGGATCTTTATCCAGTTTTTTTTTAGGAACTCTCTGATATGGAGCCAATTCAACAATTGCAGGGTATTCATCACCTTTGTATCATTAAGTATATAGGTAATTAGTGTACATATTAGTAGATGTTTTAATATTAAAGGAAAGTATTATAGGTTAAATACATATTTTTTAACTAACCCGTATCATCCACAAAAACATAGCCATCAAATTTATCTGTAAACATATACATATCTTCTTCTTTCAAAAAATTAATATAAACTCTTGAATGATGAAAAGGTGTGGCTTGCAGATCACCGGGTACAAAATAAATATAGTTATTTTCAGGTAGAGGAGAAACTTCATTTAGAAACCGTTCTTCCGTCATGGATGGAGGTAATCTTCTTACTACCACCTAAAGCAAACATAATAGTAGTTTAGTAAATATGTCAATAAGTGAATTGTCAAATTAAAACTAGGTATATAAATAGTTTTTGGGATTTTATCGGGAGGGTCAATGAACATTACATGGGCTTTACGTGTAGCTTTTAAATACCGAAATAAATAATATTATGTAGGTATTTTTTTCTAATATGATCATATTGCTTTGCTTATGTTTTTGTGATATTGAGTATAGTCTTACGAGTTGGTAGTAAGTAAATGTATACAAAATGGGCAAATTAGAACATAATCAAAACATTTCCAAGCCGTACCTAATATTTTACATTATCATCAAAATATTGATTATCACACATGTTCAAAACTAAGAGTGGAATTAGAATTAAACATAGTATTATCATTTACCTCTGTCATTAATATAATAAAAAATTTTAATGTAAAAAAGTATTACTTTTTTCTCAATAGATCTGCGATCTTCTTTTGATTTTTGTTTTTCTAGCGATTTAAACAGAGAAAGTAAAAATTCATCTACTTTTTCCGGTCCTTTCATGGCTTTGTTGCTTTCTGTAATTTTTAGATTCAAACACTATTTCATACTTATAGGTATAATATAATAGACTAATACACAATTCGATATGTTACCTTTCAACATTTTTGAAACATCTCAAAAACTCAATTATGATAAAGATATTTCCTTCTTTTTAGAGTATACGAATTATCACTTAATAATAATTATTTTTATGTATTTCAACAAAAACTTTACATACGATTTACTTAATAGTTCGATATTCTAACGATTGTGTTATTAATTATAACATTACTCACAACAATAGTGCGAACAGGCCTAACTGCGAACTCCGAATCCTTGCTGTGTAGTGTGTATAGTACTTTCTGATAACACTTCACTGATTTCTGGTTGGAGGATAAAATTCGAAGATAGTGTTATCATTTTTGATTATCAGTGTTCTGTACCATAATATTATTGTCTATAGTATGCAGTCCAGCATAATAAAAATAAAAATGTCACGAACTATAGAAAACGTAGTACAAAAACATTATTGTGATTTGTGTTATTGAATAATTGAAATTCCATTATCGTTTATTGTTTTGTATGTTTAACGGTTTCTATATAGTTGTGTGTATTTAATTCTATAGTATATAGAGAAAAATGTTATGTTAGTCATAACTGAATTATTAAAATAATAACATTAATTGTACACAATATGTTTGGATATTAGTATTTCCTATAACACAGTAAGTACAGGAAAACGCCCATATTGTATTGTTTAGATGATTTTAATATATTTTTCTACGTATAATTTAAGCTGATTTCTATTGACTATTATGGCACTTAAACAAGATTTATATCATGATTACCTGTACTCGATCAACCCGATTGCCCAAAGGATTGGTAAAGACGTAGATGCCACTAAAGAAGCATACCAAATGTTTTGGGACAAACTAAGTACAGAGGAACAAAATAAAATTCTTGAAGAATCAATTATTAGTCCTGAAACAGTTTTAAAGTATTCCAAATACAAAATATCCGACGTAAGTACCCTTATGGAAATTGGATTGTTATATAATTGTTTATATTGTTTAAATGTTCAAAATAATTATACTCAACTTGAAAATGTAATTCAATTAAATTTTTAGTTAATGGATATAAATATAGGAACAAATACTCTTTAGTATTGAATATTATATTATTATAAACTATTTAGTATCAATATTGTATTGAAAAACAATAGAATTTTCTTAAGTATTATAGCTTTAAATTAGTAAATCGTAACTTATAAAACAACTCCCTTGCCGGCTTCGGGAGCCGACTCGAGTCACTTTGGGACTATTCGTTGGATAGTGGCTCACGCCCTCAAGAGGAAAAAATAGCTTGTCTAAGGGACTAAACTAAACTAATCTACCGCTCTAGAAGCGTCAGTGACCTAACGTGACCAAACCTAACCTAGCCTGACATAGCCTCGCGTCGCAGACAAAGGTACAGTGTGGCGTGGGTGTGGCTGTAGCCCTCTGCCGCCCGCAGGCTCAGTCATCGCCTATTGTTATACATGCGGAAATATGTAAATTTCAAGTAGCTATAACTTTGGAAAAAAAGGTGCCCGGTAAAGTGCATTTATGCTAAAATTTACTTAACCAAACACATTTTTTTCTTAAAAGTTATAACATTTTTTATGCTGATTATGGATTTTAAGTAAAAAATCAGTAGGCACTTTTTATTAAGTGTTAGAGCTACTTTGGGTATTACCTTTGCTTAAGTGCATAAGTATAGTTAATTGTTTAATTTTATAGATGATAATTAGGTTAATTTGTGATTTCCACATTTCAACTGTCTTATAGTATTAATTTTTGTTTAACAGGGCAAAGTATCTGAAGGATATTTTTCATGGTTCACCCGCAGCCAGTTAGATTTATGCAAACATGTAGACAGTGTTCAAGAAAACTTTTTTGCCAATGAATGTAAGAATGTGATAGTTAAGAGAACAGGAAAAGAACAGCAGCAAGATAATAAAATTTTTAATAAGATCAAATCAAATGTACTGTTCAAGTCATTGATGCCATCTGAAAATAAAACTAAAGATAAACTTTCCAAGATTGATAGAACAAAGCCTAAAGGTCCTCCACCACCTCCTCCTCTTTCGCAAGTTGCTAAAGGAAAAGTTGAAGTGATATCATCAAAAGAAGAGGATGAAGACGATGAGAATATACCTAAGACTGGATTTGATTTTCTAGATAATTGGTAAAAATTGAATGACAAAATTCTATTAATTTAATAATAATATTATGGTTGATACTTGTACTAACTTCAGAATCCCGCCAATTTATTATATTTTACCTGATAGATATTTAAATTATTTTATTTCTATTTTTCAATTATAATATTATACTCAAATATTTAGTAGGTTAGATTGGTTTAATTATTTAAGTAATCAAATGCTATTATAACTATTTCTGTTTTTATTTTTTATTTGTAAAAATAATTAAATGTTCTTCACTGGTTGTATAAAATTAAAAAATTGTTTGATCGTGTATACAAATATTTGTGAAAGACTCAAGATAAATGATATAGTAATATTCACCAAGTGAATCATCATTTTTATTATAATATAATAAATAATTTAATTGGAATGTCTTAGTACCATTTTTTTTAGCCTATTATAAAACGTTTGTCTCAACTATTGCATATGTAAATATTACAATTTACATTATGTTTTAGGCTTTAGCACAGAATATTATTATTTTATGGTTTTAATAATTACAACATTATATTATCTTTTAATAATTTTTATTTTTTCTGTGTTCACAAGAGCATATAGGTAGTTTTTTGCTACAGAATTTATTTGCATACAACAATTTAACTTAAGACTAGAAAATTATTATGAGAAACTATAACAATAATACAAATCATCTTGTTCAATATGTTTTTATTTAAAAAAAATAACAGTTTTATAAGCATTTTACTTTTATTAGTTGCCTTAAAAAGGGACCTCGCAACTGATAAAAGTGCATTTATAAAGGCGCATTATATATTTTTTCACTAAAACTTTACTTGAGGCTAAAATTTTTAAACATATATTAACACGGGAAAGGGGATCTATTATTATATATTTTTTTTTAATCTCTATAACGTATACAGGTTTTTAGTTTGTACAAAAATATGTCTTTCTATTTCCAACTATCCAATTTCAATTTTAAAATATAATGTTAATTCCTTATCATCTCTTATGGTTGGTTGTGTCAACTACTTTTTCTTATTGTTTTCATTTTTAATTTTTTTTTAACTATTGTAAAATAAAAACAGCTTAAAGCCGATACGTCAGCACAGAAAGGATGGTAAGGAATTAAATTTTTTTTCAGAATTGAAATCGGGTATAGTGAAACCTGGTTTGATGGAAATGCTAAGTCTTCTTGTATCTAATTTTATTAGTAGGCCCTTAATTATTTCATCTGAATCTACATTGTTTGACAAACTTTCATCAATACTCATCATAAAACTTTTTAATCATTTTTGCGACAAGGTACTTCACAAGTATGATTTCACATATCGCCGCCATTATGACTAAAGTGACCACGCGTAAAAACATGTATAAATGACTTATTTTGATGAAATAAATGATTTAATCATGTTTTTGCACTTGGTTATTTTTACCACATAGTTACTATTGGCATGAGGCCAACGATGTATTAGTTTGAGCTCAAAGCTTACTTGTGTAAACAGTATGAATTAACTTGTAACATATGTTGAGGGCAGAATAGGTATAGAGCGTAGGTATATAAATTGTACTTCATTAAGAAATTGAAGACAGAAACTACACAATATTGGTCAAGTGTGGGGACATAATGAAAAATAATAATAATAATTCATAATTTCAGTAATACCTACTTGGTCATTTAATTGTGTATTATAATAAAAAAATTAGTGGAACAGTGGGATCACCAAGAAATTTTGAAGAGGGTCCTCAGGAAAATTTCCACTTTCCCTAAGGGTTACGCTCCTGCATGCTTGTAACTGTAAAACAATTAGGTAAAAAAACATTACCATTGGGTAATTCTTTAGCTCTAACCTCAAGAATTTGAGTTTTGTCCCAAAAAAAATAAAATATTCTTATATTTTTATAAATAAAATATTTTATAATCTAAATCTATGATATGGAAAATATTAATACAGAATTGTGTTACAAAAAAAAAGAAAGATTGTTAATTAGTCATTCAATTAATAATTCCTTATAGACTACTATATTAAAAGGATTTAACAAATTACAAAAATTACAAAATAAAAAAAATAATTTTTGTTTTGTTGCTGTGTATTTTTGGTTGCTTTTTAATCCCTTCTAAGTTACATATTTAAATTGTATTTCATCATTATTATTTTATTGAATTCCTTGACGTTACATTAGAACATATATATTAGGATAATAAAAATACATAATTTAATGTGTTCCACATTTTTAAGACTTTAAAGTATCATAAACAAAAATAAATTAAGAGAAGGGGCTCACAAATTGACTAGTATCAAATATATTTATAGTTTTATGTATAATAAAAGTAATAAGTCAACGTAATTCTTAAAAGAATTGTAGATAATGCTAATTGCCCAAGTGGACATTGTAGATTAATGCATGTAATATATAAATATATGAACAGTTAAAAGCTAACTCATTAACTTTCTAGCCATTTTTTATCCACCAACAACAAATACATTACATTTTTTTTTTTTTTAATAATTACTTTAACGGACTACTATGCCACATGAAATACCTAAAACTAGACCAATAGCATAACATGTTAGAAATACATGAATCTCTTCAAAAACAAATTCGTCCTCATCGCGAGATATACGATTAAACCAACGTTTTGCTTTTTTTTCTTTCTTCCGTAAAATATCCTCAGCTTTGTCGAGTTTTTGATCGACATAACGGCCAACCTGAAATTGGTCCATATTTCATATCATGACTTTTTTTTTATCATAGTAGCTGATAGTTACTACCAAGTATGGTTTTTAAATAAAAAGGAATGCCATTAACTATGTACTATTTTTATACTTTATAACTTTAATTTATATTAAAAATTAACTAATACCTATTTTATTACATTAAAAAAAAAAATTATAAAATTAAATTAGTACAAGTGAATTTATATAGTCTTCATATTAAATAGGTAAAAGTTTGTTATATGTGCAACAGAATCTTTAGACGCGTTGGATATCATTTATGAGTAGCCAATACCAAGGAAGAAACCACCAGTAAATCCAGCAGCCATAATGGAATTGTTTTCTACAATGTTTTTAACCTAGAAGATAATGTGTACATTGAAAATATATGTTATTAATACAATAACATTAATGGCATAATTTTTTGTGATTTTATAAGATATAAAGGTATTTCAAAATTTTAAATGTTGAAAATATTTGCAATTATTATATCATACTTTGTTCATCAATCCTTTTTTCTTATCCGCGGTACTATCCTCGACTTTTTCTGCTATTTTTTCCACACCTCTTGTTAGTTTATCCCAATTGATTTTAACATAACCACTTGAATTGGCCAGTTGCAATGCTATAATGCCACTACCAAGAGTAAATGCGGCAGCTTTACCCAACTTCATCATGACAAAACCAGTCAACCTACTCATTATAAATAAATAATATAAAATACATGTTCTGTACCATAAATTACAATTTACTTGCCATCCTGATGCCGAACCAAAGATCAGTTGTCTAGTAGCAGATTTTTCGCCTACATCCTTAATAATTTTTTCCAACAATGATTTCGCTTCATCGGCTGTTTTTTCTAAATCAAAATCTTGGGACGGTCCATCATCTTTTTTGTTTACAGCTGAGGGTGCCATTATTTTAGCGTTTCTTTCCACTGTATAATTGTAACTATCCACAATTATTACATTTCAATTATTTTTTAAATATTACAGAACTAAATAACGAAATAAATGTGCAAAAGTAGCATTAGTGTTTACTCACCCAAATGATATAGGCTCCTATTAACAAGGAAAATATTAAATAAATTTTGAAACTATAATATTATTAGTTTGAAATCAAGTACGGTATTTTTATTTATTAATTCCGCAAGAAAATAAATATTAAATGACAATGAAATTTAAAATGAACTCAAGTGAACAGTGACTCAACATTCAACAAAGTACATTGTACGCAGTACGATGTAAATAAATTGTAACAATAAAATATTATAATCATTTGTGTTGGGTAAAAAACCATCAATAACTTAATCCCATCAGAATGGCCAACCCGTTATCGCAATTATATTACAACTGACAAGACGTGACAATATTAACTTCTAACACAGTGGATTTATGGTCAGGCAACAATATATAAGGGACAGGAAATTTTGATATTTCTTTTTAAATATTAAAATTAATTTATGGGTGTAAACATTGTTCTGCCCTCAATAGCGAAAATCATAAAATCTACCTCTGTTTAACATGGTAAATTATCAATTATTATAGAGTACACACTGTCTGATATGAGATAATATCCCTAATCCCTTATTTAATATTCGAATTCGGATATCGGTATACTCATTTCTCAATTCTCATCAAAATCGTAAATTAACAATACGTTTTTGCACATAATGTGAATATTATTACAAGTACTTGAGACTATAAATGTATTTAACATACTTTAAATGGTCATCAAAATGTAATTCACTATGTTGCATAGACTCGATTTTCGAATTTTGAATTATACTACAATGAATATTCTGTTTTCATGGTTATTGGCCAATTTACACCGTTTTAGGTATCTATAGAACAGGCCATATAATAGGTATTACACATTTATAAATTGAGTGTTGCTTTATGTGCGTCTTAAATTTGTATTAGTTCCCTAAAATATGGTTCTATTTTTTCACATTTATAGGCACACACGAACATAATTCGTAAATTAATATTTACAATATGGTTTCTACGCCATGATAACTAACGTAAGACATTGGAGCTTAACTTTAATAGTTATTTTAAGCAATTAGCTTTAAAAATAATTGTAATCTGATGCCCATTTAATAAATTGGGTATTATAATTTTTTTTTAATCATAATTTATGGCACAACGAGGTTGCCAGGGTTTTAGTATGACCTAGTTTTTTTGTTGGTATGTGTGTCGTGTGAAGTCATGATAACTTTTTTTTCTGTATACCAATTTACTTGGGAACAACTATATCGATCCGCGACTGGTACTTTAGTGGGTCAAAAGTAGAAAAGTTCACCCCTTCCCTTCAAAATCTAGAAAAACGCCTAAAAAATGTAAATATTTTTTAACGTAAAATTACAGTACTCTATTACTCGATTTTAAATAGTCGAATTAGTTCCAAATTTGTATGGAATATTCTTCAAACATAGTAATACCGATAAACGATGACAAACCAAACAAATATTATAAACCCTTTACCCTAAGAAGGGGTGAAACTTTTTTCTTAGTAAAATGTATGTATGCATGTAAAAAAAATGATTTAGGAATAATTAGAGCCTAAAATTTTCACAACATGTAACATTTATAGTTAAATATTTATATTTAGTATAATAATAATATAGTTTTGAGTAAAATCACAACAAAATAAGGGGAACTAACAAATTTTTAACATTTATAATTTGGGTTTTCTATTTAACTTGGCCAGGTTAATTTTAGCACAAGTGAATAAAAATATCTATATAATTTTTTTCAGATTATTTTCACAATATTCATTAAACGTAAAATTTATGTATATACATTTAATTCAATAAAAAGAGTATCAGGATATAATAATTAGTAGGTACGTATAGTCAATATTTCTAAGTACTATTATGTATGGTACACAGTTATTAAAATTGTAAAATAATACTTTCTAAAATATGTGATAAATCATGTTCAACACTTTGCACTATTTATCAAACTAATGTTCCATGACTCTAAATAATAACTCCAATACAACAGATGCCTGCTGAGCTTTATTAGCAATAGCATTGACAACTGGAACAAGATGTTCATCCAGACTTTGCATGTATAGAGGTGGAAGTTTATTTTGTCCGCTACCCGCTTCGTAGCCAACCTGTTTGTTTATTCATAAATATCATAAGAAAACGTGTAATAGGGTAATGCAAAAGGAAAACTTACTGAATCGGGGTTTATAATAATGCGCAAAGCAAGTGGTGTTAAAGATGCTGCTGCCAATAGGTCTAAAAGAGGTACCAAAGCAGTACAAGTGGCCTTAGCTATTGATTCAGCTGTCCTACTAGTATCTAGTGGTTCTGCTACACGATCTGACGTTTCTTCACTCTAAAATTTACAAAATAATAAAATATTTCAACTCTTTGATCCTTAATAACTAATGCTAATATTATATAGTATCCTAATTTGTTTACTCAAACTACATTAAAAAATGATATAATTATTTCTTTGAAAATGGAATAATTTCTTTATTGTTATAATAATTAAAAAATTTCGTGGGTAGCCAATTTTAAAACTAAAACAGGCACTGTAGTTTTAGAATGTTATAGTTTGTATAATGATAAATATTTTTAATCAGTTAATACATTTTATAATTTATAAACCAAATTCTTACGTTCTGCTATTATTATATTTTAAGTTGTAACCTTCAATTTTAATGTAATATGAACTTACTTGTATCACAAACACTTCAGTCCATCTTATAAATCGACTCTTTCCTGAATAGTCTACTCCATTGTGAACTCTAATTGAAAGCACTCCTTGCAGTGACGTGCCATCAATACAACTTTTTACACTAAAAAAAAAGAATCAAAATACTTTTCCGAACAGATGAATGTTTATTTTTTCTAACCCAATGTTAAAATTAGTATCATTTTCTGTCCAATGAAAAATTACAGTTTGCTCGTCATTGGTCCCACAATTTAATTTAAAATCCTTCATCGTCCGTAGAGCATCACGCAAAAGAATCATTTTTTGTGTTGACATTTCAACCATAACTCCATCTTCTACTATTCGCCACCGTGTACCAGCATCATCTTCCAAATCACCATTTAGAGCAATAAAACTAGCACCCGTTACTAATGGTAAATTAAATTCTTATTATGTCAAGTTATTAATATTATGTAGCTAATAATAAAACCGAATCAACTTACTTTGCCTAGGCTTATTGTGTATATTAATTGCCTGTGTATTGTAGTTACCGTCATCTTTAGTTGACTGCACACAGACTAGATGTGAGTCAGCGACAGCACTAAAGTTGGCACCAAAAGCCAATAGTCCCCGATTAGACGATAACACTAATCTAGAAACCTAAAACAGTTACCACAACAGTTTACTTTAAAATTGTTTTTAAAAATATATTTACAAATTTATAAGTATAAATTCAATTAAAAAAGCATAGATTGTGTAAAACAGAGAAGGACATTTCTATATAACTGTAGCTAATAATCTAATGTTATAACAAAGATCATAATTTTCATCAACTATTTAAAATAATAAAATTTATACATTATTTACTTGATCATATCTATTTCGAGGTAATAGCACCATAATTTGTTTTTCATCCATGTGTATACGGCAGCCTTTAACAGTCGGCAAACCATATGAGTATTGTCGAAAATCCTTCAAAAATATTAAAAAAAAAAAAAAATTAGATTTAGTTAATTGAAAATTGAAAAAATAAAAATTATATCTTACTACTAAAAGTTTGATAACCGTTTGGCCAATTTCAGTGTACAAAGATGGTCGATTTCTAATTGAAACTAACATACAAGGATAATATCGATACTCTGCTCCTAATCGTAACATCAAACGAATCGGAAACATTTTAGCCCAGGGTGTTTCATATCTAAATAAAAATATAATTATACTACATACAAAAAATCTTATTAATTTAAAAATGCATGTTTCTAGAAATCATGTTATGTTGAATTTAAATCAAATTAATGATACTACTTACTGATGAACAAGGAGCGCAAACAAATGAGGAGGTGATGGAAGTCGTAACTTTTGCATACATTGATATGTTTGTCTAACGAATAAAAAACCACCATGGTTATTTGAATCTAGTAATGTAGGGTTGGTTGGAGCGCAAAATGACATATCTGTCATAGTAACACCTAAAAAAAAAAAAAACAATTATTGTTTTGATAATATTTATTAAATAATCTATTTGTATATACTAAAATAATTTTAATTATTATAATACAAATTTACAAAATATACCTATGGATGCATTTTTGTAAAGATGATTAATGAATAAAAATAAGTCACGAGGTGGATGTTTTTCATTAGGAATGGTTTCTAATAAAACTACCACTTCATCTTGACCCACACACGCCAGGCCTTCAGTACTCATACACCAAATTTCACGCTTTACACAGCAGTCCACTAAAAAGTAAAACATATCACTCAAATTAATTTGTATATAAACATAGAAATTATATATATATAATTAGTGTTTTTAATAATATTTTTTTCAAGATCTGAAAAAAATGTATAATTTTAGTTTTTTTTATTTAAAAAAATATAACATGTCTTGGTAAAATTTGACTTTTTGCTTATTTTTGGAGTAAGAAGTGAAAAATGTGCCTTACGAATAAAATTATACATTTTTATTTCAGATTTTGAAGAAAATATATTTTCATTATTATTAAAAAAAATGGAAATAAATCTCGGCCTCGTCAAAAGATTTGATTTCAGTCTGATTTTATGATAAAAATTTCAGAATTTTAAAACTGGTCAAAATTGATTTTTCGTGAAAAATTACTTTAAAAAACCTCGATTTTGGGCGTAAATATGAAAAAAATCAATATTAGACTAATAGAAGTTTATAAAAAAAATGTTGAGGAGGTTTAGCCGATGACCACGTGGTTTGACTCAGAATGTCCCATATATATAACTAAATGTATACTTACAAAATACTCTCCTAACATAAAGAAATAAATTAGGATTTATGGCAAACATAGTTTCTGGATCATTAACAGCTATTGGACGTTCCGTGTCGTCAAATCTTAGTTCCCCTTGATTTCTTATAGCAGCAGGAGGTAAGCCAATATTAGGTATGTAACTCTGAGTTAGCGAATTCAATGGACGTCTATTGGCTGGAATAACTACATCTAAAAAATTCAATATTAAGATGGGTAATATACTTGATGTAATATTTTATACGACAGTATTAAAAACAAAAAAAAAACACTTAATATTCTAAGAATAAAATAATTATTAACTTACGGTTAACAGTAGGACTCAATTTTTTTAATGACCTTGACTGTCGTCTTACTGGGAGAATTCGTTCAGAAGATCCATCTAAATCTGTTAGATCACCTCCAGGCCGAATACCATCACTGAACATAACTTGTTTAGGAACATCGGATTTTACTCGACCTAACATAAAATTGTATTTTAACGTTAAAACCTTGGTTTTTTTATTTTTAGAACATATGTAGTAATTTTTATTTTTAATAACATTTAAGGGCATGAGTACAGCCTTAATTAAGCCTAAGGGGTAAAACAACCCAATATTGGACAAAACAATTGTTTTATGACAAATTTTAATTATGTTAATTTTTACAAGGATAATTAGATTGGTGTCATGCACAAAAACTGTGACTGATTATATTTTGAGTTTCCTGCAACAATAGGATTTTCTTCATAGTTTAATGACGGAGGGAGGTAATAATCGCTTCTTGACAGCAAAAACCCTGCATAAATTGTCGCTGTCATTGTATACCACTTATTTTAAAAATCAATATTAAATTGTTAAATATCTTTAAGGAAATATTAGCTATATTATTGAACATAATAAATAAGTTATAGTTGAATAACTTTACTAGGAAAATTCTCTAAGCTGCAACATTAAATGTTTAAAGATCTATAATTTTTGGTAAAAAATGATAAAGATTATACAAGATGAAGTTATTTGTTAAGCGTTACAATGTCAGATTTTTATTTCTTCAACTATAAAAATTAAGTTTAAAAATCACTAAAATATCATGTTTCAATAAAATTCTACTGATAACTTAGGCATATCAAATATTTTCAAAATATAATAGTGAACACCTATTTTTAAGATATTCAAAACTTAAGTCGTGAGAGCTTTTGACAGAAAACAATTTTTTTGTATAAATTGATGGCGTACCCAATACTTAAATCTCTTAATATTAATAGATTTATACTTCAAAGTTACATTTTATGTTTATTTACCTTCTCGTTTAAGTACGCTAACGGGAACTAAAACAGATGGCACAGGTTGATTTCTTGAAACTCCTACTTGTTGTAATGGTGGAACAGTTGAACAATACTCCATAGGGTTATTTGGATTGGGGTGTTTAATTGTTGCTGATTTTTGTTTAACTAGAGAAACTGAGATCAGAAAATATCATTGAAATTTAAAAAAAAAATTAAATCTTTTAACATACATATATTTATTTTATATACTACATAATATTGTTATTAAAATGCTCAACAAAATGGTTCACCTTTTTCTAGTGTACTAAAACACTGTTGACATACACGGCCTTCATTATTCATATATGATAAGCGAGCTCGTAAATTACAACATTTTGAACATAACACCTACAATACAACATGAAAGTGTAACAAAAGCATATTATTTTTACTCGTTTATTACTTCTCCACATGCTCTGCAGTGATGTCTTCTTTTCACAACTGTAAATTTTATATCACAACGCATACAACTTTTAGCAGCTTCATCAGGTATCCAATAAGGTTGTATTTTGCCAAGCTGCCGTTCAGATAATGACAAAACACAATCTGAATCTATAAAATAAAATATAATTGTATAGCAAAGCATTATAGTTTTTAATAAAAAAACTATTTCTCAAATACCTGTACTCAATGTAGATGGCATTTCAGATTCATTAGTTGCAGTCCCATTTAAATTTAATGTGCTTGGTCTCTGTATATGACTATCTTCTATACTCCTCGGTTCCAAATTATCTCCAATTATTTCTGATGGTAATGAACATGTACTCTGAGAATCTAAAGAATCAGTTATTGTAGCAACACTGACTTGATTATCATCTTTTAAAAGTAATGTTTCAGTGGACTCTAAACTGCAAAGCGAATCTGTATGTTCTTTTTCTAGAGTATCGTCATAGTCTTCAACTTGTGTTTCAACCAAAAACACATAATCTTTCTTAACAGCTTCATTTAGATTGTCTTCATTCAAATCAGTTTTCGCTGTTACATCTGTAATTAGTTGGTTTGTCTCGTTAAATAATTCTTCATACTCCGACTCTACTTCTAAATTTGTATCAGGAACAATTGGTAACTCTGGAATGTCTTTGACTAATTTATGAGAACTTTTTTCTTCTACTTTGTATTCTATGGGATTTTCTAAAGCTTCCTTAACACCACTTTCTGTGTTTAATATATCATCCGCTTTTTTGGTTGTAGTGTCATAATGATATGAAACTGTACAATTTTCTTCAATTGTATCGTTATCATGACAAATAGGTATTGATGATTCTTCGATATAATCTTGTATTTCATCATTGGTAGAGGGCAAATCATTAGACGAATTAGACGAAGTGGAATCTTTTGTTCCTGAAACGCTGTCATCACCAATGAGTGGTTTTTCAGCAATAAATTCATCTGTAAATTCTGAGTTTGGTGTAATTACGTCATTAGAACTACAACAGTTATTGTTGACAGATAATACATTTTCTTGATCTTCATATTCTTCAAGACATTTGTAAAGTTCAACATCTGAACATTCAGCATTGGTACTATCTATTTCACAAACCTCTGATGTATTTAATGACTGTAGTTCACTAGATATAGTAGAGTCATCTTTAGTTGAATCTGGTGATGTTATCAATACAGGACACGATGCAATATCTGGTAGCCTATGGTCATTATCAATGAATGAATAATTTTTATCGCTTTCTTTAGCTGAATCATATGATTCTAATAAGTCTGGTCGAAATTCTTTCAAAGTGTCCTGTATAGCATTATTTTCTGGCAGTATATTTGAGTCTAAAATTAATGGATCATGAACATGTAGTTCACTGCCAGTTATTTCAACACTTGTATTTAAATGACTATCTAATAGAAATGTGGCTGGATCAGGTACAACCAAGTTTGACAGTCTGTTAGCATCAGATATAGTTGATGTGGTTGGATCTATACCAAAATTTGCATCAGCTATATTGATTGGTTCAAATGCAGGCCGGCGATAGTTAGCTGCTGGTAAAACATTTCTAGAAACCGAAGCTGTAATCTAAAACAGATAAATCAATTTTTAGAAAATTACATAATATTATATTTACACTTAAAATTTACCTGGGCATTTGACCCAACACTAGAAAGGCCATTTGGGATAGATGCTTGTAGTTGTTCTTTTTCTATGCATAAAACAAATAATAATTATAAATAACAGCTTTAATATAAAACAAAACAATTACCTTCATTGAACTCAAACTCGTCAAGTACTTTATCTAAATCAACAGCAAATTTCTCCATTTCCAAGTTGTTCTCAGCGAACAAATTGTACGGATAAATTTATCCCATAATTAGCATAGGTTATGGCTTACATTGAAAACTAACAAAACAGTTAACATAACAAAAACATAAAATATGTAAAACTATAACAATTTACAATAAAATAAAAATCTATAGGATGATATCAAAAGTTAAAAATGATTGAATTGTACCTTTAAAATGTTATTGTTACTTAAACATTCACAATTATAACGTTACTATAACTCAATTATATAATCTACAATATTCGATGTTGACTAAAGTGCAAAAAGATGTTTTTTATAATTAGGTAGGTATTACTTATTGGTTTATTCAGTAATAAATAATAATTATTATTCACTCCCTCCTCCAACATTCGCTTATCACGTCTATACGCTTAAATTGATAACAAATTATAATCAATTGATTTATAGATATCTCACCTCCACAATGAAGTAGATTATAAAATATACCTATTCAGTATTCATAGGTATTGGCTAAATAATTAATTTAAATTGTTTAGATGTTTTTCTCGATTATGATGAGGCAGGTTAGGTCGCATACGATCACAGATCGATACAGTTGCAGATAAGATCCAATCTCAGATAAGATTTGGAAAAAACTGAAATTTTAGTGATGACCCCCCACATTTGACCCTGTGTAGGGCGACCGGGATGTCCGAGTCCCAATATTATTACAGGATATTGTATTGTAATCTAAAATAAGTGTCTGTGCCAAGTTTTAGCCCTATACGACTTCGGGAAATGGGTTAAATTAATTTTGCAAGATTTGAAAAATACCCGTACAAACATACGTACGTGTTAGCGAGCTAAAGAAAAGCATGTAAAAATGTATAATGACTTCACACAAAAAAACACATCATTGTAAAACTAATACCTTCTCAACTAACGCTTTTCTGAAAAGTGGTTACATACATAGTGATAATTTTATCGTAAACCACTCAATATCTCATTGGGTTTAAAAGTAAATTACATTTTTTTGTCATAGTGTTTTTATATGTGATCTCAATTTTCCTCAAATTTTGACATTCCTAAGGCTACCCCCTTTCAAACTAATAATTTTTATATCAGTTTTTGAAACTTCAATGGTAACGTATACATTTCATTGACTTTTTAAATAGAAAATAATGTACTAAAAATGTTGACTAGTCGATAACCAGTTTTGGAAAACCAATTTTGGGCGTTATTGAAGTTTCAACTTTAAGGCAGGAAGAAAGGTGGAGTGGAGTATTATTTTAATCTGAGTTGATTGCCAACTAACTAGATTATTTCTTTTAACTTGCGTTTCCAAATTCCGCACCACCTTAACTAACACTTATAGCCAATAGGTGTTAGTTAAGTGGAATGGAGAAGGTATCTAGTATGGAAATAATAATAAGTATAAAAGCAAATCCCTACTAACATTCTTTACCATGCACGAGTTCGGCGTTCTCCTAGAAAATCTTAAAACGTTAGTAAGACAGCATAGTATGTATACATCTAACATAGTAAGAAACCGAGTCTGACGTTTATGATTGTCGTTCATCGGTTTATCTTATCATGTACGATGTATCTTGTGCACGCGACTATCTCCGTAGCTTGTGTTCTATTCGAGTTTTCCTAGTGTTTGCTCGTCTGTTCATTCGTTTATTTTGTGAACAAGACGACCTTTGCAAACGAGGCCATAGTTTTCTGCGATATTTGTAACATCTTGATCGCTTTCGTGGACCCACGGTGACATGGAATTATGGCAAAACCACCGCAGGGCGCAAACTTTGCCGATAGCACGGCCGTCAAGCCCATTTTCAGACCATAAGTCTGTGGATTTTATTCCTCGGAGTTTCAACCTACTTTTGGTAGTTTTTGAGCTAACCGTTGAAACATTTATGCTCTTTGTAGTTTCTGTTTTCTTCTTTATTATTAATCATACTACTCATACATAACTATGTATACCTTGTTTATTTCATCCATATTGTTCAATATAATATTATTGTTTATTTGTTTTTTATTTTTTACTAGTTGTTTTACCCGGTTTCACTCGAGTTCTGAGTACTCAGTCTACGCACCATTGTTTATTTATTATTGCAAAGTTATTTGGCAGCATATTTGAATAATGAAAAGCTAAAAATTATCTATGGAAAATTGCCTACAAAAAGAAAAAACCCAACTCTACCTATCCAGTAGTCTATAAGATAAGCTGTTACAGACAAAACTACATTTTAAATTTATATAGTTTGAGGTAGACCCACTTCGCTTGGTCATTTTAATACCACGGTACCGATTTACTTTCGTCCTACTCGCCGAGTTAAGATTATAATTTATTAGTGCCTAATGGATTTTGTTTTTTTTTTATATGGTTTTTACCTTTTCATTTTTCGAATATCTTACCAAATAATTTTGCAATATTAAATAAACAATGGTGCGTATACTGTTTTAATAGCATGACGTAGATCCACTACTGTAGCGTAGTGGGGGGGGGGGGAACTAGGCTAGTAGAATACGCAGTCAGAAGATTTAAAACTATAAATCATAAGTATGGTGTATTAATATTATAGTACACAAATCATTATTTACTCAGGCTTGTTTATACTTAATTGTATAATGATATGCGTATGAATATGTTATAGCAATAAACAGGGTGTACAAATACACAATTTATTATTACAAGTAGTACAAATTTATGTTTACATATTTTTCCTAACTATACCACGTAAAATCACAAGGCTACATAGCCATATGTAATAAAAACAAATAACCTATTTTCATTACGAAAACACATTTAAATAAATTAATACATTGTAATCATTTATCAGACAACTCATTTTTTCTTTTACTGTTGTATTCTAAGCTCTTTTGTTCATCTTCATACTTTAATCTTTCCAATAAATTAATTCCGATTTTATTAAGCCAAATTAATTTTTAATAGATACGTATTTTTTCGAATATAATATATTGTTTTACACAGAATACATAATTTGATTTAGCAATGAAGTTTTTATGTGTAGTGTCAATATTATTGGTATTTACTAATGCCAATGAGTATTATCCGTGTTATGAAGAGACAGATCAATATTGGTATTTTCCCCTAAAAACCACATACAAATCGGTTTCTTCGAAAGAAATTGAATTACCAGAAAGTAGTAAGTTGATTGTTGACTTAATTTTACTATTTCTTAAATAAACAATTGTAATATTAACTAACCGCTACTAATTGTATACTACACTTAGTAGTATTTAAATATAAATACAATACCTTCCATCACTGCATCAAAGCTAAAATAATTTGCTGGCAATGTTGAGTGGTGGTTAACCAGCTTTGAATAATTACCTCTTAAAAAAATGTAAAGATTTGTTAATTTTTTTTATATTATTAAAGCCGCGATAAACTTTTAACACAGAAGACTTATCACTTTGCACATTTCAAGTTTGTACTGTTTATAAGTGCATACTTTTTAAAATTAAGTTCAGGCACGACCCAGAGGAAGAAGGTGAGGTTGGGAGGTCTCTCCCTCAAAACAAATTCTTGCCCCTCTTTTCGCCCCCAGGATATTTTTAGTCCAACTATTCGTTGTAAGAGAAACATTTTAAATTATACTATTACTTCTAAATAAAATCAGCATGGAATCAAAATGTGAGAAAAGTATAAAAGCAAAAAAAAAATGTATCCGGTTATCTACAACAATCCGATTCAGATTTAGGAGCTAGTTGTATAATAGTGAAACCAGAGACTAAAACGTTACTGGTTATATTGTACCAAAACATCAAGTTCCGTTTCGGGATGAAACGTGTTATTAGAATTCGTGTTCCGGAAAAATATTACAAAAATGTTACAACTTGAACGTATTATAAGCAAGGAAATTAAACAGAATACAGATAAATCAATATTGTTACCGTTCCTATGACTTTGGGCCTAAACTTTTTTAACTATATTGTTCCGCGACGACACGGAACATTTTCAATCCCCGAGACGAATCTTAAATTGATTATCTTAAGGAATTTCGAACAGTTAATAGATTATTTAATGTGCTTTTGGGAAAAGTTGTTTTGTTTGCAAAATATAATAACATCTCATTACCTGAAGAAAAAACAATGTAGATAATCATAAATTCATCGTAAATTGTCTGCTACATTTGGATCTTACATTACAGAACTACCGATATCTGTAAATAGTTAGGTTCTGAGTAAGAACCATGTAAAGACAATAATATTTTTTTTATTGATTGTTCGAATGATCAAACAACTACAAAAACGATTTTCTTATAATAATCCAATATTATCTAGTATAGTTCCTTTAATCCTCAAAATAAATCCTTTTTAGACTCGCACACGTTTTTACCTTTTTCCAAATACTATAAGTTGATATAGAAATTTTGGAATCTGAACTTAAGTTAATACCCCAACTCATAAATGGACATCAAACAGAAAAAACTAAAATTAACACTATACTTGATTTTATACAATTACTAAAAATTTACGAGTTGGCTTTTTTTATTAATAGAAGTAAAATTATTGTGCTTGCCCCTCAAAAAAATTAACTTACCCCCTTTCCCGCCCTCTTAAGAAAAAGAAATTAAAGTATCCACTCTACAATCCGATACATTGGAACATAGATATGTCTTTTTCTACACATTGTCTTGTCAAAATTCTACATTAAAAAAATACACGTAAATGAATAATTTTACAAAATCATAAATATATTTTACGTTTATCCTACTTTAAATATACTGTCTGAATAAGCATGTTTCTCAATATCAGCAAAAACTAATTGGCCAGTACATTAAAATTATTTATCAGCTGTTTTATTTACAAAACAAGCGCTAAAGTACCTAATTAAGAGTAACTAATTTGGAGTACCTAATTAGAAGTACTTAATTAGGAGTATCTAATCTCTTATCTCTAATATATATAATCACATACAAGATGGGGATGTTAAATGTTTAAATTATGTGTTGTATTCACAACGATCAAACTATAACTGAAAAATAAATTCAATTAACGGGTCATATTCCTTATGAATTTTTTTAGGTCAGATATTATGAAAACACTAAAATATTTGCCAGAAACTTGATGTTTACTAGCCGCCTTAGATACTAGCTTGTTACTGCTTCCTAATATACTATTTCATTATCTATAATTCCACTACTACTCTAAATTTATTCGGTACTTCAACGAGACATGAAAATGCTCTTTCGTGGTTGCAGACTCGTCCGAAAAATGCTTTTTCAGAAGTGATAAGTATTTTGTGCTAGCCGCTTATTGCAGTTTCCATATTGACGCAGTCCCCTCAACGTTATAGGTACATGTTGGGGGACACGCTGTACTTTTCTGTCACCCGCTGACACATTATGCGTCACCCGATAGTGAGCTTGTTCTCCCGCCGCGCCGACCAGTCTGAGGATCAAAGTCCACATCGGGAAACTACCACCGATCGCCGCCAGGCCATCTCGGTGTTCGCTCTCTTCGCTTTCCCACGTCCACAAAAACTCTTTGTTGTGTCACGCGCATCAGTCACCATTCGTGTCGTGTCAATATAAAAAAGTAAAAACACCTGTTTTAACCTTTACTGATGGTAAAGATCACTTAAGGTGAAGTTGGACCGGACCCAACTTATTCATAGATCTATGTAGATTATGACTCCATTTGATGGTTTCATGATTACAATGATTATTTTTTATTCACTTTGGATGATTCGTCCAATTAAGTAATCCGTGAGTTAACCCGACTTTACCAACTAAAAGTTTATATGACAGGTAAAGTTTGCGTTTATACAAATTTTAACAGTTTCAGCGCCACATCGGACACTGGTGTTTTCTTTATTATTATAACGTTTTTATGAACTCACAATCTTGTTTGTCGTTCCGGGTGGAATCTTGCAACTCAAATTTCGAGCACTTACCGATTAGCTATCCGGCTGAAACTTTCAGGGTAGCTCACAATTCGATGATAATGCATTATTTATCCACGAGAGGTTGAAAATTCCACCCCTAAGGGAGTTAAAATAGGGTCGATTTCTTGTCCGTCGTTCCGGGTGGAATCTTGCAACTCAAAAAGACTTATTTCTCACTCGCCAACAAAAATTATGCGTGGTGCGTTTGGGCGTGAACGGTGCTCAGATATAAGCGGTACCAAGTTCACACCCATTCCCATCGTTACACTTTTTTTGCATTTTCTTACAACTTTTATTCAACTTTTATGATAATTTATACAGTAATAAATCTAAAATTATAAGCTTTTAAATTGATTACTAACTCTTATGATAATCCTTCTGACCATGCAGCAATAACATTGTACATTTAAATGTATAGATACGTACATACGAAAACGAAAAAGAACAAAATAACTAAAGTAGATTAAAATATTAATCTAAAAATAACGTTTTTATGCGCCTTCAAAAGTATAAAATATGCCTCCGGGGGTCTTGATAACCAAATAGGACAGATGAACTAGAAAAACGTGTGGCGCATCTTTACTACTTCACACTTCTGAATACATAATAACATTCTCTTCTCATTAATAACCCCTTTAACTCATAATTCATGCACAATCATCTTTTCTCTTCTAAATAAAATAATACTTAATGACATGTCATGTAAAATTGAGCACCACATTACTTTAAATGTTAAGCAAGTAGGTAGTTAACAAAAAAATTGAAGCAATCTACATAAAACAAACTTTGGAGAGAAAAGCAATTAAGTCTTTTCAATTTGCAATGAAATTTAAGGAGAGCACGGAAATCCATTAAATTTCATTCCCAAAAAAGTCATACTATCACTTTCTGATCCGTTCGGTTAGAGAGACAGCATTATGAGAGACAACTTAATGCATTAGCATGAAAGCTTAGGTTTTAATATCTAAGTAGAAAGATGTACCCCACGTTTTTCTAGTTCACCTGTCCTATTTGGTTATCAAGACCCCCGGAGGCATATTTTATACTTTTGAAGGCGCATAAAAACGTTATTTTTAGATTAATTTTTTAAATTTGCTGCTAAAAACTACTAAAATACCTAGAAATTAAGCAATAGAAATTAATATAAAACATTATAAAGTAACATTAACTAAAATTACTCAGAATTCAGGAAACACAAAATTAGTGTATTAACGTTACATTAATCGCGCCCCCATTGAATCTCGTCATAGAAGAGAGGTATAAGGAACAAAATTATTTTTTTTAAATTTATTTCAATTAAAATGTTTTAGCATATTACATGCTCCTACAAATGAGTTATTTTATGTGTATATGTATTATGTACAATATTTTATGTAGGTAGTCATATTTCGTAATTTATAGTAAAAAAAAAAAAAAAAAATAAGGTAAATGATAATATAATATGTAATGAATCGGTAACATAACAAAAATCTAAACTTAAAATAAAATAATGTTTTATTTTATAATTTAGATTGTATACCAGTTAAACTTTTTATGGTTATCAGAAATGGCACATCAAATGTATCAAAACACTTTATAGAAGAACATTTATCGGAGATTCATCCTTATAGAAATATAATTACTGAAAACGCCAAAATGTGCCAAACAGATATTGAAGCCATTAAAAATTGGAAATCAATTTTCGAACGAAAAGAGTTGAACTACAAGTGTTTGACTAAAAATGGACGTGAGGAAATACATGAACTGGCGTTGAGAATAAAAAATACTTTTTTAGATATATTTAGTAAACCTCAAAACTCTGATAATTATAATGTAAGTAAATATTTTATATTTTAAAAAATATATAAAATTGTTAACAATTAATTGCTTAAAAAATAAAATGTTAGATATTGGTAATGCCAAATGAAAATTGCCAAGAAACTGGAGAAATATTTATTCAAACTATTTTTGGAAGTACAAATATTGATAAGTTTAAAGCCGATGACAAAGATAATCAAATCGTACGTTGAATAATATTTAATTTTTGGATGAATATTAATATTGTCTAATTTAGTTAGAAAAGCTTGAAGATATTTCATTTACAATAAAAAAATTAACCGATTATTATTCTTCGGAAATGGTTAAATTTGGTAAAAGTAACACTATGAAAAATGTTGTACAAAGGATAGCAGACAAGATGGGTATTGAGCCTGAAGAAATTAAAGGTAAGTAAGCTAAATAATGGCTATTATTTTAAGCATACAGATACTGATCCAGTATGTCTAAGGGTTAAATCCCCCCTCGTATTTCTTGACATAATAATGTTTGTAGGCTGTGTGTTTTTCCATGAATAGCGTGTAGCAAATTTTTAGATCTGATAAAGGACATGTTAAAAAATTGAAGACATTAAGATTTTAAATGATTTTTTACCTTTATTTTTTAGGGTTTTTGTGACGATTAAAAAAATTGAATATTAGACAAATAATTCTGGTATTAGAGAATAGAGATGCTTTTTAATTAAATGTTTTTAGGTCAAATGGTGGATCATTCACCATGGCCTCAAAAACATTTAACTTTGACATAAGTCTGTAAAAGTTATGTGCTACTAAATAATTAATATCAGAGCAGATTCTATGTATCGTAATAGTTATTCGGCAAAACGTTTACATTTTAGAGGTATTTTTACAATAATTCTATTTCGCAAAAGTACATATTTTAATGAAATTTTCTACAATGTGATTTTCGAGGAATTGATATTTGTTTATTGATAATGACTCTAACGCTATTATTGTTATAAAAAACCTACGTGGCCGCCACGGTGAGAATTCTTCGGCAATAATATCACGTACCCGTGTTGGTTATATATTGGGTAGGTTAACTGGTCAGTTTGTGCATATTGATTCTGTGGTGATTTAATTTTTGACTGTACACACTTTCATGGATAGATAGCCCTTTCTGTTCAGCCGTTCACTCACAAAAAGGTGGCAAAATGTATGATAAAATTTACAGACGTTTAATGGGATTGTGTCGCTGGATTAACAATAATCGTAATTAATAGGCTATAGATTATAAATAAATATACACCATGAGTGTTTTTGGCTATTAGCGCGAGACTGATCAAATTTGCTAAAGGCTTAAAACATTATCATGTTTTCGAGGTTTTCGCAAAGGCAAAAATATACTTTTTGGTATGGCTTGGCGCGGCGAGAAAATAATCACACATTTCCTCCGCTGCACGGAAAAACATTCAATCAAGTGATTAGAGGAAAAGTTAAAGTTATTGAAGAGAAAAGGGATAGGAAAGTAAGGAAATGAGAGGGGAGGGACATTTACAAAATCTAAAAACGTATCCATCAATTAATGTTTTTTCGTGCAGCAAAGAAAATATTTTTTTCCGAAGCCTTAAGAGGAAAGGAAAGCATTAAATTTTATATAAATTCAGATTAAAACAAGTCAATTTCTAACATGTCTACCGAACCGATTTCAAAAATATTTTTTTTGTTTGAAAGTTCTAACTTAACTTACTTAAAATCTAACTTATTTTATTAGCTAAATAAAAATCGGCTTTGTAGCCCCTATAAAGAAAAATTGAATTGATCCAATAGATACACCCGAAATTACTTCTATGTGAGTCATTTTTTATCAAATTTCCGCCACAACATGAAAAAAATAACTTTAAAAGGTTTAAAGCTAGAAAAACGAAATACTTAATATTTTTCACTTCAAAATTAGTTAATTAAAAATGGTTATTAGACAAATTTTTATGAAATATTGCAAATCCTATGTCCCTTAATAAATAGTGATTTTCATTTCCCTTAATAATTGACAATACTATCGGTTTTAATCTACTAAAAATTAATTTTTTTACTGGCCTTGCTTAAATTATTAGACCCCCCCTCCCTATTTGTAATTTCTATATTTGTGATTTTTTGTAAATAATGAGCCTTCAACTTCAAAATTACAATTGTAGGAATTATTAAAATTATGTATGATGTATGTGGCTACGAGAGGTCTTATGCGGAAAAAGTAATTCCAGCTTGGTGCAGAGTATTCTGCCAAGAAGATCTTGAAGTCAGTATTGTAGTAAAAAGCGTATTGTTAATTGCTACATATAAGATTGATAACTTGAAAATTCTTACAGGTATTAGAGTATTATGATGATCTGTATTGGTATTATGCCATTGGTTATGGACATAACGAGAATGGCCGATGGGCTTGCCCATTGGCTATACGTCTTCTAGATAGCTTCAAGTATTATACAATTTCATTTATACATTGCTGTACATCTAATTTATTATTTTTTTGAACCTAGACGGCCTAAACTACCTTTTGAATCGTAGACGGCTCCGGAACCCACCGTTAAGCATTACTTCAGGGCCACCTACATAATTTATTGTGAAATCACACAATATATACAGGGTGATCCACTTATCGTGAACCACTCAATATCTCATAGGGTTTAATAAGATATTAAAATTTTTTTTTCATATTTTTTTATAACGTAAATATCAAAATTCTCAAACGTATAACGACTTCATCAATCGTTTTACCAAAAAAAATTTTTGAATTGAGATATAACATAAACTCATTTTTGATAATATTTAGAAAGTTTTTCCCAAGCACCATTAAATTAATTTTTTACATATCCTTAGAGCTATAGGTAATCATATGCGTTACATGTAATTTTAATTGACAAACTATAGATATTACATTTGTGTTTTACTTTATTAACAAATAATAATAACTAGTAATACTTAGTTTGAGCATAATATACCCAGTTTAAAGCTCACTTTTATAAAAGACGTATTTGTCAATACGTAATATTACTTTCCATACAATACGGTTCTATCGTTAAACGCCAATTCCACTGCAAAACAATTTTGGGAAAAAGTAAGGGTCCTGGGTTAGAGATTAGGCATCTCAGAGTTACCCTGGTATTAATAATGGCAATTATGATTGCGATCAACATTATGATTATATATGATTATGAATGTGATTTTAATTATGCAAGTGTTACAATATAGAACAAATTGATTATCATAATTGATCTTTAATTGTATTCATATTTTTTATGCTTTTAGGACAACATTTTTTTTGACAGATACAGGTCCATATGGTACAATTAATTTCACGAGTCATGAGTTCGTGTTGAGCATGTATTTCTTGTTAGGTATCGGCAAAAACGAAAAGAGAAGCAAAAAAAAAAGTGACAGGGAAATCATAATGGATTCCTCAAACTACCATTCCATGAAGGACCGTAATTGGAGAACATCTTTGTTCAGTCCATGGGCAGCAAACGTCACGGCAGTGTACTTCAAATGTAATTACAATTGGTATTCACCAACCTTGTATAAAATAGCGTTTTATTTCAACGAAAAAATTGTGGCTGTGCCGATGAAGGGCGGTTCTACATGTGAGGTATGTTTATGGCCTGTTATCGAAGAGAAGATAAACATATTTATACATAACTATAAATGCCATAAGTTTTTGGAACCCGAAAATAAAGAAGACAGTAATGAAGATAGTAAAGAAGAAAATAAAGAGGAATCTATTCCAATCGATGAATAATTTTTAATGGGTATTGCATTACTTAAATGGTTCTGCACTTTTCCACACCTTCCACCTTCAGTGGGAAATTATCTCAAATATTGGCTCCGATGCAAATTGGAGCTTCAAATTATAAAATTACCTACCATATCAATGTTACGTAAAAATTTAAATACCATTATAACCTGTAATCTTCCTTGTCAATCGCTTAAATATTAAAACCGGATGTCCTGATCCCTTATAAATTGCAAAGTTCCCTCACGTCCTCCTTGCCTTACAGTCCCTTTTTACACTTCTTAGCAACCATAAATTATCTTCATAATTCTCCCATTATCCGTTAACGACCATAGCTAACACCGAGAAATGTTTTACTTTCAGTTAAGTTTCTTTTTACTGGCAATATTTTTACTTACGTTGTATGCTTACTTTGCGATTGGTGTTAATTTACTAATTAGTAATTACTATAGTTTATCTTAATTTTTCTTTGTATATGTAATTATAAAAACATTTATATGAATTAAATACAAATATGTACAACTAGCCTAAGGGCTAGTCCTGTAAGTTTTAAATTAAATATAAAACTAAAATAATGTTTCTACATTTACGGTGTTTCTAATTTTTTATGATAAAATTATTATTGTGCACCTGAAAATGTGGATGTTTATAGTTTTACGACCATTGCTTATTCCAGTGTGCACTACAGAGTACGGTGTATAGTGGATACCACTATATCAAGCGCTAAATACACCATGTAGGGTGAAGGAAGGTATTTTCGTGGCATAAGCAATTTGGTGATATAGTTTGTTGATCGTATCGCGTAATTCCCTATTAGAAAATCACACTGATTGTTAAAATAACTGTGTTTTAAGAATCAGTGTGATTTTCAAGACAATTGTCTAATAGGGAATTACGCGATACAATCAACAAACTATATCACGAAATTGCTTATGCCACGAAAATACCTTCCTTCACCCTATTTAATGATTATTTTGTGCTTAGTTTAGATAATGTTAGTTCCACGTTTATTAAATGGTATATTATTTGAATAAATAATATATGTAATATATTGTTCTTGTAGTAAAATTATTTTTTAATTTTTAGTTCACTTTTTACTATTTTTAGAAAATCATGTTTTTTAAAAAAAAATTATATTTATTTATTTTATATTTTACTTTTTAGTCCTATTAAAGGTACTTACTAATTGGTGAATAGATTACTAAATTAATTTTGGAAGATTTGAACAAAAATTAAATTTTAGTGAAATGACCCTCTCGGCCCCTCAACCCGGATGTACAGGTCCCAATATGATTACAGGATATTATTGTATTGTCATCCGAGATGAATGTCTGTGCCAAGTTTCAGCCATATACGACATCGGGAAGTGGGTTAAATTAATTTTGCAAGATTTAAAAAATAAAAAATGTGACGGTGTCACACGAAAGAATTGATTTTCGATGTTGCACCGGTCGCCGCTACAGGTTAAAAAAACTGCACAGGTAGACCGTAGCGTGTATGGCCGGCTTTAATGGAAAAACATGAAAAAAGTGTGATAACTGATAACCTTGGTGATAATAATTGTACATAATCCGCAAAAACAATTCCCTTCTGTTTATTTTGTGTATAGATAACCGACAACTCGCAACCGTGATAGATATTAGATGATAATATGTAAAATCACGCGCGCTAATCGCTATCGAAGGTATGCCATTTAATTTTTCTGTAATCAAATATTAATTTAAACATAAAAAATGTTAAAATGTATTAATTTCAACTTCTTTTAAATTATTTAATAGTTTTAACAAATCAGAAGCTATACAATTTATACATTCGAACGTGATACCATAACAAAAAGTAATATATTTTAAAATAACCTCCGAAGGTTCTACTTTATGCAAATATGAAATAAAAGATGTTTATTACTGTAAATAATTCCTTTCTATGTAGATTGTGACTGTGTAAATGGTTTTTTACCAACTATTTCAGATGTATGCTTTTGATCGAACTATAAGGAAATTATTGAATATCAAGTCATTTCAGAAGAATTGCACTCACTTATACAATAAGAATGAAAAATATATGTCCACATCACGAATACTACAAACAAAAAATTTTCGGGAAAAAACTGAATCAATATCATTTACAGCTTTACGAGAATCTGGAACTGATAGTGACATTTTTGGATCATTAAGTAATAAAGTGGAAGTCAATGAAAAGTTAGATGAGTTGCCATCTGAACCAGATGACAAAATAGAATATGATAAAGATGACGAAAAAAAAAGATTATATATAACTGAGTATCATAAGATTATTCAAGAACTAATTAGCCAACATAAGGTACAATATTTAGCGTGTTTTATTTATTACTTAACTCTTAATGTTGAATGAAAAATTTTTTTTTTTATTAAATTGCTTTTGTGTTTATACATTATAGCACACTATATGATACAAAATAATATAATACATTTTAATACTTACATATAATTAAATAAAGAAACCAGTGCTTCAATAAAGGAAATAATGGAAGAAATCATGATAGGGGAACGAAATAAAAACATTTTAATAATGAATCAGTTTTAAAATGGTCATTAAAGCAAAGTTGAAGTCTTATGCCTTTTTGTTTTTAAAAGGTGACTTAATTTATAGGGATAATTAATCACATTAAGTAAAAGCATTTATAATATTGTGTTATGGTTAGAGATACTTAAGCAGTAAATATTTTTCAAACAATGGTGCTCAGCTGGTAATATACGAATTAGTTTCCATCTCTCGCAAAAATTACCTTCGAAATCCATCAATGCTTATTTGACTAACCCATCCTTTTTAAAAATGTCAATCATGTCAGTTAGATAGTTAGAATAGATAGTTTGTAACTATTATTTATTTAAATTTTCTATTTTTGAAAAAAGACGAAATCGTTAATATGACTTATATTGAAATTATCGTTTATAAATTAATCTTTAAGTTTCCTTTTTTAATATTAAATCTTAGGTATTATTAATGAGTCATAAATTATTTTAATGTAAACGCACTTTCTAATAAATGTCTTTACAACTATTTATTTATAAATTTTAGCAATATCAAAATAATCATATTTATTTTAACTTAATTGCATGTAATAAAAACGGTATTTTATTTTTAAGATTGCTGAAGCAATTGATGTTCTTGAAACAAGGATGTTAAAGGATGAAAAGGCAAAGCCAGATTACTATGTCTATAATTTACTGATTGGTTCTTGTGGCAAAGTGGGATATGTTCAAAAAGCATTTAGTCTATTTAATCAGGTATGAGTTTACTATATTAAAAATACAATGATTGATAAGTTAAATAATTATTTTTTCTAAATGGATTAAATTATACATTTCTTTTAGAAATCAATTCTTATAAATTATTTTATAATTTTGAAATGTTTACCTGTTATGGGTTTTTTACAGTACAATGAACTTTTGAAACATTTAGTGATAAGACTCATGACACAGAAGTTTATTTGTCAATATAATCTTAACTTAGGAAGTGATTAAAATTTAAAAGCGTAGCCTAAGAGAGATGAGTGTATTATAATTATTCTTAATTTACCTACCCTCATTACTTAATTGCATTTTCCATAATATTCTTAATGTTTTAAATTTAAATATTTATTTTATTACTGTTTAGTTTATTTAATAATTCAAAATTTAATTTTTGTTGAGTAAGGATTTTAAATACAAAAATATTTAAACATACTTTAATAATACATAATATTAATTAAAAAAACATTAGGAGAGAGGAGAGAGTAAAACAAAAATTTTAAAAACTAAATCTTTTTAGAAAGAAATTATGTCTTTTAATGATTATTTTTTAATTATATATTTGCATAAAACGTGATTGTAAAGAGGAATATTTGAAATTGAATTGTAATAATTGAAATTTAGATGAAAAAAATTGGTATTAAAACTACATCAGCTACATATACTTGTTTATTCAATGCTTGTGCTAATTCGCCTTATAAAAATGACGCTTTGAAAAGGGCCAAAAAGTTACACAATCTTATGACTCTGAAATGTATAGAACCAAACATATTTAATTATCATGCTATGATAAAAGGTTGGTAACAATAATACAATGATTTACTGGTGTCCCACAACTTGATAATCAATATTTCAGGTATTAGCGCTCGGAATCTAGGCGTACTGAAAATTAATTTACCTTTCTTTCGAGTCCCTTTTGAATGCTAATTACTGGAATTTTAATTTAAAAAAAAAAAAAATTTAATTTAAGCTTACCCTAAGAAGTTTTTTCATTCTACAGAAACTACTATTGTGTGAGGTCAAACTAAAATTCCAAATTTCAGCTCTATTCTAACCTTATATCCAGTAAAACAAATTATTTTGAAATTTCTGCAGGTTAATCATATGTTGATGTTATTATATATATTAATCATATATATTGCCTAGTTTAAATTTAAAACGTTGGAGGGACTTTTGAGGTCAATAAATTGTTCAGTGAAGTGAGGTTTACAATTAGTAAATTGGAATCCATTAAGTACTCTTCTTATAAATTGGAACTAAGATGATTAGTTGATACGTTTTTGATTCATATTTATCTAAACACTTAAAACATGAAATATTTGTTATTTGTTTGTGGGACACCCTATATATTTTATTATACTTCTTAATTATGTCCTATTTTAATTTAATTTATTATCTTAATTTTAAAAAGCATTTGGTAGAACTGGAGATTTATTAACAGCGTTTTCTTTGGTTGATGAAATGGTTACAAAAAAATACAAACTGAAGGATGAAACATTTAATTTTCTATTACAAGCATGCATATCCGACAAAAAAGCTGGTTTCAGACATGCATTACTTGTAAGTATCAACAGACAACAACTAACATTATATAATATTGACCAGAAGTTTGGAATTAACTATGGCAAAATGACCCTTTTCTGCCACACAGGACTTTTGAAACTCAAATGTTTCTTCAGGCAGTACATCTAATTTTTGTTTTTAATAAATGGAGAAATAGATTTACCTTTTAAATAAATCACTATTATCCTACTGATATACCATATTATGTAAATACATGGCAAATGGCCTAGATTCTGATGAACAAAATTAACTATTTTATAATACATTTAGGTATGGCGAAAAATGGTTTCAAAAAAAGTTCGCCCATCACTGTATACCTACAATCTTTTGTTAAAATGTACAAGGGAATGTGAACTTGGTGATGAATTTGAAACACGTAAATTAATTGGCGAAATAGTTAACGATCCTCATTTGCTAACATTGCAAGCCCAACTTCAAGAACCCAGTGAAGTAAAAGAAGACAATGCCTCTACAGTTAAAAACTTGATATGTAATGATAAAAATAGTTTAACCAGAATGGAAAATAGACCAAATCTCTTGGATGTCTGTCCATATTTTGGTAATATTGTCAGTATAAGCGAAATAAAAAATTCAGCAGATAGGTAAATTGCTTAAATCGATTATCAAATTTTACCGCTATTTTATCATCATTATAATATATTTATAGATTAATGTTGTTGGGCGGATGTTCGGGTTTTTTATCAAATATGAAACTCAATAAAGTAAAACCCGATATCAAAATATTCACTCAACTCTTGGAGTCTATTCCATCTACGCTGTCTGCCGAACAAGTAATTGAATGTATTACATTACCCATTTAGGTTAATTTCTAGTATGCTATGAGTGATATCCAGTAGTAAAGGTTATGTTTTTTAAAATCACCTACTCTATCTTCGGGTTTATATTTTTTTTGGGGGTCCATTTTAACAATTTAGAATCTGTGGCTCTATAGGTGCTATGCCAACTCTGGTTGGCATGAGTACACACAAACAAAGAAAAGTGAGGAGTGGGTGACACCCAGTGTATGCTCTACGATTACACTATTCATGATACCCAATAAATGTATTCATTCTACATGATCAAAGGTTAAATAATACTGATATTTCAAAGTAATTGCATTGTATCAATTATGATCAGTAACTATGATAATTTTGTTTATAGAACTTATTAAATGAATTGTCTAAAAGTAAAGTTCGATTTGACATAGACTTTTGCAATATACTAATAAAAAAGAGAAGCATGAGATGTGACTATGAAGAAGCTAAGGTAAATCTATAGTTCATTAATTGCTGATTATTTATCAATATATTGTTAAGTATAAATCATAATTGTAATTTTTTTATTCTTAGAATGTATTGAGTTTAATAAATTCAGAAGATTTAAGTGTCGACATAGTTACCTTTGGTGTTTTAGCTCTGGGCTGTAAAAATAAAGCTGAAGCTAAAGATCTAATTAAATCAATGACCGATCACGGCTTTCGGTAAGTTCTTTTAAATAATTATAAATTGAATTAATAGTTTGTTTCTTTTGAAAAAAATAAAAGAATTTACACTGGTATTATACATCTAGAAAATAGGTTTAACTTGAAAGTATTAAACTAAAATTAACTTTTTTTAAATTTTCTTTGAACTAAATCATTCCAGTGCTAAAAATATATACCTCGACTATCCAAATGTACTGACACAATAATAATTTTTTTTTTTTTTTAAGAAGTTTATGCTGGGTTGCATAAAAAATTAATAAGTTTAATGGACCAATCATGGGTCATTAAATTATGTTTAAAGAACCACTAAACATCTATTGATTCATTAAACCTTTAACAAACGTTTATGCAACCTACAATTTATTATTCTATTTTACCTTAATAATTATGTATGACAGATAAAATAATTATAAAAATACAATAACTTGATTAATTTATATATATTTTTTAAAAATGCCTATGTAACTCTTTTTAAAAACTAATTATAATTTTTTTCTATATTAAAATATTTTTTACTTCATACCATTGTTATTAATTATATATTATATTATTCATTATTTGTATAATTGTAGCGTCAATTCAGAAATATTAGGTACCATGTTAGGACAAGGATGTTTCCATTTTAATTTTGGATACGTAATTTTTATGTTGAACATGATCAAGCACGAAGAAATTAAACCCAACAAAATGTTTATGGAACGTTTAAATAGCTTTGAAGATAACATCAGAGATTTAATGAGAAAACGTGTAAGTAGTCTAATGTTTTTTATTTGATAAAAATTATAGTTATGAGTTAAACTTGTACAAAAGTATTCAATTTAATGCACATTAAAGTGAGTCTATTTGTGGATAAGGTGTTAATATAATTTTGTATACAAAAGTATGTATAGAAATAAATCTACAATTATTGCTCATAAATAAGGAGATTTATAACTTATATTGGTGACTTCTCTTAACAAGTTTAATTATATCATTTGCACTATATTAATTCAGAATGCAGTTGTTTATTTTAAAATAATTATTACATATTAGCATAAATGTATATTTAAATTGAGTCGTTTCTTGCATAAGTTGTACATTATTACTGCGAAAACATTTGTTTGATTATTAGTTTTGCAATGATTTGCAAGCTCAATATTTGTATTGTGCTTTATTAGAACGAAACAATAATAAAAGCCACTATATAATAATCCTAGAAAATATTGACAAATTTAGTCTCTTACACACAATATGATCTTATTGGCTCGGCATAATAATATGTAGTCATGACGTCGGACTAATTTTCATGTCTGGTCATGTCAGGTGGCCGCCCGACAAACTAACTAAATTCTGCAGGCGTCTGTATGCAACATGTGATTAACGATTTGGTTAATTTAATAGAACAATTTTAAAATGGGTAATAAAATTATTTTATTGATATCATTTTTAGAAAAATAAAGATCCTGATGCTCCAAATTTCATTCACAGTTACTACTTTAAAGAAGGATGCAGAAAGTTTCAAAACTTTTATCATAAATGGTTATCGGATATAACTGTAGAAGAAAACCTACATCCTTGGGATCAATTCCGTAAACAAAGAAAGGAAAATTGTTAATCATGAAAATAAATTATAAACATAATTTTTTTTAAATTAGTACAATTTTGCAATTACAAATGTAGTGGATAAATATACTTTCTGGATGAATCAAAATGTATTATATAATTTATTTTTGTATAATATATAACAATTATGTAGTATATTTATGTTTAAAGGTATATAAATTATCTTACAGCTTAACTAATTGAAATTTTAAACATTAACAAAACTAGGTAATTTTTCAAAAGGAAAATATGTATGTGTCATGTTATTTTGATAAACTTTTACTATTCTCAAACCAGGCGGTTCATTTCCAAGTGGATTACCAATGGCATTAGTAGTAATCATTTCCAAGTCTTTATAGAATACTCTGTAGTTTCTATGACAGTGTCCATAAAATATATGAGTAACACCTAAAAAAAATTATATGTAGAGTTCTATAACATGTTAGTTAAAAATATAGTTGAATGTTATATATTTTAATATTTATATTTATAATTATGACTTTTTAGCATACAAGTTATAACAAAATTGTTTTTAAAATAGCTATTTACCAGCTTCAAAAAATTTTTCAATCATCTCTTTTCTTAATTGTTTATTAATATTAAAATATTGATCTTCTTCATTAATATCTTTTAAGAACCAGGGTATATGTTGGAATAAAATAATTCGTTGTCCTTTATGTTTAGTAAGCTGTTCTTTTAACCATTGTTCTTGTTCTTTTGCCATTTCCTCTACTTTGTTCATCTTATAATACTGAGAATTCAGGACTAAAAATAGTACACCACCACACCAAAATGAAAAATAATCATGGCCAAATTCGCTACGATACCTAGGAAAAAAACAGTTTTTTTAAACGTATTTTGAAAAAAAACTCGTGAAATAAAATATATATTGTTTATTCATTATATTTACTTAGTAATAGATTGTTTATCTGGTACATCACCTACATCATGATTACCACATACACATACAAGTGATATAGATGGGTGTAACTTACTGTACACCTTTTTAAAATCTTTTACTTGTAATTCGTTCAATTTTTCTTCTTTATCTATGTAACAACAATAAATTTAGTGATTGAAGTATTTTTATTATATCATTGATATGCCTAAAACACATTAAACGTAATTGGATTTTCCTATCATTAGAGCTTAACCGAAAATTTAGACTTTTAATGGAATCTATTAAAAAAATTATAATTAATATATAAATATTTTTTAAGGGGCATGCAATGTTTTTATGACGTTTTAGACCAAAAATCCAGACAAAATTTCGACTACCTGGATGGTTCGATTTCAATTTTGTAAAGGTATACGAGTTCTTTGGCAACTTTACTAAGTTATGTAAAAAAAATATTTTTGATTATTTATGTAAAACAATTTGGGTTTTAATTTTGAAAAATTACAAATTTAATTAATTTAATTACAAGAAAATGACATAGTAACATGATAACATAGTAAACTATCCAAAGAACTCTAATATCTCTTTACAGAATTGAAATTGGATAATCCAATGTAGTAAACATTTTGTCTGACTTTTTGGTCTAAAATAAATCAAAATGGCTTTAAATTATAGAAAAAAATATTATTTGAATTAAAAATAGTATCTTGAAGCTTCTACAAATTAACCGCGGGTAATTAATTGACATGGCCGAAATTTATTAAAAGCACTTTTTCCTTAATTGTCTATAGAAAACTCGTTAAAAAGAGACTGCATGCAATCCTCTTAATATTAAAATTCTAAAAAATAAATTTAATCAATTACTTAAATTTGTATTTATTGACAGCATAATAGGTAAAATTATATTTGGGGGGGGGGGGGGTAAAGGTATTACAAAATCCAGGCCTCTCTATGTACGTGGTTAACAATTGAAAACGTTCGTAAAGGATAAAATGTTATTCATAAATAGTAATACTAACTGGGCATGGCATTCACTAAATCACCACAAATCACTACAAACTGAGGTCTAGGCGTTAAAGCGTTGATTTTCTCCACAGCCGTTATAGATCTATTCATTTCTTCTTGCCAGTCTGTTGGTTCCCGATCTTGAAACGAGGTATTATAACCTAACTGAGGATCAGCGCCGACAACAAAATAAAAATTGCTCGACCAGTTTTTACTGTCTTTTACTATAAAAAAAAAAAAGGATAAATATATTTAATTTTAGTCTAAGCAATTTTCGTATATTTTATATTCGTTCATATCATATTTATATTCTAATATTTTATCAGATTACCGACACTAAATTTCTATTTTTACTAAAATCTCATACTACTACCTATTTTTGTTATTCGTGTGTCACGTTGTTTAACTTATCAAATTGACCAACTCGTTTTAACCCCTCACGCACACAATTTTATGGGGTACTTAACGTAAATATTGTCAAGAATATTGGTAAAGATTTAAAAATCCAGAATTCTGGTCCACTTTCTGTTGGTTCTTGGTCAACTATAATTACTACAAATAATAATATTCACCAGACGTATCTCATTGTTCATTTAATAAGAACCATATAATCCTAATTTGGTGTTTTTTACACCGGGCTTAGAACATATCATAGATCAGGCATCAGCGTTTATAGTAAAATCGGTTTCTTAGTAAAGAACGAGTAGTTCAAAAAAATAGTTTTGAGAGTTTAGTATAAGCCCGTGTTCATAACATTTTAAAAGCACTTTATTAGGTACCTAAATCCTAATGTACACCGAAAATGTAGCTACTTACATTTGTCGTACCCAATATTATATGAAATAGTATGTGTTTTCCACGCTAGAACTTGTTGGCTGTTGTCTGTCATTTTATCTGCTTACACGCTGAAAATTAGAAGACATAAAATTACAAACAGTCAAGTTGCTTTAATAATAAATAAAACAGTCATGGTGTAGCTACCGCGGGTACAGCTGCTCTAGGACACATTTTAATTTAGGGCGGTTTACTTAACTATGTAAGTCAACAAGCAATATAGAGTGCAAAAAAATGTCTTGCCCCTGTAAGCTTTAGTCTCTATAGTTACGCCACTAAAATAGTATTTGTAAGTAACATATAATAAGTTATAAAATAGGTATACATGCTATTGTTTTTGTAGTATCTTGAATAGTAAGTATGATAGACAATACAAATTAATGTAAGGAAAAGTTTTGAAAAATTTGGATTTAGTTATAGTTTAGGCAATTTATTTTGATAATGTTATTATTGCCAGAAAAAGAAATCCCCAAAAATCCTTAGCCTTCATCCCTCCGAACTAAAAAAAAAAAATTGAACAACTATTTAATATTAATAAAGACATTGGTCAGTTATTAATATCATATGGAGATTTTGGACTAGTGAAAAAATTGTTTCTATATTACATGCCTATGTTAAAAATTAAGACTTCCAACAAAGAGCTTAGAAGATCCTCCACTATTCATACAAATTCGTTAATTATTTTTTGTGGAGAAAATTGAAGCACTGGTATTATTTATTAGGTAAAAATTGATTGAATATTTTAATTAATTTGGTACATGCAAAAAGGGACCTTGGCGCCAATGGATCCATTCTTGTACATTTCTAGCCGACACTCTGGTCTTGAATAAAACTTGTTTTTTCGTTTCATGTGTCAAGTGGCTTTATTCCCCGACAAGAACTGTATAAGTTCTAATAAGTTCCCTATTTCTGTACGATCCAAATCAATATTCATTGTTCTGTTATTGTAAATTGGACTAAGTTGTCAATCGTTAAATAAAAATGAACTAGGTGTATTGTGTTTCATTCATGACACTTTTTTAGTGATTAGCAATAACAAAAAGTACAACATAAACGATAAACTTGATAATTCTCTTGTGCTGATATTCATTGTGTTTACTATACGCCTACGTATTTAAAATTATCTTATAAAAATAAAGAAACGCGTATATCAGCGTGATTAATAAGGCAGGTATACATAATTAGAACATTAATTATAAGGGTAATAACTTTTTTATGGCAATATGCCAACAATAAAATTTCAATAATGCGGAGAAGTGTATGACTTAATATACTGTACGCGCGTTCGTATAGTTGTATATGTTGCTATTGAGGTTCAGTTGAAAATTATTATTAGCTTTTTGCATTGCATATATGACTATTGAGAATGCAGTTATATTTATAGAAACTTTTTTTTTACTGCGCCTAAATTAATCATTTTGAATGATATCAAAATATCTGTTCCGTTTGAGAGTTCTAATGCGTACTTATAAATAAAATATTATTAAATCATTAATCTTAAATAACCTTAAGGGAACTTAAAAAACCAAGAGGAAGATTTCCGACAATTCACAAAAACTTCCGTTTAGAAATGCAATGCTTTGTAACAAGAGTTCGTATTTTGCCATTTTTTTTTAACCTCATATTATTGTCATTTTGTACCATTATTAAAAAAATTTGGAGGTTTGGCGGACTACATAAAATGTCATCCCTACAACAAAACAAAATGATCAAAATCAAATTACTCTACGAGACTTTATAGTTTTGTACGTAGTTATAATACATATAAAACGTATTTTCGTTGAATGTTTTGCGTTAGAAGTTAACTGTTAACTTTAAAATAAGTTGATATATTTTTAACTCAATATTGCCTAAATTTTACTCCTTATAAATAGCGCAGTCTCAAGGCGATACGCGTGTTTTGTTAAAACTTAATAATATTTTTGTTAATAGGGGGAAATAAAACAACAGTAATTCGACATTTAAATGAGACAAACTAAAAAATATTTCTTACGTACATACATGCAGTTACTATTACAATAATTCTTTAATACTCTTATTTTATATTGAAATTATTATTTCCAAACGTTTAAAACTGTTGTCAAAGCAATACATGTGCAGCGTCCTTCAGTTATATACAATAGTCAATACATATATATCTAGAAAAAACTTGAGCAACTTATGGTTATATATGATAAAGAAATTAATATTTAAACCCCTTTATCTCAGTCTGTTGTTAGCGCTGAAGATACAACATTGTGGCCGAAATACGTATATGCAGAGAGTGTGTTATTTTATGGTTAAAGGGTTTTAAATATTAATTTCTTTAATACAAATATAGTTTCAGAAGAGATTAACCTGAAATCAATTGTAATTGAATACTTCAGTTTTGACGCAGAGTTCATAAGAAATTAGCTTTACAATAATATTTTATCTCTACCCACCCATTGAATTTTTAATGCTGATTTTATCTAAAGCCCGAAAATTGTCAGACCGAGTTGATTCCGCACATTTCTCAGGCATAATTCAATTATCTTTCTTTTTTTTTTTGCTGTCCTTTGGCTATGTGATAGCCAACTTTGGCCTAAATATACATCATGGGATCGAAGAAATAAAGTTATAATTACCAATACGAATAGGCCACACTTAACTGTCAAGTAGGCCACAGCCACCACATAAAAAAACAGTTCCTAAAAAATGCCCAGACTTGTGGTGAAATCCTCATAATTCATTTTCACAACTACGAAGAACATAGATTCGAGCTATTAATCCCGAAAAACCTATTCAAAGCATTAGAACCCTCTGGAGTGAGTAATAAATAAATAGTTTCTTTCTTAATAACAGCTAATATAATTGATATAAGTAACTACTTTAACTCCATTTAATTGTAGTACAATGTTAAACAGGAAGAAATTCATATTATACACTCATATTTAACACGATAACACTTAAAGTATAAGCTAATAACGTCTTTTGTTACTATAAATAAAAAAAATATATATATATATATTGAGATATTTAAGAGTTTAATTTGTTTCGCCTCTGTTAACTGATTTGTAAGCAAAATTCTAATTTCCAAGTTTTTAATATTAAAATATTAATATGAACATTAATATAATATGATCATTATTAATTCGTATAATTTGTGAATATATTATAAGGAAAATATAAATAATGTATAAAAAGCTGAATGGTGTAAAAACTAGAAACAACATTGATAGGTAAAACGTAAAATTGTGATCCCTGTGTAAAATATGTAAGAAACCATTTGGGAATTGAAATAAACTTATTTTATCATAACTATGTCGATTGTAATAAAATATGAATTCCAAATAAAAATGGAAAATTTGATAGTATGTCAGGAGCGAAAAAAATTGAAACGTAATTTTGAAATCTTGTTGCCGCCAAAAATAGGTAATATGACAAAATAATTTACTTACCGCCCTTTTCGTGTAATCACATGCAAAATCTGCACCGAGTGATAAGATTTAATATTTGAAAATAAATAATCCAGTGTTAAGATAAAGTGAAGTGTTTCATAGCCATATAATAATTAATATATTTTATAAATCTAAATGTACTTAAATAATAAGCCGATCGTGATAAATGCTAATTGTATCATTATAAAATATTTAAAATGAACGACACATGGGCATTTACCTTGGCAAACGCAACCAAACTAATGGAATTCGTCGACAAAACTGTTGTTCTGCGTACTAAACAACAACACTTATCCAAAGGCGTCGTTCACACAGTCGATCCACTGACAAAAAGGTACTGACTTTTCGTAAATCTTCGTGAAAATGTCACATCACATTAATAGGAACTTGTTAGTAAAAATAATTATATATATCCCGTGTTTGCGATGGTGCGTTGCTGTAGCCTTATGTTTTGCTGAAACAGCACGTTTTAACGTTTAAAATCATAGTAGGTTTTACAATTTTAGATAAGATAACTTATTATAAGTGACTATATATCAGTTTTATTACCTAGTATAGTTATTTTTAATACAGTTGTTAATGCTTATTTTCTATACCTTATAATAGGCTGTAAATTCCTCTTATCAAGTACATGATAATTACTGTGATGCGTGGTGTCATATTCCTTCTTTATTTTAAGCGCGTAATACTATAGATTACAGGCCTTTTAAACTTCCAAAATATTGACGTGATTAAAAGGAAATGGGGGCTATAGAAATTCAAATCCCTGTAATGTTTTTAATTTTTACCAAAATTCTGAGGTACCTTTTAAAGAGTCTGAACGTCCCCAGCCACCCCGTTCCAGTTGTGACAATGTAACATAATATTATTGTTAAGTTAGTTAAAAATCCTTTGTGAAAAAATAGAAGAAAAAATATTATCATTAAGCACACGATTCATCAAATTTGAAGTATAAATTAGGTTAATATTAAATAATATATTTACCCTGTTTTTATTAAATAAAACAACTGTAAAATTTAAAAATGTGAGAAAATATTTTCTTAATTATTTATTAAAAATATCAATTTTAATAACAGAAATATGTTCATTACATACAATTCTTATTCAAAGTAGTAGTTTCTGTCCTCAAGTAAAAAAAAAAACTGTTCAAATAATTTATATTGGATTATAAAAACAAAAATAACAATTATGTTTTTAAAATACTACATTTATTTAATAAACAATTAAACTTTATTAAAAAAATCGGATTTAAACCTTTGTGTTAATATTTAATAATAAATATTTACAAACAAATGTTTGTAATTGGTTTTTATTTTTTTCTTTATTGATATTTTTCGGTCATTGTTCGGTCAAGTCTTGAAGTAAATAAATTGTTAGTTATACATCTTTATATTACTCTGTTTTTACAAACAATTTCTTTATAAATTTACCCGTGAATTGTTTTTTGTTTTAGTGTCGTTTTGGTGGTTGATGGCGAGTATAAAGTATTTACTGGCGTAAATATTGAAAGTGTAAATATTGATAAACTGGAATGTATATAGACTATGAAATACACTATAAAAAATATTTTTTTGTTATACTATATTGTTATATTCAAGAATTGTATGGAATGTAATGTATATTTTGTTTGTGCAATTTGATTATTAAGTACTTATAAAATATGATCAAATAATAAATGTACAAATGATTGTTAAACCATTGATAAAAAGTGTTATTAAGAGCTTATTTTTAACACCTATTTTAATAATGATAACCAAAGAGGTATATTATAGTAAGAATTTTAGGTGTGTAACTTATGTTACATGTTACATGTTTTATAGCCGCTGCATTAAGTAATAATCCAAAACGAATGGCAGATAAAAAACAATCTTTAACATTAATACAAATAATATTGTATTTTGTAAGTAGATGTAATAGTCATTAGACACCTTTATGCTTAACAGTCTCTAAATAAAACTCTAAACAAATTATGGTATTTGTATATGAAACATAATGTGTTAAATATAATTGAATTAATATTTGTTTGTATAACTTTTTATACTTAATTATTTAATGTTATAGTTGTAAATTAATTATGTTAATACATTAAAGCGGATAACAACATTTAATTAATCTTTAATTGCTAGTTGCATCTAGATTAGAAATTTTATGATGCTTGATTGTTGCTTGTAATGAATATAGGATAGGACAAGAGCTTCTCTTTTAATTATGCCATGAACAATTTATTATAGGTTTAATAAATAAATAGATACATTAACAGATATACTTAAACATAAATTAATGACCTGTGATTATCCAAAAAAAAATAGTATAGTTAAGTATAATAAAAATTTTTATTTTTTATTTTTTTTGGTGCCACCCGGTAAAAGTATTTTTTGAATGGTTCATTTTTTGTGATAAGGAAAATTTGTTTATATTTCATAATATAGTACAAAATATATTTAATATTTGAAAAAATAAATTACATATATTTGCGAAAACGTACCTAGTATAGATATTTACTACATAATTAATTTGCAAACTAGTTATTCAAGAAGAAAAAAAAGGTGTTAGAGATTATAACGCGACCCCAAATATGCATATGCATAATCACAGCTGTATAAAACTACAATCTGAAAGGACCGTGGCAGGTGTTATGTGGATACTCTTGGTGCAGTACAATATACTCAACCAAGGGTTAATCTCCATTGATTACACAACTTTTAGCGTTAGCGACATTAAAAGTTCGATGTCTACTGAATTTTTAACACTGTCACCAAATACCCCAATATATCTTGCCAAAGTCCAAACTTTGCAATCCTAAAAAACTTATCCACCTGATAAAGAGTGTAACATCCATACTCAAAGTTTGAAGGTCTCGAACAGAGTGATGCGCTGCTCACTGCTGTCATCAATTTCTTTTAACTAGTGCTCGAAAAAGTAATCAGATAAATGACAATAATACATCAAGGCATGGAGATTTAGTTTAACTTAATACCTACGCTATTTGATTACACACTATACAGATATTATTTCAATAGCAACTCGCAATAAGAACAAATGATTTATTAAAAACAGCTAAACCAATGGGCCTGGGAGTGAAACAGGACAATACAATTTTTTACCAAGTATTTATACTTGTACCTAAGTAAATATTTCGATTATCTTGAAGCGATTATAAATCAATAAAATAATATACACAATGAAATTAAATTGAGGATAATATTTGTAATATACGCCAAACAAGGGTTATTATGATTTAGAAAAATGGTTCAAGTCAAAACTTCTTTAGACGATCAAAAAATGAAGTGTGAAAAAAAAAAGTGCAACAAATATTGGTCCAAAAAAAAGTTTTTCAGCCGAGTCTGTAACCACGAATGAGCATTTTCATGTCTCGTTGAAGTACCGTACCGAATAAATTTAGAGTAGTGGTGGAATTATAGATAATGATATAGTATATTAAGAAGCAGTAACAAGCTAGTATATTAAAACATCAAGTTTCTGGCTAACATTGTGGTGTTTAATATCTGGCTTAAAACAATTCATAGAGAATTTTGACCCTTAAATTATTTTGAAGTTATCATTTAGTTCTAATTTGAACGTTGAACGTACAACATATCTCTTATCTCCTATATCTTACCTTAATCTCCTACCCCAACCCCATCTCCGTGTGGTAACGCTTTTTTCGGTTATGTGCTAGAGCTAAGACATGAAAATGTCAAAATCCGGCATAAATACTAACCCGATGAGCAATGGTAGGCTATATCTGGACATCAAACGAAATCCTCGACAGAAAAGATAAATGGGAGGACAGAATTAAAGATGATCTAAACAAATTCACTCGGGGAATAAAAAAAAAAAGTATTGACTGACAGATGGAGGAATGTAGCAGAGGCAGCAAACGACCTTCAGGGATATTAAAGTCTCAAAAAAAAAAAAAAATTATAATTAATAGGTATCATAGATTAAATAGATTTTTTTATCTAACGAGTGTTAATGTGTCACGAATATGGGTAATTATTTGGTAAGAATAAATAAATAATTTATAACAATGTAATTCTGTACAAACTTTCAATTAAATCGGACCCTACAAAGTGTCCTCGTTTTGCATTTAACGCTCAACCGTACAAAGTGAAACCAAATTATACTTTCTACTGATTATTTATTTGACTACTAGCACTCCAATTTTGATTTTGTGAAACATTTTTAATCAGTAATAACTTTTTGTTTTAATTAATCTTTTTTCAACATTTATTTCTTGAGTTTTTTTTTATACAATTGCTTTAGCTTTGGTCAGGAACGTTGAGCAAAGTCCATTGTACATTTTGTGTAAACTAAAAAACTTTTGTCTGTGGTTTAAATAAATCATATATTTAATCAATTGTAACTCAAGGTACATTTATATTTTTTAATGTGACTATTCATCACATAGTATTTTTTAGAGATAATACTAACGATTACCAAAAATATATAATTTGGTATTAGCATTGAGTACCTATATATTCAATAGTATTAGTTAACTGTACGTTTTTTCTTACCTAATATATTTATTAAAACTATTAACTAATAATTTACCTGATATTATTAGTGTTATTTTTTTTTTTAGCATAAACAAAAAGATTATTAAAATAATTATATAATGAACCAAAAGAAATATGAACACTTAAATATAACCATTTTTAGATAACTTAATAACTTTTTACGCAAATGCAATGTATGGTAATAGAACATTTAGTGTCATCGAATTATGCATTTTAAAATATTTTTTATACCTATAGAGTAATAGTGTAATATTATTGGGCCAATATTTAATATTCTTAGTATGCGAAATATGCGACATATTGTTAAAAGTTAATATTTTATCAAAATCATATAGATGTAAAACAACTTATTTTGCACATCGAATAAATCAAGGAACAACATATAATATGGCTTTTATTTTCCTAAATTGAACGTTATTGTTATACAAATAAACAAAAATGAAAACTACATCAATAGGTATGCTGATTTTTAAACTATAAATATAACATAAATCAATAAAAATAATAAATAAATAAAATTAAGTATTACATAGTAATGAAAAACATAACATATTATACTAAAAAAAACTCACTTAAAAATAATTTGTATGGCACAAACTTGATAACAATACGAAAAATAATCTGTTAAGTTTTAAGAGATAACTAATATGTTTTGAAAATACTTTTGTACTGTAATTTAAATAATTGAAGTTAGAAATTTTACAATATTATGGTAGATATGCTGTGTTATGTAATAATGTTAAGTACGATTCTTTAAGTCTTGAAATCAGTTGACTAGCGATAACTAAATCTATTTATATTTGTTCAACATTGATCATTCCAAAAAGTATTTTTATCACAATCTTCTATAAATATATATATTTTTTTATAGGAAGATACTATATACTGTTTTCTTTTAACTAATAAATAGAAAACATAATACAATGATAAAGTTATATATATTAAATTACTGGTTCTTAATATTTTGAAGGAATGTAATAGAAATACCGGTTATTTGTTCTTAATATTGCTCCTTTGATTAGCGCCTAATTGACGCATAGATACACCAGATAGACTCATACGTGTTTGTTAAAAAAAATGTTTTCTAATAATTAAAAATTCCTTGGTTTCACGTATACAATAGCGTAAGTTTCTATCCATTTGGGATACAACATTTATTGTTCTCTACATCATCCCATGAACAAAAATAACTAATTTTAAGTGAGGTTTTCTTATCGATAGGTAGTATTTATGAGTATTAATTTATTGGTGACTTCTTCTCAGGTATGCTGAGTTCCATTTGCATTTCGCCTAATGATAATTGTAAATTATTACTTAAGTTTCCAACACTGTCTTCTCGTGGCAATCGCTTGCCGAAATGTCTTTCCACCCATTTCAGCATAGTCAACACAGAATCGGTGCTCGGTAAACGGCGTTCCGCTGAGGTTTTTACTATATTAGACTGAGCTACGCGGAATGTAGCAGCCATGCCTTTCAAAGCCTAGTAGCAAATTTATAAGTGAATATACATTGATGAATTAGTTATTTTAAAAATTGTAAGTTACCTGCATGGCATCTTCGTCCGTCACATCATCTCCAGCATAAATTATACGAATACGTTCACTCCAATCCAGACCAAAGGCCGTTCTTAAAATGTACAAAGATGCACGCCCTTTGTTCCATTGTACAGGAGGTTTTGCTTCAATAGCACAATGAGCTTGACCGGCTTTAAATCCAGCTTCTTCAATAAGGCGCTGAGCTGTTGATGCCAGTTCAGGACGAAGGTCTACAGGTACTTCACGATAATGGAAGGTCAATAGAGTGCCTTTGTTTTCAACCCAAGCACCATCTTTGCAAACCTACAAAATTTTATAAAAAAAAAAATTCAATAATCTATAACCTAGTCAGGAATACTGAAAAGTACAAACATAAAAAATATAATTTGCAATTCTTTCTCAGTTCCTCATTATAAAATATAAAATGTAGTGTTTGTTGTGTAACTTGATATGTATTACATACCTGATCTTGGAGAGATTTCAACAACTCGGTGACTTTTTCTTCATACTCTTTGGGCATTGGATGTACAAATCTGCTACCATCGGGGTGAAGAATTTCAAGTCCATGGTTACCAGCATAAGTCAATCCCTCGATACCGACCTAAAATTATTCAAATTATCCTTGTTACACCATATCTAACGCTAAGTACATAATTTCATTAACGAACCATGTCTTTAACATTATGTACGTTTCTTCCTGAAATTATTGCTATGTACACATCAGACATATTGGCCAACCTTTCTAAAACACTTTTAGTCTCTACGGGTAATATAGCCAAATCAGGATGTGGAGCGAGTGGAGCTAATGTTCCGTCGTAGTCCAATAATAATGCAAGCTTGTTTGTGTTTCCAATGTACCTATTCAAATTTGAATTAAGCATATTGTAATAGTTAAGATGTACAAATATTTACTTGGATAAGTAATCATCAAAGTCTTGTAAAGTAACTGGTTGCATGGTAGTTGGTAATACATCATCTCCATCTTCAGTTATAAGAGTGCCCATTGCTTTCAAAAAGGATCTCATCCAGTAATCTACATCGTGAATTTTCTCTCTGCGCCTCAAACACCTCATTCTTAGCATTCTTTCGTCTTCTGGCATTGTTAAAGCTCTATGTAAAGTGTCAGCTGCTTCAACCAGTTCATATGGGTTACAAATTAATGCCTCATGCATCATTTCACCAGCACCAGCAAAGGGCGAAACAATCAAAACACCAGGTGGTTCTTTAATTTGGCAAGCTACAAATTCTTTGGCGACCAAGTTCATGCCGTCTCTCAGAGGAGTGACCATGGCAACAGCCGAATCTCGATAAAAAGCTGCCAGCTCGTCTTGACTAACACATCCATAAATGTATCTGATTGGTGACCAATTAGGAGTTGTGAAACGTCCATTAATGCGCCCGACAAGTTGATCCATTTCTTCTTTTAGATCTTGGTACTCCTTAACATCTGTGCGTGACGGTACGGCGATTTGCATGAGTGCAACTTTGCCTTTGTGTTGTGGATATCGTTCCAACAACACTTCAAATGCTTTAAGTCTATGTACCAAACCCTTGGTATAATCTAATCTGTCAACACCAAGTACCAATTGAAGCGAAGTACTAATTACTGTTGGTGCTTGTTCAGCCATCTTTACAAAACGATCAAATGGTATGCCAATGGGCAAAGGACGAACACGCACTGTACGGCCACCATGTTCAACAAGTAAGTTCTTGCGATCTACACGACATCCTAAACGTCGATGGCAACATTCAACAAAATTTAAACAATAATCTTCAATGTGGAAACCGATCATATCGCAACCTAGAAAACACCAATGTGCAATAATTAATAAAAGATGTATTAATATGATTTTCATAAAAAATATTAATATTATATAATTTTCAAAATAATTACCAAGCATTCCTTGAAGAATTTCATCAGCCCAAGGGAACAACCTAAATATATCCCAAGGAGGAAATGGTATATGAAGAAAGAACCCTAGTTTAAATTTTAAATTCTTTTCGTCAGCAGCCTACAATTTTAACACATAGGTATTAAAATATATATTGGAAAATAAAGAAAATCTTAGTTTACATTTCTAATACTGTTTGCTGCCAACATGAGATGATAATCATGAAGCCAAACGAGAGGTGTTCCGACATCATTGTCTTCAGTTGATAAATTTTCTAATGTTGTCACAGTTTTCGAAGCAAATTCTTTGTTGACTATACAGTAAGACTAAAAATATAAAAAATTTGAAATCATTAATCGTAAGTAGTATCAAAGTGTAACTTTTAATTTTGTAATTATTATTCTTACTTTCCAAGTATCAACAGAAAATTGTGCTCTGTCGGGCATTGAATGGAAAAGTGGCCAAAAAGTTCCATTACAACAACCATTGTAATAGCTATCAAAAGTTACAGGATCAAAATCAACTGCCACAACCTTAATAATACAAAACAAAATTATTATTATTTTATGTATTTTATTTAACTAAATACCATACTCTATCTGAACGTAATCCGGCTGTAGGCGTCATATCATTGGGATCAGGTTCAGGTATTGTTTCTCCTTTTTCCAAATACACACCAGGCCATCCAATCCATACTCCATTACCCTGGACTACGACTGGCGCCACAGCTGTTACTAAACCACCAGCACTAAAAATAATTAAATATAGAAGGTATACTAAACTGAGACGATGCATTACACTATCCATGCATAGCAACACAAATTTTGTATAATATAATATTAATTATAGTTATTTATTATATTTTATCGTATTAAATCGGACTTTTTACTATAAAACAGTAATATACAATTAACCAACTTAATAATGTAAACAAATTGTATTTTATTTCTTTTTCAAATTTGTTAATTTAAATAAATAAATGCATATAACAAATAATTAATTGTATTTAAATTATTTTTAATTTATTGAGTTGATTTAAATTTATTATTTATTGCGCTCAACGACTCAATTTTATTATTGATAGGGATATTATGAAATAATTAAACATATTGATCCGGTTATTTTTTTCTAGGTCATATTTTCCGGTTACCAGACTGCTAAGCTCTTCAGTGTTTTAGTCAATAACAAATCATTATTTTCATTAATATTTTTACAAGCTTAAAAAAAATTAACATCTATATTTTGTGTTGGAAGAATACTTGTCTGACCGACTATATTTTTATAAAATAAGGTGAAGAAATAGATAAATAAATAATTTTGAGACTTGGTAGTTGGGTTATGTATGTATGACAACGAGGTTTTGTATTACTTGTTATTGATACTATTGATTGTTGGTGATTTTTTGTTGTAATTTCGTTATTAAAATTATAAAAAAGTAGTATGTATCGTCGAATAAATAAAGGAGAAATTGTTTTACAATGTTTACATGTACATTATGCATCATGAATTAAAAAAACATGCATAAGATGGTGGTGTACGAAATTAAGCCAAAAAAGTTTTAGCTGTGAAGGATTTAATAAGCAAAACAAAATATTTGTTTTTAAATTATTGTGGAAATTAATTATAGTAATAACTAATAACATACAAAATAAAATGAATACAATTTCCCTCGTTTATTTTTGCCTTTATCCATCAGATTATTTTTTCTTAGATTCTAGCAGTCTTTATAAATTTGACTAAGAAAAGAAGACCGTAATATTATCATTTGTCTGTTGATACTTGATAGCAACTGTACAAAGCAACACATTTTCATGTAGTTTCTGACAACAATTTATTTTTTTTCCGTAGTTAGTATATTACTTTTTCGGTGTCCTAGCTTTATTAAAGCAACGTTCTTTAAAATAAAATCAATATACGCTCGGTTTTGAACGGTGGCTTTGATGAGGATTAAGTGCGGTTGGATAAAATGGAGAGAAGCGTCAAGTGTGTTATGCGGCAAAAGAATTCCAATGAGACAATGAGGTAAGTTCTACAAGAGTGTAATGAACCGACGATGTTGTATGGTTCGGAGTGTTGGGCGATAGATAGGAAAATTGAACAGAGCATGAATGTAGAAGAGATGGTTTAGGCATGGCATGAGGATGAGGTGAGAGGAATCTAAAGCAGTAATACCTCGTTTACATTCAGCCATTGCCATTGCTCCTCGCGCTACTGTATTTACTTCCCAAAATACTTGAGTGGCAGCGTCGAAGGCAGTGAGTGTTTATACTTTAAATTGCCCATTGCTTACATTAACCAGTCAGCGCGAGTGACGTGTTTACATACTCGCGCTACGAACTTTCATGCTCACTTCCCTGCTCACTGTTACGGAAGTGGGCTGAATGTAAACGAGTTATTGAGAATGGTAATGAAACTAATCGTAGGAGAAAAGATGGGAAGAGGAAGACCGAAATAGAGGTAGTGGAAAACGATTGAGAATGATAAGAGAACTGCTGGTGTATGCGTGAATGATGTAGGAGATCGTGTCAAGTGGAAATTTAGGACAATGGTCGCCGACCCCAAATAGTTGGGATGAAGGTGAAGAATAAAGAGAGTAATATGCATCCGGTTGTATACATACATCATTTACATTACGATATTGCCTTCTTTGCAAATGTCGGACTGACACAATTCCATTAAAAATGACTTGATAACTATTTGGTTGTCCGCAGGGCCGTACTCAGCTTTGCCGGGCCCCGGGAAAACTATATCTTCCGGGCCCCTTTTATTTTATTTTTATTGTAGGCCCGGACCCCTTAATAATAGGCTTAGGGCCGGGCCCCGCACATATGACCCGAGAAAACCGGTCTGGATACGGCCCTGGTCGACCGCTATCTATAGTATGTTTATATATCTGTGACCACATCCAATGTTACTATTAAACCAAGTACCAAACTATGTAATGAAAAACTAGGTTTTAGTAAAAACAACATCAAAATATTATTATTTTGTCACGAATTGGTGGAAACTAACTTCGAAATTGTAATTTGTATTTAAACTAGGGCTCCCTATTTCACGGATTCACGTAAAATTAATCACGAGTTCATAAGACTCGTGATTGATAATTATCCGTGAATTTATAATTTTATTCTCGTAATCACGTTTTCGAGTATTTGTTAATAACAAAATATAAAATACAATTTTTTTTTCAAATAACTATACTGTCTATACATATTTAAACAATATCAATAAACACGAAACAAAATTGAATCCAGTATTTTTTACGTGATAAGTATTCACGTATTCGCGTTTTTATATTACTTTTATTTACGTTATCACGGAATCGTGTTTATGTATGTATTAATTCAGGTACGTAACCGAGAGGGGGGCCCCCTAATTTAAACAAGGTAAATCATTAAACAAAATAGTGCATGTAATGAATGTTTGTTTTGCATATATATGAGCTGTACGCAGTATTTAAATCAATAATACTTAATTATTATGTTTTTTACAATGTTTATACATTCTGTACATATTTATCGCATAGATAATAGATTATTGACGCCGTATAAAAAATAGGGATCGGCGGTAAAGCCTATTATAACACGTCCAGTTTGTCTTGAGCCGGCTCTGACGTCAAACGTGACAAGTCAGGGGTTTAAAACATCTAATGTATTTATTATACTATATAGTATCATACATACACTTTTATATAAAAAAAAACTATCAGTTTATATAACATTCTGTTCCTTTATCATTGTTGCCTCGCTGACGCGATTATATACTAAGGGATTTGAAATAGTTTATAGCAACTAATTCAATAATAATCTTTGAGATCGAATTATAACTGTCATTTCATACTAAAACATATGTTAAATATGTTAGCTTTCATTGCCGCTGAATGCTATGCACTCACAAGTGCCCTACAGTTTATTTTGTCCCTTGACCAATGCAATGTCCTTATTGCTTCCGATTCGTAATCCTGCCTTCTAGCTATTTTATATAATCCTTTTAATACCCCACTTTCCCCTCTTGTTTTCCTAATCAAATCTCTAGTCTATCAGCTTAGCCTAGGTAATAAAGTCGTAAAGTTTCTCTGCGTTGCAAGTCATGTAGTAACGAAATTGCTGATCATCTTGATATTGCTAAAAAAATTTCTTTGCATCTTTCACATTTTAAGATACTTTCCTTTGACCTTCTCTCTAAACATCGTTCACATTTACATCACGCATGGAAAATCAAATGGTCCTGTCTCTCACCTATCTAAGCTTCCTGGTATAGAAATATCTCTCCCACAATTGCAATTCGCCCGCGATTCTGGGCTCTTGACATCCCTAGACACGTTATAGTTGCTTTCACTCGGTTACGCGCCGGTCACAATTTGTTACCCTTCCACTCTTATTGACTCCACTCAATTCTTCTCCTCTTTGTCTCTTTTGCACCAGACTGAGATTAATTATGTTGTTTCACATCTTCTTTTTAATTGTCCCTCCCTCCTTCCCAGTCATAGCCTACTTTTTTCTCTCCTATCCTCCTTTGGTTACATTTCCCTGATTTATAACTACTCCTTAACTCTCGTTCCCTTATTGTCATATTTTCCTTAATTTCTTTCATTCTCAACGCTGGTTTCCCCATTTAAATAAATACATTTTTAATTTGTAAGCTCTTTTGTTACACATTGTCAATTTATATCATACCATAATATCTAAAGACAAAATGCATTAAATACATAAAATAATATTACCTATAAATATTTTAAAGATAACATTTTTTTTTTATAGCCGTGGTTCGAATTTCGGTTGCTGTCTGTTTCTTTAGCTGGGCGGGGAACCGTCTGGAGAGAGAAATGGCTATCCTACTGGTGCGGAAGGCAACGGTAAACCACCACAACATACCCACTTCCCCAGGATGGAAACTCTTATCTCTTGTAGGTCAAGAGATGTCCAACCGACCTAAAAAGGTCATAGACTAAAAAAAAAATGTATGATAAAATAGCATACCAGCCAAAAATGAAAACACCATTTGAAACGACTTGAATTTGTATTAAATATCGTTAACACTATAATGTAACTTATGTAACTAGGTAATTCAAGTGTACTCAGATAAAATAGTTAAGTTGTCGAGATCCATGACAAACAGCCTTACACTCAACCAATGCATGCAAAATGGCTGTGTGTATAAGAGGCACTAAATTCATTGCTGATTGCTGATTAGATGCCAATTAAATCATCAGTATAAAAACTGTAATTATTAAAATCCATTTTCTTTTGCAGTTACAAATTACGGTGTTCATTAGCCTTCTATTGAAAATTAAAACGAATGAAAATAGCAAACTGCATCAATTGTATGTTAACATACATATTATCACGGAATACCCTAACTGTTTACAATGTATCTATTTATAATTAGACTATAATAAGTGTTAAATGTTTATATATTAAACAACACGTCTGTAAGAGCAAACGCATGCGATCATACTCTATTAATGAATACATAGGTGGTAAATGCTTTTTTCAAACTTCATATTATATGCTCAGAAAACCAAATGATTTTATAGCTATGATATAGCAACTCACGAGATGTTGTGTTCATCAAATTCAGTGTCACGTGAGCCGTCAGATTCATAAAATTTTAAAAAGCACCTGACAAAAAAATCTCTATTATAAATACTAAGATTTTAATTGTAACGGAAAGGCATGTTAAATATTCATTGTACTATGTAGTAGTATATTTAGTTAATGTTTGTACCTATAAAATGAGGAGCAACTAAACAAATTTTAATAGTTTAACATAAATGCTATACTTCTTATCTGGACAAGTTCACTAATCCTTGAAATGTTTATTTTTCTGATAACATTATTTTTATGACGCCCAGTATTTTCAAGCACTTTTTACACAAAGCACTAGCATTACAATAATAACCACTTATTAAATTTCCCTCTACGCTTAATACTTTAAAACATATTATATTATACCGGTAGATTATTAACACAGTTTGTATTTTTAACATATAACAGATGTCTTATTGAATTGAATACTATTCGAACTCGAATCAGAATACTTAGTAATAATTTGTATCATTAGTATAATATGTACATAGAAACTAAAATAAATTCAATAGACATTTCAAGCACATAAGTATAATTAATATTATTAGTGGATAATTTATTCATTATAATTAATAAATAATATTATAATTTAAAATATATAATATAATATTAAAGTTCTTTTTCTAGTCAAATAACACTTAAGATTTATACATTTACACTAACAAATAATTTTAAAATTGTAAGGCATGCAACCAACAAGGTAGGAAGTAAGAAGTAGGGAACCCCTCTCCACTCAAATTTTAATACCTGTCTGGAAGTTTGGTAATAATTTAAACATAAATATTTTAGACAAATTATAAAGTAATATTTTTGGACCACTCCAAATTAAGATTCTAGTCAGATTCATGTCAGGATACAAAGAACTTTTTAACAGCTAGGCCAATTTGTTTTATAGATGAGAAGTTGTATAAACTTTTTAAGTTGAAAAGTTGACCAATTCTTAAAACATAAAAATCGAAGAAAATATCTTAAAAATATTAACATATTAAACTATAATATTTGACACGCTATACATTTCTGAAAAATAATCTGAATTAATTGATGATTAATATAAAGCAGAAACATTACTAGTTACAATTATTCATACAAGTCTGTTCAAGTGGGAGTAACTGAAAAATAAGTAAATAGTGTAAATGATAATATATGTTTTCTTTTATAATAGTGTTACTTTAATTTATTTTTTTAGAGTTTAGTCTTTATTTATTTTCCTGGTACTCTCAGATTTCAATTTATTATTATTATTTAACCTTCAGAAGATATCGTTTTTCAAATTTAATTCTATTATTAGTGACTTAAATTTCATAAAACACATTTATTTATTTCAAATTTGCTATACTTTTGTTTCTATGTGACAAATGCCTCACTATGTCAAAGAAAATATAGTGTAACAAATAATTTATTTTTATTTGGCAAGGTCTAATTTAATATATTTGTTGAACGTAGTTGGTATCAGTCCAACATAGAGTATGGGCCAAAAGACAACTCATTTTTGTTAGGGCAGTCTAAATTTTAATTTTTAACAATAATTAAATATATTATATTTTAATTCGTAATGTACATTTAATATTTTTCTACAAGTTTAACATGATTAAAAAATAATCTACCCTTCTAAGAATAAACAAAAAATTTAAAAATCAATGAATTGTATTTCTGCAATGCAAAACATTTAATATTTATCGTTTATTTTAATCTTGAGTTTGTTTAGGAGGTAATAATTGAAATTTAACAGAATCACCTTTCTTTCTTCTCTGAACAACTCTTGAAAAACCTTCAGTCATTTTGATTACATTATCAGCAATATCATCTGCTGTTTCACCAGTAATTGTAATTCTTACTTCATACATTTTACATAGCCATTTACGAACATTTTTGACTTTAGAATCTAAATCACCCTGACCAATACGACTTGATATTATCGCAGTTTTTTCACCTTTTAATTCATTTGTTTTTTTTTCTTCTTTTCTTACTCTTTTATCTTTATCCTCATTAACAAATTGATTAGCTGTCATCATTTTGAATACAGGGCGTTGAGTTTTAGTATCCAGATCAACAATCTTCACGAGCTTTAGGCCTCGTCTGTCACATAGCTTGGCTGCTTCATCTAAAGTCACAATTGATAGTTTATGATCAGGATCTATCAGGGTGATTTTAGGAATAGGCGCCGTTTTGGGACGTTTTTTTTTTAATGTTTCTTCATTATCCATAGTAGCTGAGGTCGTTTTCAAGTCGTTCTTTTTGAACCCCAATATCTGGCACTGACAGACATTTCGTACAGGCTGACTGTACATGACTTGATGTCTCAGAACAGTAAGAGCAGCATTAGCAAAATGTTTTAATGACATTTTTGGTACTTTGATAAATATATACAATAAACATATACTATTTAATATAAAAATTAAAAACGTATTTTCATAACAGCATGGAGTGCATTGTGCAACATACTGAAGCGCTGATAATGAGCGAAAATTCCTTATCATTAAAATTCCCACTTCCCAAAGATAAGCAAATTGAAAATAAAACAAAATGATATTATACGTATAGTTCGATTTACTTGTATATTATTTTAATAATAATTATAATATCTATACACAAAAACTGTACCTGGCTTTCCTTTCCCATTTATTGGTTTTTTCGTTTCTTTTGAGGACGAACGGAAGTCGGTTGGCTACCACGATGAGTTTACCGGATGCTTGTATTGACATTTTCAAGCCTGAGATTTGGTCGGGTTATTCAATTCGGGGGTCACCTTTTCAACGTACTATATTTGAATAGTGAAATAAAAAATGTCTGCTTAATACGTTACGCAAATACACACGCGCGTACACTAAGTAACACTAAACTAATTGGTTTGACGCCGAGTATCGGGTTTAAAACGTAATAATACTATATATAATATTATGTTAAAACATTTGAACGTGAGCGCCAGTTGAAATCATTCGTGGTGGGGATGCGTGTTAGCGTGTATAAGCGAGAGTGCCGGATAAAGAATAAAATAATTGTGTACCTGTAGCGGTGTATATAGTAAATATTATCTATAAAAGCGTAAAATTCGCAAGTCTGCTGTATTTATAGCACTATCGGATTGATATGTGTCGACTCTCGACTGCTGTTGTGATGTGCGAGTGGAAGTGAACTTATTTCGGATTGGAAGACTGTCAGGATCAGCTGGTTGGCTTGCTACACCGGTGGCGGCGGGTCGCTCTCAAGGTCGCGATTTATAAAAATTAAAAGTACCGTTCGAACTTTGAACGTGTCGGTAATCTGTTACCTGCCGCCTGCGTATTACGGTGCCATAACAAATCAATATTAATTTCTAATATACAGAAACAGTTCTTTTTTCCAACGCCGGTTGATTTTGCATTGAACTACTATTTTGTTTATCAAAATCAGTCGTCACGGACATCAACTATCGTATAATTATTAATGACCCCCATTCCAAGTTATACTTTATTGAATGATAATCAGTAAATAATACTAATATTATATAGTCTCATATTGCAAATAATATTGCTGTTATAAAAAAATAATACCCATAGATGTCGCAATGAGTACACGTTATAATACCTACGTTACTATTGTGGTTTACTCTGTAAGCAGTTAGAACTACATATTTAAATGTAATTTTTTGGAGGAAATATTGACACTAAAGTGAGTAGATGAATAAAATTACGGAGACTAAACTCTGCCACTTCCCCTAAAGTGTTTTTATTCGGCGTTATGTATGTAATTTACTTTAGTAATGCCCTTATGGTTATGACAGAGGTTAGATGTTAGGACTTAGAATTAACCTTAAGTTTATTTGTTAAGTAAAAAATCAACCTTTTCAAATTTCAGTAAACTCTTTTTTAAATTGTTACCACCTTTTGTAAAAAATGTATAATATATACCGATAATTTGCTTACAGAAATTGTTTATACCTAGATATTTCTTATAACGATATTTTGAGACAGTGACTAATTTGTTTTATTTAAATAGTTTTTATTTTTGTTGAATAAATTTATTAGGTAACAATTTTGTTGATAGATAGCAACTACAAATTTAATTAATTTGTTTTATTGATAAATAACTAACAAATAATAATAGTTAAAGGAATAAGGTCTAAATTGCTTACAGCAAATCTTCATAAATTGATATATTCATACATAGAAAAATGTTAATTGAAAATCTAAAATGGTTTTTATTTTTGATAAATTAATAATAAAATTAAATTTAGAAAAATTACTTTAATCTATCATTATTTTTAATCAGTAGAACAGTGCAATGCTAAAATGTTATGGAATGAAATTCTAACATTTTCCAAATAATATCTATAACATTTTCTTTCTGTAGAAAAGGTCTATGTATGGTTTGTGAAAATGCTCAAATACTAAATAAACTGCTGTTGTAATACTACGAAATTGGTAGAAATATTCACAGTTTGCACCATTAGTTCCAACAATTAAGATTCTGTGTACCAACATTGAGTACACAGGTATACTTTATAATTGTAAAATGCATTACAAGTGAAAGTATAAATAAATTATGGCTTTTCGAATAAAATTGTGTTTCATTTTATGTTACCAAGAATTAAAATTTTTGTGCTAACATTTAATACAACAATTATAAAATTTAGTTTTTATAGGTACTGAAAACGACTAGTTAAAATTTCTATAAGATAGAATATAGATGATACAATTTGAATAATTTTAGTTACATCACTTATTATAAAATATTGCACTTTTGTTACATTAGTAGGATTTACCTATAAATACAGTATATTACATATTATTTACTATGCTTAGGAAAATGATTAATTGATTACAAAACATTCCTGGGAAACATAGGTCTCATTTCCATCATAGTATCCTGAATAACTGATTTTTCATGTATTTTTGAAACAAAGTATCCATGTTGCAAAACACCAATCCGTATATCCATTTGCATTATATCTGTTTTTATAGTTGCTATGGCTTTTTTTATGTTGATTAATGGGGCTATAATTATCAATAACAATAATTTTATTTATTAATTCATTTTATAAATAAGAAATAGCCTTACTTCCATCGGTCATACTGGATCCTCTTTCGTCCATTTCTTGTTTGATAACATCTAATTGTTCAATAAGTTTTGATAACACTTCTTGTCGTTCAGTTACGCCATTGCTGATTATTTTATAATGTTCACTTATTCGAGCTAGTTCATCCTAAAATACCCAAAAATATGAATCATAATAGTTACTAAGGTAAATAACTATGAATTTTACTTGGGAGTTACGATATTCGACCAAAAGATTATCTAAGGTGCTATTTAAATATTGCTCACGACTGTAGATTTTTCCTACAGTTTCTTCTAATACATTTCGAAGATTTCCCAAAAGTGGTTTCACTTGTTTTAAAGCAGTATTCATTATATGTCTGTTTTCTTTTATTTGTTGTAAACTAGTTCTCCAATCTTTAGAATCTGAAAATAAGATAGCCAAGTGTGACTTTAATTTAACAAGAGTAAAAAATAAAGTTATACTATTTGTATTTATACACAGGGTACAACAGGCCATAAAGTATTTACCTAAAATTTTTATTGTGTATTTTGAAATATTTATTATTTTTAATTTTAATTTTATTATAATATTATTTAGAAAAATAAAAAAACATCCTCATAAAAATATTATACCCTGTCCTACGAAATAACTGTGTAGAAACCAAAACATATTACACCTAACTGCGCAAACACGTACAAAAATAACTCGTGATGGTTTCTGCACAGTGTTATTCTCTTGTGGGATTCTATACATACAAGTTGTACCCATTCATAAATTATACCTAGTTTAATTGTTACTCTTAATGATGGTAAAACTTGCTCAACTTCAAGACTCCATTCTTCTTTATTAGTTGTCGAAGCTTTTAAATGATCACATGCCTTTAATGATTTTTGTTTTTTTATCTAGGATGAATTGTATTTTTAAATCAATATTTATAATAATTTTAGACAAATTATATTACTCTATTGTAGGTTGATAGATCATTGATATCAATCATATTATCTTCATCTGTACTTGTATCGGTCCAAATCATCTCTTCATCAATGTGTTCGATCAATAACTCTGCATTACTATTATCCAGTTCTTCGTTTTCTTCTTTGTCAACAGGAAATATTGGTCTGATAAAGGAGTACACAGTATAGTTAAATAGTTTTGTAATTTTAGTTTTGTTTTATTTGTTTTTTTTATATTATTTACCTTTTGAAAGAATAATTGAGCTTTTCAAACACTTTTTCTGCAAGACCATTTAAAATTGAAATGACATGCTTACCAAAGCCTTGTTTTAAATTATTAATAGGAATATCAGTAAACAGACCCTAAAATTAATAAATCGTAATTAATTTATAATAGTATACTAAGGTACCTGCATAAATTTGATGTTTATTTTGTTATTAATAAACAATTAATATCTTAATAAAAACTTTTTATTACAAAAATTTACACCTAAAATTACAAAGATGCGAGTCCACTTAAACATACTTTTATTACTAAACAAATTTGGCCGAAAATGTTGCTTAACTCTTATTTTATAAGAAATGTACTATTTTTATAAATCCAATATGTTTTTTTACAATCCAGCATAAATCTATAAACAGCAACTACTTGCATTCAAATTATTTACCAATTGTGTGCAATGTTTTAAAATATTATTCACAGTAGTATTGGGATCATCATATTCTTGAGGTTGTTTTAAATCATTGCCAAGTTTATTTAATAACCATACAGCTAATGAAATAAACATGAAAAATTGTTCTCCTGAATTTGTTTGCAGCGCAAAGTAATGTCTAAAAATTAAACCATATTTTAAACAACTAAAAACTTCAACTAAACCCATCTACTTACCTATTAATTGGTCTCATTTTTAAAAATTTAATAACATATTCTTCATAATCCAATAATATTAAACGATCACAAAGAGTTTTCATGTCTATAAAATGCTGATATAAAAAATGTTCAGAAAGACCAGTTGTACGGCCTCGACTTGATTCTACTGACAGTGTATCCATATTAATCGCTTCTGCCCTAAATACATTTTTTTTATAATAAAAGATACTTTACTTATACATTCGGATATAAGTTTTAAAACTTACATTACAAGAGCATACTATATCCAATAAGCGAGTAATAAAATATTTTACAAAAATTGTAATTCAATCATGAATTCATTATTTGCCAAGCCTAAAATTTAAGAATTTCATAAAATTAATAGTGAATAAGTTAAATGATTATTTAATAAGTCCGAAGAAGATTAAACTATGTATAGAGTTCATATAGACTTTTTAACCGCATTTAATACTATAAAAATAGCTGTAACTTGTAACTAAAAACGAAACAACAAACAGTAGACACAAGACTAACCGCTAGCGCATAATCAAGTGATAAGTATTTTTATAGTGTGTATACCTACAATACTTGGCGACTATGCTCGGTAAGTAAAAGTAAGTGCTAACAGCCTAAACTAGCAAAAAGTGGCAATAATAATAATCCGTAGCGAGTGGTGACAAGTGACAACCCTTAACAGCTTTAAATTATCTCAATAGTTTATCTTATCGCTACAGCGCATGTGCAATAATAAAATCAATATATATATTTATATAATATAACATTATTATCAATGTTTCCGGTGATTCAGACATCACTATTCGAGTTATCGATTGTTGTTTTTTGATAAAGTGCGCAAGCGTTATAATTTTAAAGATGTAAACTATAAAATAGATGTCAGATGAGGTATAGGTTTTAAGGAAAACTATTATAAATATTAAGTATTTACATTTTATAATTATAAAATAATGCCTACACCAATAATTTTTAATTACTTGTTCAATTCAAATTTTTACCATCATTCTATATTATGAAGGAACAAGTTTACATTATAATTTTATTTTTCTATTTATTAGTCTATTAAATTCGAATGACATCAATAAAAATTACTTTTAAGTAATATTCGGTAAGTCTCTTATAAAATTTAAGGATACTTAACTTTAAGTATTGAGAGACAGTATTAACAGTTAATATTTAAATCAAATATGCACTGCTGTTAATATAGGATAAAAATGAGTGAAGAAATGGAATCTTCTGGTGGACCCTTAAATAGTTTATTTTCATTTACAAATCCATCGGTTAAGAAATTACTCGGCTGGAAACAAGGAGACGAAGAGGAAAAATGGGCAGAAAAAGCAGTTGATGCACTAATGAAAAAATTAAAGAAAACAAAAGGCGCTACTGAGGATTTACAGAAAGCTTTAAGTTCACCAGGACAGCCAAGTAAATGTGTTACCATACCAAGAAGTCTTGATGGGCGATTACAAGTATAATTCATTTAAAAACTTAAAAATAGATAAAACTAAATGTATTTAGAAATTTAATTTTAATTATTTATTTAGGTATCTCATAGAAAAGGTTTACCACATGTAATTTACTGTCGAGTGTGGCGTTGGCCAGATCTACAATCTCATCATGAACTCAAAGCAGTAGATCATTGTCAGTTTCCGTTTTCTTCTAAACAGAAAGATGTCTGTATAAATCCGTATCATTACCAAAGAGTTGAAAGTCCGGGTAATATTCTAATATTAGAAAATATTTTTAGTTTATCTGTTAATAATTATTATTTTAACCTTTGATTTTCAATGACAATGTGTTATTTACAATAACATTATTTTCTTAATTTTTATTAATAACAATAGGTTGAATAAATAATATTTTTAGAAAAAAAATTTAATTCAAAATCAAATTTTGTTTATTGAGAAAAAATTAACAAAATCTATTAAAATGGTAAATTAAGTTACGACTACAAATTCACATTGTAGCTTTTTTCTTATTGTTGTTTAGTCTTACCGCCAGTATTAGTTCCTCGTCAAAGTGAATATGCGCCAACATCACAACCATCAATGCAACAATATCAACCACCAGTAGATAGTGGTATGCCAATGAATGTGTCTTTAAATTCAGATGGGTTCCCTGAAAATGTATTGACTCCAAATTCTATTACATCCAACATTCCTAATCAAATTCCATCTACAAATACTATAAATTCTTTTCCAGAAGCAACTTTAATTGGTAAGTTATACATTTTATTTTTTTTTCTTAAATCAACCTTTGTTGCAATTATATGTTATACAAATTAACATAATGTAAATTTTAATTCCTGTGGTATTTATTTTTAACAACAAAAAGTATGAACATGCAATTAATAAACTAAATTTTAAATTCCAAGCTACTTAATTTTTGTATAGTTTTTTAACACAATACTATGATTTTTTGTAATATCAATTTAACTATTTGAAAAATTTGTTTTAGAGAATACACAATTTTCATTGACAGAAGATTTAAGTAAAGACGACAATGTAATAGAAAAAACTACTAATCTAGAAGATCTCGATGGCATTCCAATAGTGTATCAAGTATTGTTTTTTTTAATAAAATTTTTAATTTTTTTAGTTTTATTTCTTATTTATAAATTATATATTAAAAGTTTAAAAGATACTGAATAATATGCATAAAATTAAAGTTTAGGGTTTAGGGTTCAAGTAGATTTTATATCTTTTTTATAAACTTAGTACTTAAAGTTTTCCTTACATGTTTTTTTAAAGCTAGATTGTAAACATTTAAAGTTGTATAGCTATAAAACGATTTTTGTGATGTGATGTGATATTAACAGTTTTATATCACATGTATATATATAGTTTATATTAGGTGGTATATGGGTTGTAACGGAACAGACAATACTTTACGATCCTGTCGTGGAAACTAACCTAAACTGAGCTAGACCAGTGTATAAAAAAAAGGATTTATAAAGTTTCTATTTTATTTTCCAAGGGGGATAAAATGTAGTTTTACACATGCTACCAATTTTCCTAGGCAAGGTACAGAATCTCACCATAAGAGGAATGTATAATAGTATTTAAGATTGACAGTGTGATAGGCATTAGCACTTACTGACTTCAAAATGTGTTTAGCATCTTATGATGATAGCGTTGAGCTTTCGAGGCCTGCAAGCTGCTAGATATAAATATATATTGGCTCTGGAACTGCTTATCCGAGTGTCATGCGAGTTTTTCAACTTACAGAGCATACCCCGGAACAGGTTCTAGGCGTAGTTTTATAGGCGTATATATATATATATATTATATATCTAATATTTTAACTCAACATGAATGATTTAACAAAATTTCTTAATGTTTTAGGAACAACCATGTTGGGCTAGTATAGCATATTATGAGCTGAATTCTAGAGTTGGTGAAGTTTATCAATGTCATTCACCTCATGTGGTTGTTGATGGATTTACAAATCCCAGAAATGATTTAAATCGATTTTGTCTTGGTCAATTATCTAATGTAAACCGAAACTCAACCATAGAAAATACTAGACGACATATAGGCAAAGGTATATTAGTATATAATTTTAATGTGATTGTGCTAAACATACAACAAAAACTTATAGTATACTATTATTATATTCTTGGTTTAAAGGAGTTCAGTTATATTATGTTGGTGGTGAAGTTTTTGCTGAATGCTTATCTGACTCTGCTATATTTGTTCAGTCTCGAAACTGTAACCAGCATCATGGATTTCATCCATCTACTGTGTGCAAAATACCACCAGGTTGTTCATTACGAATTTTCAACAACCAGGAGTTTGCAGGATTGTTATCACAATCAGTTAACCACGGTTTTGAAGCTGTTTTTGAATTAACAAAAATGTGCACTATACGAATGTCATTCGTCAAAGGATGGGGAGCTGATTATCACCGACAAGATGTTACTAGTACTCCATGTTGGATCGAGATACATTTGCATGGACCTCTACAGTGGCTTGATAAAGTACTTACGCAAATGGGTAAACCCCACGATGCTATTACTTCACATTCATAATGTCATGCTATATTAGCCTTTAAACTCATCAGATATTCCAAGATACATAAAAATATGTGTAATAAATCTAATAAAAAAGAAGGTAGGCTGCCTAAGTATAAATAATTAACTCTAAAAAAATTCCCCTTATTTTATTTATAAATTATATTTTGTAGAAGTGTACTATGTATGTGATTTTTTTTTATACTTTGTATTAGTTAATAATAATTTTAATCTAGTCATATATTTTTATTATTTTATGCAACTACTAAAATACCTACTATAATTAGTATGTATGATAAATAGCTAGTCATATTTTTTATTACCATATCAACTGCTGTGCTTGTCCTGAATAAAACTTAGAAGTATTTTAATGTGACAAAATTCTATATGTACTTTCATCTTACAGGTTAATTCATTTTTACCTTTATATTTCTAATAAATAATAATATTGATGATAAATATTTTAAATTCACACACATTTGTAGTATTTAATAAAATTGCTTTTAATTATTTAATAACATTATAAAACAACAACTCTAATTTTCATATTTCGATATATTTACACACTTTTTACATGTGGCCAGACACAAATTTTTCTTCATGATAAACCATATTTAGTTATTTCATTTTTCAAAAATTTTAAGTATATTTCAGGTAAAAACCTTTATTTTATATAGAAATATTTTGAAAATAAAATAATAAAATTACTGTTAAAAATATTTTTCAAAAAATAAAATTGTATGTATTGAGAATTTATACACACTATTCAACATATCATGTAGTACGCTGAGAGTTATTAACATTGCTATTAAAACATTCTTAAATCATACTTATCCAGGTTAAAATTGTCATTAACTAAGTCTAATATTTTTTTTTATAAAAATAAGTATGAAAAAGTGTTTATTAAGTAAATTATTTAAATTAAAATATAAGATTTTAGGGTAAAAAATAATAAATCATTAGGACTATAAATAATATACTTAAATATTTAGGTTCAAAATTATTTTATTGATTTATATAATTTGTATTATCAATCAAATTAATACAAAATTAAAATATTTTCTGGTGTATGCAACAGTCATGTAATTTAAGATTAGTAATTTTGTCGAGATTTATTATTAAACTCACTAGCTCTGTTATTGTAGCCCCTTCCTTTACTATTACCACTGTAGTCATCATTTGCTTCTTTAAACCCTTTCCTTTCTCGATTACCATTATTTCGTTTGTATGGATGGTTATAATTATTATATGGACGATTATTAGAATCCAAATTGTGAGAAGATCTTATAAGGTTATACTTATGATTATTTGGCCTACTCATTCCTTGATTATACCTCTCATCATAACTGTTTGTATACTCGTTAAATTCTTGAAAACCTTTATGTAGTGTGTCTTTACTTGAATTTCTATCACAATGTTCTTGATTTTCAAAATGATCCTGAGTTTTCATATTGCGTTCATTATAGTGTTCTGGCATTAATTTACAGTTACGCGAACCTCTTTCAATATAATTACCATAACTATGTTCTGTTGCATTTCTATTATATCGTTTAGGCCATTGATTATATACATTTGATTCATTGCCAATATTTTGATCTTTATCTCCAAAATCATTTGTAGATGCACAAGCTGCTTTATAATCATTGGGATTTTCAGAATCCATCAAACTATATTTACGCTGCAATGTATCTCTTAAATCACACATAGATTTCATATTTTTGTCTGAACTGTTAGTACTTGTAGGTAATTCTTCATTGTGAAATGAATTATTATCCCAATTAGAAGACTTATTTTTACAATAATCTTGTTGTTTATTTAAATTTCTTCTATTATGATATTCTCTTTTTTTACAATTATCATTAGTCATTTCAAGTGAACGAGAAGTATTATTATCTTCTGACCGTTGATTACGATTCCGGTTAGCGTATGGATTGTCTGTTGAAGTATTATATTCACCTCTAGATCGCGATACATAATTATTGCTATATAGTTCTTGGTAATTTGAAATAGAATCATGTGTACCTTGTTCGGTCATTAAATTGAAATGATTGTCGTGGTTATATTTGTGACGTTCATTGACAGGTGGTAGAGGTAAACTATCTGGAATACCCACACTCTCTTCAAAATTAAAAGTATTTTTTTTATTACTGAAAGTATGTGAAGAATGATTATCAAGCTCAATATCATTTAACTGTTTGAAATAATCTAAATTTTCATCAAACATTTGTTCTCCAGAATTTTCCAAATAGTTTTTCATTTTGATGGTTAAACCAAATAGTTTAGTACCTTCAAGTATTTGCATACTATCATCAACAGAACTTTCATTCCTAAATGTTACCCAAGCAAAGTTCTCACGCCTGTCATATTGATCATATCCATATTGTACACATTCAACCGGACCCATCTTAAAAAAAATATACAAAACAAAATTAATAACAATTCTGATTAAAAAAAGAGGTAGATTAACTTCACAATTACCTGAAAGAAAAGTTCAGCTATAATATTCTCGGTTACTTTTGGATGTAAATTGCCTATCCAAATAGTTCTATATTTTCTTTCTAAGTCATCGCTTGCATTTTCATTTTCAGTAGAATCCATATTTTATTAATTTAATTTTTATTTTACCTTCTATAAAGTTGTTATAAAAAATCAAAATAATCTCTTACTTGTTATTAGAAAATAACACACTACGTTTAAAATAAGTGGAATATTACTTAATAGTTTCATCCCTATTCGTTTTCCAACAAATTAAGATAATGAGACACAATTAAACTCCACAATATGGAGTATGGATAATGGAACACAGAGATACTATAGTAAGTTGTCCTACTAACAACTCTAGTACCTACTCTAGTTACCTGTGTTACAAAAAATTATAAACAAAAATCCACGATGTAGAGAAGATAAGGTGACGCCACTCAACTTCTTATCAGTAAAAATCTGGTGTCGAATGCTTCAGGCATTTTGGTAGTTCAGCTTCGCTGTACAGGCGGCGCCACCATTCGCCCGGAGGCCGATATTTTCTATGCGGCTAATGGCGATAAACGTTATTTATTTATTTTTTATGTTAATTAGTCTTTATTTGGAGTTTTTATTATTTGTTTTGTTTTATTTAGTAATAAGTATTAATTTAAATTTTAAATTGCGAAAACTGCATTTTTTTTGTTTTCCCCCCTTCCCAACTTGTATTTTTGATAGCATTTTTTGTAATTTAAATGATACCGCATACATTTCATTATCTTCTTAAACTGAGAATAATGTACTAAAAATGTTGACTGGTTGATAACCAGTTTTGGATAATTATTTTTGAAGTTTAAAGTACAGGTCAGGAGGAAAGGTGGAGTGAAGTATTATTTTTATCTGCGCGTATTTCCTAACCGCACGTCCCCTCCCATCATAACTTTTAAACTCTTTTCTTTATAGGTCTATGTAATATACACATATTAACATACATATCGACGGCCTATAATTGAAGGGACCAATGGATAAAGGTGTTAACTAACATTTTTTCGAAAATGCTTTTTATTGCACGAATAAAAGGGTTATAGTGTTATAGTATAGTACAGAGGATCTCTAGACCGATATTTTTCCTCTTATAAGTTACTTCATGTATTGAATATACAAAAGTTCAATAGCTTTCGTGTAATATTTAGTTACAAAAGTGGCGTTCCTGAACAATTTCAAAAATGTCAGTTAACACCTTTATCCATTGACCCCTTCAATTGTTATATGAAAAGGTCCTAATTCTCACAAAGATGGCGGAAAGTGGCAACTTCAATTTTCTCTATTGATGGCATGTACAGTTAGCAATCTAGTTTATGATATATATATCTTTGTTAATCGAAGTTGTAAAGTATTTAAGTTAATGCACCTATTTTGTAGTTACGATATCTTATTTTATTTTTACTTTTTTCTAATACATCTAACTACTTTTTTAATCGCTAAATCAAAAATCGGCCTTTTAGCCCTCATAGAAAAAATAGTAAGCTTCGCATATAAAAAAAAACTTGAAATCTGTCCAATAGATAAGCCAGAAAATGACTTCTACGAGTCACTTTTTGTCAAACTTTCGTCATAATTCGGAGAAAATAACTTTAAAAGTATTATAAATAGAAAATTGTATTACGTGTTCGCTTTGAAATTAGTAGACATGAAAATTTGTTGTCAAATTTTTCCTATCCTTTGCCCCTTATTAAGTAGCGCTTTCCGTTCCCCATACAACTTTGTAAGTAATAAGTTATTAGGTATATCTGAGAGTAATAATCCCTCATAGATCTATAAAATATTGTAACTATTAGTATTATATGAATGCGTTAAAGCTTTCGTGGATTGAAATTCCATTTTGCTGATTTTATTAGTATTATGCCTATGACCAATGTTAAAATGTACAAAATAATATTATATAAGGAAATAAAGTCCTAACTTACCAGTGCATGATAATTTCTTTAGCTGATCTTATTTTGAAAGAACGATTTACAAATTGATTCTCCTTTATAAAACAAATTAAAATACGATTTTTATTTAAAATTTAATAAAACATTTTTAATTTAAACATTTTTCCATCAGGTATTTATCATATTACTATTTTCCATGATATTACTTCTTCCATGAAATACCCATCAAATCTCTCTTTTTAACGATATCGACACTCCCATCTCTCTCTCCGACATCAGTCTATTTCTTTATATTTATAGTTGTATATTATTCCATACTCTAAGATCTATACACGGTTGTAGATAATATATTTATAGCCGTGGGTCTATATTCTATCTATATTTTATACATGCTATTATTCATTATACATATTAGTATTAGAAAGGTGGATTGATCAATCCACATTGAGTATTAGTATGTACAATCAATGATATTATTTTTATTGTAAAATATTATCTTAAATCGTTCTATTAACCTAGTAAAATTAAAATTTTAGTCCGTGGTTCCACAATTTTATCAATGGTGGTTCTTTTCTTGCCTCTTGGTTATCTAAATAACCATGGTAGTATTCTTCTAAACGGTACTATAAGAACAAAAATAGTCCGTCCAAATTAGATACTAATAAAACTTTTATGATAAACATAATTGATGATAAGTGTACTATTCAACAATAAATAATTCTTATTGATAACACAATTGCAGTTTACACGAAGTTTTGTATTTATAAAAAAAAGTTACAAAATATACAATTTTGAAAATGGAGTCAAATAGTGGAACGGGTACAGTGTCGAGTATCAAGATAGAAGATGAATCGGATGATGGTGTTTACATAAGGCCATCTAAAAAAAAAGTAATGACATAAGTAACAGTATATTAGTTGTATATGCTTGATCAAAATATAGTAAACAATATAATTAGTTTTGTGAATTAAATTACTATTGTTTAATAAGGCTTCTACTTTTTGTTCTTTTTAGATAATGACATCACAAATTGTAACTAACGATGAACTAACTAATTTGATTCAAGAACGCTTAGCAAATAGACGCACTGGTGAACGCACAGAATTTGCTAATCAATTGGCTAGAAAACTAATTAAAAAGTAAGTTATGTAATTAAATTTAATTATTAGCAATTATTAATCTCTGTGGCGTAAGTAATTGGTAAGATGTTGCAGTTGTCTGAAAAGTACTTGGGTTGATTCTTTTGAACTGTAAACCAAAATTTGTCACTCACAATACTATATGTATATTTAATTATATATTAATTTGTTTTAGGCTTCATGACAAAGATGAAAAAATTAGAAAGATAAAAGGAAAAAAAAGGAGAGGTGTTGTGGCTGAAATCAAAGATGAAAAAAGTATGTGGTAGTATACATTATTGAGTAAAATTTGTGCCTAGGTACAGCAAGCTTATTTGATAGTCCTTAAACATATGTCTTTAACAATTAAGAAGTAATTTGTTGGAATGTTAGTGCAAAATTGATTTACATACTTGTATCTATGATAACAAATAGGAGGAGGAATGGCCAGGTGTGTAAGGCGACAGTGTGTTAGTGCTCACTGTCGCTGGTTCGACACTTGGTCTCAGACACTCCGAATGCTAGGTGAGCAATCGTCCAGTGAAAAAGAGCCATTATCCCCCTTTTCAGCTACATAGCAGAAATGCAATGTACTGCCTGGCGACCAAACTAGGCCCGAATAGAGCCTACTCCGGTTAAAATGTGCCATACGTTGATAATAATAATAATCTATGATTAAAGATAAATTTTATCTTCAATTATCCTTCTAAATGCGTTTGTACTACAAAGTTCTTTAAGAACTCGTTACCTTTTTATAAATTATTGACACGTATATTTAAATTGTGCTTTTAAAACTTTTTCGAGTCTGCATTTTTTAAGGCAGAAAAACTTTGAACTTACTAATAAAACAGTCTGTAGTTCTTTTTTCTACTGTTTATGTGCTTTAAATATAATGTTTAAAGAAAGTAATTGTATTTTTGTTAATGTTAGCCTAATAATATTATATACATAAAAGCAATAATTTCTAGTAACTATTACATACATTTTTTTTAAATTATGAAAATAAAACTATGATAATTGTTATGATATTTTTAGATGAATTATATATTACTAAAATTAAATATTACCACAAGAAAAATTGTTTAAAACGTAATTATTTATAAATTATTTAACTACATGTGTGTATATGTTTAATTATCGTTTTTAGGTGGACATTTAAATATGAAAATAGTTAAGGAAGACATAAATTTAGACTCAGATTCATTGGTTGATTCTGATTCTATTGATTCACCAGAGCCTATTCTTCCAAAAAAATCTGCCAAGGTTTTAAAAATAGTTTTTTTACTATAATAAATTGCTTTGATTGTTTATAAATAATAAAAAAATTATATTTTTTATAATTTATAATTCAATGTCGTGTTATATTTGTAAAGTTTTGATTTTGTAATTTAAGTATTATTTATTTTAGAGAAAGAAAAAAGAAACTTCAAAAATGACGGGTAAAGAAATAGCAATGACTATTTTGAATTGCAAACAGATTGTAGAAGGCATAAAAGGCACCTCTATTGATAAGAAAGTAGCTATCAAATTTACCTCAACATTGAAGTCTCGTCTAGCCAACAAGTAATTATAAATATTTTGTATAAATATGACTATGGTCTATTTTCATATTTTATTATATATTACTAGGTTGAAGAAAAATTCAAACGTTGCTAAATAACTAGGATATTAGCATAATTTATAGTTTATCTATTTATATTAGTAAAAAAATTCAAGATAAAAATGGCCAAAGAAAATTATTTTAAAATTTAAACAATAGTCGATTAATTAAAGTAAAACATACATATAACTGTTAAAATGTTAAAATACATTCAATAAGAATTAATGTTTAATGTTTTTAATTTAAGACATCAGTTTTAGCTAGAGGTAAATTATATTCTTTAATGTAAAAAAATGTAATGCATTTGTTGTTTAGAATTTATCGTGAGTTTTTATTTTTCATACGGATAATACACACTACAACTTTAAATAAATATTATTTTAGGTTAATTTGTAGTGTATTATAGAATTTATAAAAATGGGTTTACCTTTTTTTGATCTGTATCTCAAAACAAACCGTTTTTTCATAAAACTACAATCCACAGATGTTATTAAAACCTACATTTATATGATTCTTTATTCTCCGCACATGCATCAAATATATGGCCAGCTTTGAATTTTTTATAGTGGAATATTATATTATATAGAGTGTAAAATATACAGATTATTATTTAAAGTATTAATGAGTAATGACCACATTAAGTATACTGTACAAACAATCATCTTGGGTGATAACACAGTTTCAAGTTGGATGGATGAATATCATATTATTGTTGATAGGAATAACTAGAATTAAGAGTTCATCACACATTTCATAGATAATAATTTTATTGACATTGTTTGATCAAATTATGTTGTTATGCATGAAGCATAGCTTTTACCTAGGTTTAACATTTTAAGTTGAGTTACATAAGCAAGAAGACCATTAAAACTTAATTGACTTGCAGCTAATTCTTACATACATACTATATTTAAAGAAACATTATTACTTAAAATTTTTTATTTTATTTGTATAGTTTTATGTATAATATTGATTCATTTTCTTTGGCTTATTATACTGTCATTAACTCATTCACTAGTTTATAACATTATATGCACTAACATGTTGAATATCATTGTAAAGGAAAAAGATATAGTAATACAACTATGATAAGTTTGTTCCTTAATATTAATAAAAACCTTTAAAAGCTAGTTTTTGAGGATTTGAGGATTGAAAATTGGGTATGATAATCCTTTGTATCGTTCCTTTTATTTTGCTTGTTCAGTTTCCATTTTTGTTATACAATTATTATCATTAAAACAAATATTTCACATTATTTATATTTATAACTAAGTAGTAATAATATATAATATTAGTATTTTTATCTTAAGATTACTATCTAATAAAAAATTATGTAATTAGTATTGTACACTTCTCATTCTATGAATTGTCTCATAAAAATAAATATAGGCTCCTAAACCATTTTATATAGTTAATATTTAAAATATTTACCAGTAATTTGTGTTCATATTATATGTAATAATTATATATTAGGTAATTTGATATTGAATAAGTTTAATTTAATAATAAAATGGTTTATAATAAAATAGTTTTTTAGTTATTAGTAATGTCTTATAATTTTTTTTTGCAAGGTAAAAAGGTATAATAATAAGTTTTTTTACTTTTTTAATATTATATATTTATATATATATATATTAGATTAGCCGTTTAAAATAAGGTTTGCTCCATTTAAAAAATATAAAATCAATTTTATAAAAAAGAACATCCTGAAAGTTCTAGCGATCTAGCTCAATATTAAAAAATTCCCTATGCTAGTAAATTATTTTTTTTTTTTTTTATAAAGTAGGTTTCAATAATTTAGATCTTAATTTTTTACAGTTTTTGTGACGATAAACAAATATTGAATAGACAAATAAATCTGGTATTAGAGGTTTTTTCTCAAATATTTTTAGGTCCTTTGAACCTAACTTTACCTTCAATTAACTACGTCGTGTACTTTACTCAATATTTTCAATAGTCTGCAGCCTTTTTTAAAATCTTATGCATTTATAGTATAACACACACGTGATAACAGTAGCGAGGTGTGTTTATAGTTATTATTTAGTTGCAAAAATGCATATCCATAAACCGTGGCAATTCCCGTAGGAGCCAAGGGAAAATAGAAAAGGTAAATAAACGTGGGGCATCAAGATTTAGAATCCCATTTGTGAAATTGTTTAATAAGAATCGTATAAAAAATAATATATTTTAACCGATTTTTTTAATTTTTAAATACCAAGTTTAGATATTGCGAAGTACAGATGTTATCTTTTTGTTAGCGCTAATCTTAAGGTGGGACGTGGGTTGGTTCTCGCTTAAAAATATAATATTATTACAATATTTTTAATTGTTGAGTTATATATTTATTAAGGGTATTTGAGTACAAAAATGTGCAATTATGTGTTGAGAAACTATATTTAATAACTATAATATTATATACATGATAAATAAATATATACATATGGGTAAGCACTTAGCAATATACTCTTAAATGAGTTCTCCCCTTCTATAACCCAACATTCAAGCATTGAACTATTCTAAGGTGAGTGTGAAAAACCTTTGGATCAGTGTATGAAATTCAAATTCGACATCGCGTAGATCAAGTTCCAGAAACTTTCCATTTAGCCTGATAAACTTATTACATTTTATTAAAAATATTTAGATTAATGATTATACTTGTACATGGGTAACAAAATACAAAATTTACAAGATTAAAAGTAAGTTATCTTCAGCATAAAAAGAGTTGTATAATCTATAAACCACTTTTCAACTTTTACTATTAACTATTTCTTAAATTAATTTTTATCTCATTCATAAAGGTTACATATAGAAGATGTATTATAGTTTTATGTATCATACAAAATATTTATTTAAACAAATGGACAAATCTTTGTTTCTTCCAAATCGTTTTTGGCATATACATTACATAACATGTTTCAATTCAATTTTATGTATTTAATTAAAGAATTATATCTAATTAATTAATTAATATATATATATATATTAAATATATGCCTTGGTTAATATAATAATATTAATAAAACATAGTTAATCAGTATATCAAATAGTTATTTACAAAAACAAGTAATTTGATTTTACTGTACATTTGTAGTTGACAGTATAATAATTATACATTATTTAGTTTTACTTAAGATTCAGTAATATTTATAGGATGTGTTGTGTGAATGTTAAAAAAAAAAATTATAAACAACTTGAAAAAGATAATTAATTTGAACGTTAAACATGTATTTCTCTTGTTTTTTAGACATAGTTTTGGAGTTTTCACTTGTCATGTAAATAAATTATTTTGTTGGATTAAAGAAACCTCTTCCCTTACAGGCATTTTTACGCCAGTCGCTTGATGGAATTTGCGAACTACTCCCTGGAATAGAATGAGGAACATTCCCTAGTGGAGGGAATGAATGACTCTCATTCGGTTTAGCTCTAGGCATATTTACTTTAGTTTCAGGTTTATTCCATACTGATTCTACAGGCAAAGTCGATGATGCACCTCCAAGTGTGGGGAAATTACTAGCAGTAAATTCACGAGGTTGTTTTTTTTCTGGCTTGTAGTTACTAAAATAATCATCTTCACTAACATTAAGATTTTGTATGATTTCTTCTAAAGGTGTTTCAGTTTTAGACAAATCAAAATTGTAATGACAACCCGCAATCATTTTAATGTTAAAAAATGAACAGCAATGTGTGGAAAAGATATATATCCATTTACAAATGTAGTAGTTGCTACACACGTGAGGAAGTTCAAGTCTTTCGTGAAAAGTACATCCAACATTGTTGACCGTATTTGACATGTCTTTATTTAAATAATCACTTGCCAAAGCAACAGAAGGTATAGCTTGGTCACTTGAATTTTGATTTTTGTACCAAAATGATGCATTTTTTAATTCTTTAAATAACTTATCCAAATGGTATACTTTTAAAAGTTTGTCAAAATCATCTCGACTTGCATATTCTACAGCACTATCATATAATTGAAACAGACTAAGATTAGTAATTGATAAAGAAGACACTTCATTCCTGTTATGAGCTGTAAATATTGGTGGCATATCTAATGTCGGGTCGTTTAACACAGATTCATCAACTTCTCTGTCAATAATAAAACCTGTTAATCAATAAAATTGTTTAAAATTAGTATGCTATAGGCAGGCTGAAACCAATATTTTTAAAATGGACATTTAAAGTCAATAATGCAAGTTCTAAGTTCAGTTTTGAAAACAAACTTTTAAAATCTGACAACAAATCAGTCTAGAAACCATCAACTCATGATAGCAGCGTTGGGCCTTAAAGGCCAGTTAAGCTTGTTCATGATTATATAATTCTAAGGAATATCTGTTAAATCAGTGTTTATTTACATTTAATATCAGGAGCTAGCTAATTCCTATTCGAGATTTATAACACCTATCAACGTAGTAAAGAGTGTCCCTTAGAGTATGCACTTTTAAAAAAATGAAATAAATCAGTCAAAATTTAATGAAAATGCTCTTATTTTTATACATTTACAACAAGCAATAACAAAATTTGGCACTTGAGCCCCTCCTTAAATCAGACACAGTTTCGGCGAGAATCCAGGACGCCAGTGCCGGTCGCTACTAAGTGCTGAGATCAAAAAACAGCATCCAACTTAGGGGGGGGGGGGGCAGAGCATATGTAAGTTGTTTTTCATTATCAAATCGGGGATGTTTCTGAATGTAAATATAAAAAAATAAATGCATTTTCATTAAAATTTGATTGATTTATTAATTTTCCAAAATTGTATACTTATGGGACACCCACCCTTTTTATATGGTAAAGTTGTATCTAGGTAATAACATATAATTGATACTTAAAAATCCAGTTTAAGGAACCATACATTTATTAATTTTTAAAATACCTAAAAAACGTATTCCAAATAAGTTATTTTCTTTTAGACTCTACCTTAAAGCAATTAAAATCAAACAGTTTAGTTCCTGATTTTAAATTTACATACGTTTACTCACCAATAATTTTCAATAAAACATCAGTATAGTTATTAGGCAATTTTTCAAACGTGGTTATTCTATGGTTTGCCTTAGCATGTGCATTTATATCAGCTGTTGGCGCAGGAGGAGCATTTGTTCTCTTCTTGTCAAATCCAACTAATTGATGAAATCTCCTTATCAGTCCTTTGTGTAAACTATATTCAGCCATTGATATTTCGCATGGGAAAAAGAAATTTTCTTTTTCACAGACATATGAATTCACGTGTATAAAAATGAATGTTTGTTTAGAGAGGAAATCACGATCTAAACGAACCAACTCTTCTATGTATGAGTACATTGTAGAAAATTGAAGATCATTTTTCTTATTTTGACTTAAAACGTCATCCACGTTTTCTCCGACAGATGTCATTTTCTCTATTTTTGATGATAGCTTCATTTCTTTAGCTTTTGCCTTATACTTGTCCTTCATCTGCTGAGACATTTGTTCCCAATCTTTTTTACAGTATTCGGCCATTGCAGACATAGACATATTCTGTCCTTGATTATGTAGTTTTTTCTGAGTTTCAGACATAAACATTGCATACCCATTAAAAACTTTCTTTTTTGGTGGCATTCTGAATCTGTAAGCATATTACACAATATTACTCACCAAATATATAAGATAACACTTAAATATCGGAATAAATTGACGCCTCGTACGAAAAGTAGCACCGTTTATGAGTTCTTACGAAGACTAGCACCGCTTGTGCTATTGGTGCCAACAGTGCTAGTTTTCGTAAGGACATCACCCAACGGTGCTAGTTTGTGTAAGAAGCCTCGAACAGTGTTAGTTTTCGCTAGAACTTGAACAGTGCTACTTTTCGAACGACGCATCAAAATGTACTTTATCGGACATCCTTTAATTTGCGATTTCTTTTTTGGCATATTATAAATTTTTTTAAGATGATTATGAATCTGAAGTCAAAATTAGGACTCCTTTAGTTCAAAAGTTATAACTACTTGAAATTTGCATATTTCTAAGTGTATAACAATAAGTAGTGGTCGGCGGCAACTTAGTTAATCTTTAACTATATACGTCTGCCGGCTTTGGGAGGAGACCCAAACCCCTTTGAGATTCTTCCTTGGATGGACGCTCACACCCACAAAGGTAATTTCAGGTAGCTACAACTTTAAAACTGAAGGAGTCCGCCTAATTCTGACTTCAGATTTGTCATAAGCGTATAAAGCACTATAAGATTACCAACAAAATGGGTGTCTGGTAGAGTGAATTTATGCCAAAATATTAAACACTCGTTACCTTTATTTTACAAGTGCCTGTAAAATAAATGGTTTAATACCGCTTTGTTGGGAACTCCGAACTGGAAGCACGAACACAAATCACCTAATTCGACAATTTTATATAAAATTAGAAATCTATTTCAGGCTGTAATTGGCCAATAGTTTGATAGTCATTATAAAAATACCTACCATTTATCAAATACGAGTGAATTCATAACTGTCAGTTCACCTATTAATTTCGTTGTACCGATGTGTAACGGTAGCCAGTTAACGTTGTTCGTCGCTTGATGCAAATTGCAAATTGAAAAGGACAACTGACAAGTCACAAGATTCCATAGATTTAAAAAAAACAAAAACAGTAAACAATGATGTGTTCACGTAAAATCATCGCGTACTCGAATTATGTACAATTTTACTTACCATGGTTATGTAGCACGCCTATGCTTTAGTTACAAACTTAGATAACATTTTCTACCTCCAGGCTACATGGCTACATGTAAACGGTAAACGGACGCGGTTAATACATGACTGTTACTATAATCACAGATTAGCTTAACCAATTACTAATCTATCTTTATACCGACGTTTTTAATAGTGTATAGTAAAAAAATGTATGCTTGTATATTATATTAAAAATTATAAAAATGTAGTTTAGAAATTGGATTGTTAAGCCTATTGTCATTTCACTGTAACGTTTGTTTAGTTATAGCTTTTCAAACTAATACTTCAATAAAAATGGTTCAAATTAATGTATACTTTGTTTTATTTGTCTGTCTTTATCATGTATCATTTAGTAAGAAAACTATTGATTAATATAATTGCAAGCAGTTATTACAATTGTATTATTGTTTTAGGTCATGCAGATTTCCTTTCAATCAAAGACAAAATGTATATGAATATCAAAGCTGACTACCCTTGTTTTCTCAGGCTGAATGGCACAAATAAAGTGGGATGTACATGTAAGTTTTAATGTGATCAATAAGTATATGAATAAATAATATATGTATTTTGATATTAAATTTTGGTTAAAAATGTTCAGCTTCAAGGTTTGGTAATGTTGGAACATTGCACTTTGTATCAAATATAACGGATTTGAAGGGGTTGCTAAATTTTGGAACGGCTGTTCCTTATATTGTAGCATTGACACCTAAAATGTTTACTGAGTATGTATCATAATACCTATGACAATATTATAAGTAAAAAATAAGTAATTCTGTCAGATCATCAAGATACACCTCGTAAATGTACATTATATGTGTATATTTTTATTTTTAATCACAAAATAGTGACTAAAAAAGGTATTGACGCTGCAACATAGATAGAAGTTTTTCGTATTTTTGGTTCATCATATAACCGTGATGTCATCTACAATGATTTTTAAATTATTCTATTATATACAGATGATGAAGCTGTCTGTTGTAAATTGTACACTCATTGACCCAAACAAGTACAATGAACCAGTATAAGTTTTAACATTTATCCAGGCCCTTTATGATAGAATTCTAAATATGCATAATTATTATAATATAATATAGAAATCTGATGTTAGATTGTATTTAAATTTTTGGTTAGCTGAGCAAAGTGACACCAGCAAATGAGTAGGTACCTAATTTAAGCAGCCTCGTACTCTGTTACTTCTTTTATATAAATGTGCATTGCACAATTATGCTGTTTGTGCAATTCTAATGCACCTTCAAAATGTTATAATATTTAATCTGTTCATGTATAATTTTGTATTTTTTCATATTCATAATCGACAACCTGTACTATAGATTACAAAAAAATACCTACTCAGTTTTGCAATGAAGCTAATAATTGATAAGTTAGGATAGCTAGTATAGATAATTTTTTTATTCAATTGTTTGCCAAAATATTAATTTCTTGTTAAATTCTAATTATTATGTTTATTTTTACATAGTCAAGTTTTACAAAGTATTGAATTAAATACTACAAAAATCAATGGAGTGGTTTTATTAATGAATGGTACCAATCGTGAAATAATTGATGCTGATAATTTACAAACAATGGGATTCACCCCTGAGGATACTTGTCCCAATCGTTATTCAAGTAGTACTAGCTGTCCTATGTCCCCCTGGAATCCACACGGTTCCAGTATTCTTCTGAAAGGTTGGAGTTTTCCTATATTCATTATTTATGACAAGGAAACTATTAAAGAAATGTTTAATGTAAGTATTTCTAATTTATATTTCAACTGTTTGTTAATATTAATTTATAATATAGACTAAAAAATATTTTCATGTAATTTTCAGTGTTTTAAAAAATACAATTTACCTACAAATAACCAAAATGATCGATCTTTATGTACTGTTGAGCTAAAATCACACATGTATGCTGCTGTTGATTCTAAAACTTGTATTAGACGTACAGTGATGTCGTATGAAAATATAAGACCGAGTAATATTAATAATATCTATAACTGAATAACAATTGTTTTTTATGTAAAATACATTTTTTCTGATTTAAGTTAAATTTTGTGATCCATTGGGTGATAAGAATGTATATTGGTCTTTAAAAGAACTTGCAGCAAGCACACCAAATAAATCGGTGGCTATTGTTGCTGCTCGTTTGGATGCTACTTCTATGTTTCAAGATTTAGCGCCTGGTGCATTATCTACAGCTACATCAATAGTAACATTATTAGCTACTGCCAAATTTATTTCAGAAATACTACCGTATGATGAAGCTAAAAATTATTGTAAGTTAGCTTAAATGTTAAATAAAAATCAAACTTTTAGTTTATTATATAAATATTTCATAATATGTATAATAATTTTAGTTTTATTTTAATTTTTTCAGCTAATAATATAATGTTTATGTTATTTAATGGAGAAGCATATGATTATATTGGATCGAGTAGAGTCGTATATGATATGGCTAAATTAAATTTTCCCAACGATAATGTCAAACTTCAGCTAGATAATATCGGCCTTTTTGTAGAATTATCTCAAATACATTATGACAAAGAAATTGTATTTCATCGTCCAAAAAAATATAATGTAATGGTCATATTACTTTAACATGTCTATAAACTGCTCTTAAACTTTGTTTTTCTTTTCTTTTAGGCGAGTGAAAATATTCAAAATTTTATTAGTATATTTCAAAACAATCTTGCCAAAGATGGATTTAATATAATTGAATCAGCGTCTTCTTCTATACCACCTGCATCTATACATTCATTTCTAAAAGCTGATGCACAATTTCCTGGTTTAGTTTTAGCAGGTTTTGAAGAACAATTTAAAAATTTGTAAGTTTTTTGTAGTATTTTTATTTAAGATTCAATACAAAGCTCATAAAATGATAAATGACAATTTCTATTAGTCTTTTACTTTTCCTGCAAATGTATTGAATAATGCTTATTATATTTAATTAGTTATATATAATATTAATGTTAAAGTTTTATATATATATAAGTGCTAATTTGAGTTTTGTATATCAATGACTTTATGTTTTCAATAAGTGTGAGACTGTATTTTTAAATGTAAAGATTGACCAAAAGGATGGTTGTGAATAAATAAAATGTCATGAATGAATGGCCTGACTAAAATACTTTACTGCGTTTAAAATGAAATGTTAACGCTGATAAAAATATTTAAATACTTGCAATTATATATTTTTCATAGATTCTATCACAGTGTTATGGATGATGCCAACAGTATAGAATTTACTAGTGCAGATATTTCCAATACTTTGGCTAAAATATCAACGTCGCTTGGTTCTTCACTTTATAGTTTTGTTACAAACAGCACTTATAATGGCAACAATAATGTTGATCCTGAATACGTAAGCATAGTAAATTATAATTAAATAATATAATGTTTAGACATTTTTTTTTTTTTCAGATTAAAAAATTATTAGATTGCTATGTGAAATCTACCAATTGCACATTATTTCAGTCATTAACTTCATTGCCATTGCCTGACAGGCCTCCAAATTATTATATCAGTATAGATTTAATTACAAACACTATTACTACACTTACTAGATTATTATTATCTTCATTTGGTAGTTCAAAAATTGAATCTGTTCTTAATGAAGAAGACTGTAACACTTATGAAACAAAACCGGTTTGAAATAGTTTTATAATTAAAAATATGAAAAATCAAATTCTCAATTTATTTTTAACGTAAAAATTATATTTAAATTCTAATTTTTAGGGATTTTCAGCATTATGGTTAAAAGGAAACTTTTATAATGGTTGTTATTCAACTACATCTAATTACACCGATGCTATAAGTCCAGCCTTTATTATACCTGGTATATATATAGTATATTTTATCATCGTGGTTATTGTTTTTTTAACATTAATTTTGTTTACTTAATATTATTTATTGCAGGTTATGACTTGTCATCACCGAGATTTTCAACATGGACAGAATCAGTTTGGCAAGAAGTACAGATACGCATGTTCTTAAGACAGTCATTCCAAATGCAAATAATTATATTCATCCTAGGAAATTTTTTATTTTTGCTCTCATTCATTATTACTCGAAAAATATATGCACAATCAGACATTTATTTTACTAATCAAGAGTACGTTGCTGTTTGAGCTTTAATTATTTTTGTTAATAAGTATTATTATTATACTTATTGTTTATAATTATTAATTAGCTAAGTTTTATTCTTGGTCCTTCTGCCTTAGAAAATGTGGCCAGAAAACTTCATTTTTTTTTATGACAGTCATACATTTAAAATGGTTATTCTAAAAAGACATTACAGTTTGTTTTTTTTTTTATTCTGTATACAAGTTTGAATTAATTAAATTCAAAATGAATTGATCAACTATTTTTAAAAAATGTTTTTTATAAATTATTATAACTATAATAATTTATAAAAGCGGATTTATTTAGTAGGCAGTTGTCCACCTAGAGAACTAAATTAATAATGGAAAAAAACTAATTTATTTAATTGTAATTTAAAACTTAATTATATGCTGTATTTTATTTATTTAAATTCTATTGAAAACACTTTGTGCTTAACCATTTTTTATCTTTACTTCATTTTTCAAGGTAGTTACAATCTAATTTGTTTTAATTCTAGTGTTTGCCCTAACATTTAATCATAATTTATAAATTTAATATAAGTACAATAAAATCTGGCTAAGACAGAATTGCGCCGAACCGAAAGAAAATTCTTAATAAGTTGAAGCAGTTTTCCATCTTATTATTCAGTCAAATATGTATGATAAACGATTTTTGTCCTGTAAAACTTTCCAGTTTCTTCGGAGTCCGTTTTTAGACAGGCTTAACTATACTTTAACTTAACCCGCTGTATTTAATATTATTATTTATGTCTGATGTAATCCATTTTTAATTTCAGAGTCAATTCAGTTACTAGTTGATAACAGTTGGTGTTTGATGCCACAACTGCTGCAGTGGTCTGTGATTCCATTTGTACATAAAACTTTTTATTTCACTGTGTGTATTAACTATTAATATTTATTTTTAATTTTTTTATGTGTATTATGCCTATTTATTCTACTTCTAAATAATTTGCAAATTATACTTGAACGAAATATTGTCTTGTATTTTACTATTTTTTTAAAAATAATATCTATAGGTTTTAATTTCTTAAGTAGTAATTACTGTTATCAAACTCTAATATGTATGATATTTATCATTATTAGTATTACTCGTATATTTGTACTTAATATCTAAATTAATAAAATTATGAATAACAACAAAATGATAAAATAAAAATTATAATCACAATAATTACCATGTTTTAAAATTTGTCTTAAAAGTTTCAATTTTCAAGTAGGTTTAAAGACATGTCGATTAAATAAAAAAATTAAGGTTTTGTCCGAATAACATGCTAAGAACAAATTTGTTTACAAATATTACAGTACAAAAGAAGGAAAACAATTGTAATCAATGAGCTACTATAAAAGAGGGTTTTTGACGTTTATTGCACAATAATTATGTGCGATAAGAAAATTCTGGATTCCTATTTTATGATTCTTAAAATAGGTTTAGATTGGATCAGAGCACATTATTCCGCGAAAACAAAATGAAAACCAAAAAAGTGACTGACCTCCAAAAAATGATTTATGTTCTATGCTACACTACAAAATTATTTTTAGATGGAAAATTTAGTAAATCTAAATTCTACTATATTTCCTAAAAAAAAATTAGTGATTTATCCATGATAAGGCTTGCTAAAATTGTTTAAACTATAATTTAGTCCAGTTCCTTTACTGGGTACAGATGCTTGGAGGATGCACTCTTTCTAAAACATGACCCGGAGGAGTTCAGCCTAGAAACCATGGTGCAGTTTATGCTGGAGTTAAGGCAGAGTTGGGCTACAATTGTGAGGTTCTTGCGACGTGTTATGTGAACCAACCTGTAGGGGTAAACATAATATTTTTTTAACATTTTTAAATGACTGTAACTTTTTAATAAATTATTTTTTTTAAAACGCACCGTGGTGCCCTCCGGAATATTGTTCTCTTTTAATTTTATAATGGGTGCTTTTACTCAAAAATCAAAATTAAGCGAGTTATTTTCAGTTGGCGTAAACATGTTTTTACCACTGAAAATCACCGGCGCGACGGCCTCTTTAGGGGAACGGAAAGCGTCAATTTTTTACAAATAAAGAATATAATGCGGAGTCACTTTCTGAAGTGTCTACCGAACCGATTTTAATAATTTTTTTATTTGTTTTATAGTTCAACATCTTCTCTAAAAAATATTTTAAAGCATTTTTTTTACTTTTTTAATCTCTAATGGAAAAATTGGCTTTTTGCCCTCTATATAAAAAATAGTAAGCTTCGCAAAAAAAATAAAACTTGAAATCTGTCCAAAAGATAAGCCAGAAAATGACTTCTATGAAAGCCACTTTTTATCAAACTTTCGTCATAATTCGGAGAATATAACTTTAAAAGTATTATAATTAGAAAATTGTATTACGTGTTCGCCTTGAAATTAGTAGACATGAAAATTTGTTGTCAAATTTTTCCTATTCTTTGCCCCTTAATAAAGCACTTTCCGTTAACTGAAATACATATAATTTTTATTCAAAATTAATTTACACACTATTGACCATTTATTAAAAATTGTATGAAATTAAAGAACAATAGTATGACAAAATATTATATTACATTATAGTTAAAATACATCAAAATATTAATTTGAATAATACAACAAATTTTATAAGTTCGTTTAACCGATTTTTTTTTATAATTCTATCAAATGAATTGTATTACATTATAAATAAATTTACTAATGTGTAGAACGAACAGTTTTAAACTTATTTTTAGAAAAAATTTTAACACAAACTACAAATAAAAAAATTAACACCATGGTCAAGCAATTGTATATAACTTTTAATATAATATACTCACAATTGAAAAAAATAATGAAATTGATTTTATATCACTAATAAATAATAATTAACATATTTAAAAAAAAATAATTTAATCTAGATATTAATTATACTATACTATTACATGTATTTGACAGAAATAATAATTATTCTGCAAAAATTTTAATTTCATAACCAAAACATAAAAAAAAATGATAGGAGTAAAACTAAATATTGACATATCAATAACATGCATTTAGAGCCACGTAAAAAATAAACATATAATATATGGTTTGTTTACATTCATACAGAATATTTTATTCAAATTTCTAATTACACGTATAAAAAAATTGGATACAAAAAATATAATTTCTTACGCTAAAAATCATCTGATAGGATTCGTCAGGAATAAATATTATATTATATAAATCACTAATTAATATGCAAGGGTATTACAGATTTTGATCCAAAGGGAGATTTATATTGAATTCCAGCGAAATGGAACACCTGTGTAGGTATAGCCATATTGCAGAGATAGATTTTACCATTGGACTCGCTATAAGACAATGGTAAAGCGGGAACTAGAGAATATTTTACAGCAACCAATGGAGTACCATCAGAAGGAGGATCAATGGCCATCAGTGGGGCTCGTACAGATTTTGCCCAGTTTGCAATATTGTGTGACACAGTGTCAGTTTGTTCGTCAGCAAGAGATACGACTACGAAATCTGGATCCAATAAACCGTGTAATTCTGTGAAACAGAAAAAAATGTATTTAATTAAATATACATTTTCGGTATGTTTTTAAGTATAAAATTTTAGTATAATTTACCTGCTGCACTGGTAATTAATCTGCCAGTTGTAAACTGATACAATGACATTTCATTAGCTAGCTGTGGTGTATATAAACCAGGTTCAGAAAGAACAACTACTGTATGTACGCCATAGCTACTTAATTGTCTAGCACAATTTACACCCATTGCACCAGATCGATTGGGTCCACATAGTACAACAACTCGAGGCCACTGATGTTCATTTCGGGGATTAAATCTTTTGTTTTATGAACATATTGATTAATATAAAATTAATTATACATAATATGTAATGATTAAATACTTACCGGTGACTTCCACCCAAAAGTTGAAGAACCATTTCAGTAGCAGCCCGTCCAATTATCTCATTTTGCCTGCCTGATGTCAAACCATTTTCTTCTACTAAATTAAATAACTTCCATCGTAGTTCTGATGTAATACTAGGAACAACTAATCCATCATCTAAAAATAAATTGTAGAATAAATAACTATTTTACTATTTAACTTAAAGCATATTTGTATATATAAACTTACCCGTAATATATTCATTCACAGCTGGTGATGGAACTGTAACCTGTCTAAATTTTACTGGAGTAGAATGCAATACATTTTCGTTGTGTTTGTATTTATTATTAGAAACTTTTTCGTGAGGCACAAGATCTGGTTTTTTATGTATTTTATTATAAAATGCTTTTTTGTTAAATAATGCTAAGTTTTTTTCAAAATCGAAGTCTTCTTTTAAAATATTATCAAGTGACACTCCAAAACAAGCATCATTACGTTCTTTGTGATTAAAATTTTGAGGTTGTTGTTCTAAAAATGTAATGTAATATTTAAAGTATTTTGTATGAACTTTCCAATGTACAGGTTGGTGGAGAATGAAAGACCACATTTGTAATGGGCGCCATAATTTTAATTTTTTAGACATAGGGGTGAAACAAAAAACAAGTTGTTGCAAATTTAGGGAAGTTTTATTGAATATGAAATATTATTTGGGAAACAGAATGTACGATAGATAGTGTTCTTGCACAGAGATGCATTCTTAGAAGTGCTTGCCAAAGTTTTTCATCACTTTCTCCAACATTTCCACTGGAATTGATGCAATTTCACTTTTGATTGCGGCCTTGAAATCGGAAAGGGTTTGTGGCTTATTGAAATAAACATTCGACTTCAGATACCCCCATAGTAAGAAGTCCCAGCCCGCAGGGAGTGAAATCGGCGAGCAGGGTGACCATAGAACGTCACCATTACAAGAGACCAGACATCTGGGAAATTGAAATTCTCGCTGTGTATGTAGTGGCACTGTCTTGTTGGAATCAGATATTTTCAGTATCCATTTCGTTTTCCTCTAGGTAAGAAAATATCTTGGAATATTCAGCCTCGTAACGCTCAGAATTCACCACCACTGCATGCCCTCTTTCATATTAAAAAAAAAAAGACCCAATTATTCAGACTTTTAACAATGCACACCAAACCGTCACTTTTCCACTGTGAAGAGACTATTGGTGCAATTCTCTTGGGTTACCGTTTGCCCAATATCGGAAATTTTGTTTATTGGCGTGGCCGTCCAAGTGGAAATGACGTCTTTCAGTCTCCGCTACCCGCGAGCGCCTCCAAGAATGCATCTTCGCACAAGAACGCCATCTATCAGACATTCTGTTTCCCAAATAATATATTTTTCATATCCAATAAAACTTCCTTAACGTTTGCAACAACTTGTTTTTTGTTTCACCCCTCTACCTCAAAAATTAAAATTATGGGGCTCGTTACAAATGTGGTGTTTCATTCTGCGCCACTCTGTACATAATACTCTATCAATACAATAAGACTGTAACTTAATAAATATGTCATTTGAAATTCTGGTACTATAACTTTCTGAATTTAGTTATTATTTTCTACCTGTTAACATAGGCTCCTTCTTTGAAATTTAAACTTGATCTACTTGTTTAAAATGCTGAAAATACTTATGGGAATGCAACTGTATTGTTTTAACTTTTAATTCTTAAGAAACCCCTAAACAAATGAAATATGGACTTATCACACTTATAACCAAGCATGTATTATCTAAGAGTCCTTAACTAACTTTTAAGGCATTCATCTCAAGCTATCATTTATTGAGTTACGTTCTTATTGTATTGAATGTGATAGTATACTAACCAACAACAGAATTTGAAACATTTTTTGACTTATTTTTTTGTTTAGAATTTTGTTTCAACATTGATACACTCTTCTTATCGTCACAGGATATTTGATTACTAAGATCTTGTTCGTTTTCTATTTGCACTTTAATTATCTTTAGGTTTTTAATTGTTGTATTTCTAAATGTAAATAAAAGCAAATTAATAATAATGAAAACAAAAAATATTTAAGTAAAATTACTTGATGTATATTTCTGGATTTGTACAAGGTATGCCGTTTTTGAACGCACGTTTTAATATTAAAGTTTCATTGTCATCTGTCATACCATTTACTTCTCCTTGCACGACAGAACCATCATTGCAGTCTATGGACACACAACATCCTTTGTACTGGTTAGCCATTATGAGTTGTACTTGTCTATAGTCAACTTTAAATATAATAAAAATGTCAAACAGAATTAAAATTACTTAACATTATTCTTTTACTGTACTATATTATAATCTTGTTCTCCTCAATCCTGTACCTCAGTTCCTTGTTCATATGAGTTTTGTTCCAACCATCTACGGTTTATAAACATAAAATATCAAGTGGTAAATTGATAAGTCTTATCATATGAACAGTGCAACCACATAACATTCATTTAATCTGGGTGCAACCAAAACAAAAGAAAATTTTAATTTGCGTATGTCACTGTCACGGTGTACTAAGAATACGCTTTTCACCAAACTGCCGACTGTTTAGGTCCCAGCAGGGCCGGACTTGGAGGGGGGGGGGTGTGGGAGGGTTTGACACCCCCCCCCCACTCGGAAAACTCAAGTATACACAGTCGGCACATTCGGAACAAAAAGTCCGTAAATATCATAACTCCCATGAAATTATACAAATAACATATTTATTATTTTAATTTTATAAAAGTAGGTAGGTACATAATTTTTATTGGAATCTGGCGACTGAATAGTAAATAGTCGGCATACGGTCGACCATACGAAAATATAATTTTAGTTTTTAGTATAAAAAAAAAAATGCATTATCGGTTATTCCCGATTTTAGCAGAAGTATTATTATTTGTTTATAATAACTGTGGTGTATATTATATCAAACTATGTTCGATCATGGGACCTATTGGTCTATTGTATAAACAAACATTCTATCCCTCTATAAGTATATATTTTTATTTTCATCAATCCGATCGACTTTGTAAAAATATTACATTTCCTCCTATTTCTTAGGTTGTCCAAAAAAATAGTGGCCGTCGTTATCTCGGTTAAATTGCAGTTTCAACTGCAATACGTTATAATTATGTTAAATAAATTCAAACATTTTTAAAATAATGCTTTTAAAGTAGGGCTCAAACTGTTTTAGTATTGGTGACTGAGATCTGAAAAATTTAGTAATAGATAAATTTGTTAGCTGCCTAAAATATTTCTATGCTCCGAAAAACATTAAAAAAAAATCTAGTCACAATTTATAACAATATCACATCATTATCATTTTTCTTCTAATTCTTTTAAAAATAATAAAAAATGACCCTCGTGATTTTAAACTCCACCAGAGATATTCTCGATGTAATTGATTTGGAAGAAATAACAAAGAAATAGTCCGCATTAAAAAAAACACCGTATTAAAGTTTAACTTTTGATGGTTTTTTTACTTGTACTATCAAAATTTGTTTGTATTAATTAATACTTAAAAAAATAATAATTTTCAGCAATTATTAATTCCCATTAATTTTAGCAAAAAATTGTGACTTGTGGTGTAAAATGTCATAAAATATTTACGAAAGTACCCAAATATTTTAGTCGGTAATTAAAATTTTAAAGTCGGCATCTTCATTTTGACACCCCCCCCCCCCTTGCATATTTCTTAGCACCGGCCCTGGGTCCCACACATATAAAACAATACCGATTCAGCGATTACAGATGAATCATATTATATATGAGGTTGAGGTGTATTGTATGTTTGTTCCAATTTTTTCCTCGTAAAATATTAAGCCGACTTTGATTAAAAAAAAAAACTAAAATAATTTGTAAATTCTCAAGTCAGGAGTGTTCTACCGAATACAAGCTGTTAGAAAAAAAAGAACAAGCCAAAATGTAGTACCCGGTCGGAAATCAAACACAGGCTTCCCGCTTACAGGGCTGCTTTGACTAGCAACACAAATAACTGTTGCGCTTACTGTCTTCTTTATGGGCAGGCCACAATTTTTAATTTTAACTTATAAAGTTGTGTAGGTAATATATAAAATAATGAGGTAATAGCATTGAATATCGATTATAAATATTTATAATCAATGGTAATAGTATATCATATTTATATACTTTATCTGTATATAGCATCATTTTTCTACCTCCTATTTAAAAATATATAGATATATATTTACTTATTTTTTATTTCTATACCATTGCAAAATGGGAATTAGAAATTTTAAACAGGTAAAATCTCTATAAAAAGATTTAATAGAACTTATAACTTTTTTTTTACTTTTTATTTAATGCTTTTAGCTTAAAAAGTAATAATATGACAAATATTATGTTTATTTTATTTCCTTACTATTTCAAGATAAACATTACTTCACAAACAGCAGTGTTGATCAAAATACTGTGCAACTCATTTCATCTTATTTTTTATATCAATAATATTATGCACAAGTTACAGCGAATATCAGCAGTTTGGTGAATGTTGACACATACTGTCAGTTGATATCATTCACTAGTCACCACCCAATTCAGTGAGCACTGCATAGACAAATACAATGTATAAATTAAATATATTTTTCTTATGTCTTAAAATCACCTGTGCTGTGTCTATAGGATTAGTGCAATACAGGTCCATAGGTTAAACTTATAAGCATCAAGTATCTTTTAATAGTTGTCACTCATCAAAATCATTTAAAAACCTATAGGACATTTCATACCTATGCTTGGCTAATTTTTTTTTATGATTTTTAGATGTATTATTTGAACTAGTTAAAATCTTCTTTAGACCCATTTCATAGCTATGTGTAATTAAAGAGAGGTGTATACAAATATATTACTCAACATAATGAGTTACATTAAGGCATATAATGCATCTATCATAATTCATAACCAATGTATTTTTTTTTCAACGTGCATTCGTTATGATCCTTATGCGCAGCTTTACAGTCTTGAACTCAAGCGCATGAAAAAACGTGTGTATTATACAAATTAGGAATGAAAAAGGCTTTAAATAAAAAGTAATAATCATTGGTATAAATAAAATTTAAAATATTTTTAATTATTTATTTAAAATGATTAAAAAATAATGGTTTTATACATTTATTTACTATACAGTCATAAATAAAGCAGAAGCTTTATGTTGAGTGTTTGGGTTTTGCACTTTAACTTCTAATGTTTGATCTCTAAAATTAAAAAGTAAAGTAAGCAGTTCAAAAAATGTTATAAATGAATATTACATTAATAATCACAAATTATTCATAACAATTTGTACTTACGTATTGGCAGTAAATGAAAATTCAATTTCTTCATCAAGTTCAATATTTATATTGGCCTAAAATAAAGAAAATTATATGTAATACATTTAATATGTTATATTATATTACAGTCTCAAATTTTTTATGTAAATTTACTTCACAATTTTTTTGTTGGTCTTTCCCAATTTTGGCCAAAAGAGTTACGATCTCAGAATTATGTTTAGCCTTTATGGTTTTTGTAGACGGTAAAACTTCATTCTGATCCAAACTTAGAACTTCACCACAACACTGCAATTATATAATTATATTTTTTAATAATTTAATTTAGATAAAAGGTAAAAATAAAACAAACATTAATCTCTATGGGTTCATTTAGAGTTGATACTTCTGTTACAGGTTCTGGTAAATCATCACGAAAATTCCAATATTTAGCTAAAAATCCAGCTTGTACTGCAGCACCGTAAGCTAGTACTTCATCAGGGCTTATACCATTTGGTATATCAGCATTGGGAAATAAACTGCCTATGTATGATTTTAATTTTGGTATTTTGAGAGGACCACCACAAAGAATAACCTATTTTTTTGGAATAAATTGAAAATATAAAACATAATATAATTACTGTATTAAAATGTGCAATTAATACTACCTTTCCAATGGAAGCACTTTTAAGCTTAGCTTTCTTCAAAACAGTTTCAATAGGTAGGGCAAAACTAGGTAATAAATGAGCAATAAGTGATTCAAATCTAGCTTGGGAAACAGATGCTGCAAAATCAACTCCATCAGTAAGTGATTCGATAAATATATTTGCTGTTTTTAATGTTGACAATAAATGCACTGCATCTTCAGTAGCTCTTTGAAGTTTAGCTAAAGCTCTAGCATTTTCTGTGGGATCTGATCGGTGTTTTCTTTAAAAAGTATAAATTTATTAAGAAAAATATAATACAATCAAAAAAAAAAAATAATTGAGTTGATTTTAATAAAAATAATATTTATATGTTCACCTTTTAACATCATCTATTAAGTGAGATTTTAATATTTCTATTAATTTATAACCTCCTATACTTTTTGTATGTTCAGATGCTTTGATAGAAACTAAACCAGAATTGACATATAATATAGTTGCATCACAGCTAATACCTCCCAAACGGTATACTAAAACGTATCTATAAAAAAACAAAGATAGTTAGCATAGAACAAACTGAAAAATATGGTTTATTTTTATCAAACATACGTATCATTTAATGGTTCTGAAACATTGATTCCATAAGTAAATGGAGTTACGCTAGGTGCATTAACTACTTGAAGTACATTCCACCCAGCTTGAGTTGCAGCATTACGAACAGACTCTCTACTGGGGTCATCAAAAAATTCTGGTACAGTAAGAACGCAACAACACTTAGTATTATCATCACTGTGTGTTGCTCTTTTAGCAATACCTTAAATTAAAAAAAAAATTGTTTAATTAATAAACCAAGATATAAATTAATGTAATAAACACCGTAGAAGAATATGTATACCATATAATGTTTTATAAATATTTGACTCAATAGATTGTGGTGAATAGACGTTTTTCTTAGTCTCTAAAGGTAATTCATAAGCTAAGTGACCACCTTCAATAACAGTCTTAACTTTGTTATTATCTATAACAGATTGTTTTTCGTCTTCATCCATTGCCAAATTCATTAACCGATTATTAAATGTAATGGTATTGGCTTGTTTAGAAATAAACCCAGTTTTTGCAGCATTTCCAACAACCTAAATTTGGTACATTTTCTATATTATTTTAGTTTATTTTTTAGTAAAACATGTATGCTTACTGTTTCTTTATCTGTAATAGACACTACAGCAGGGGTGATTCGATCTCCAGCTTCATTTGCTAGAACGTCCACTTTTCCTTCTTCCTAAATTAAACATATTAATAATAATTAAAAATAGGGATCTAACAAAAAAAATATGTATTCTGACATAGTTATTTAAGTAAAGTAAGTATATCATTTTAGTTTAAAGCAAAGAAAATAAACATTTAGATAGGAATAACCCTGATAAGACCGTACCTGTAGGAACAAAACCAACTGACATTTTCATCTTTTTCGATAAAAAATATTGGTATAATTTAAAAAGGTAAAAATGTTAATACATAAAATTTATCAGTCATCCAGTTTCAAAAGCCTCTACGTCCACACCACTTCAATTTAAGAAAAACTGTTGCGATACAACATTGTAACACTATTACAATGTAACATAACAGCTTTATTTTCAAAATGATACAGTGGGTTTTAGAACAAAATTACGCTACCAATTGATTCCTTGCCCTCCATTTATTTAAAACCTTAAATCATCTCAATTTCTTCAAACAATTGATTTAGTTGCTTTTAGGACTGGACACAACTCATATCTGTAACAACTGTGACTTAGTGTGTAAGTCGATTTCAGGGTTTTAACAAGCGAGCGATTTTGAACTTTGATCAGCTGCCATAAATCAGGATAATCAGGATTTTATTTAAAACATTTGATTTTTTTATGATCCTCTTATATTGATAAATACTTTAGAGGTACTCAAGTGGTTTCTTTCAAGTTTAAAATCGCTCCCCCGTAAAATCACTGAAATCGACTTACACACTTATTCACAACTGTTACAGATATTATGGTACCTATTTAATTTTAATTTTACAAGCTTTATAAGTGTTGTAACAATACAAAATAAATATGACTACACTATCAATAAATAATTTATGTATTATTTATATTATATAAATACAATTAATATGTTACTGTTGATAGAAAATGCGTAGTCCTAGAAGGTAAACAACAAAATGAGTAATATATAATTACTATTTATCATAAATAAACTTATATGTATATATGTAATAAAAATATTATAAGTTTCTATCTTGGTAATTACTTTAGAAATAGCTATAGAAGCAGTTGAGTTTCCAACATGAATTCCAAATACAATAGAAGATTCCATGGTGATATTGTATATGTAAAATCAAAATATTCCGCTAGTATGAAAAGTTAATAATTAATACTGTACCAGGGTATTCAAATCAGTTTAATTAGTTAAATACAATATACATTTTAAAATTTGTATTTTACAGTTTACTCAAACTTCAAAGATCACATTTTCAAAGGGAATTTACATAACCTATAAAACTGTTGGTGATAAATTCATTGATAATAAAACGTTATTTTATCATTTACTGATAAATGATAATTGAACACTGATAAAAGATCATCCACCGTAACTTTTTCATACTCGTAGCTTCAGGTTGAGAGCCAGCGTGAGAGCGCTGTTCATCTTGTCTAAGTCCTGTTCACATGCGCAGCACAGAATTTTTAAAACCATTTCTAGAGGTGGTTAGTGCATATAAAGATTAGGTACCAGAACATTATTTTATTTATTTGATGGACAATTTTTTAAATCCATTTTCACAATAATTAAATTTAAAAATCAAATCAGTTTTTTCTCTATTTTATGTCCCATTTACGAGAGTAATAAACGTGATATATGTAAAATAATTGTTATATCATTATTCATTACAAATAGTTTATCAGGGAAATAATTCCCAAAGCAATTTATGGTATTATAAATAGTATATATGAGTCAAAAAGCGAAATACGAACAAACGTTTGGAGCGATACCCTCAGATTTTTTTTCGAAAACTACTCCGCATGTCTGTTACGATGAAAAAAATGATTAGAAATCTAACATCATTTTACATAAATTATGTAAATTTCAAATTGAGTTCTTCATAAACGCTCGGAAAAACAAAAAAAAAAAAGATGTAAAATTATATAGAAAAGTTGAAAAAACTGAAAATTATCTTATTTTTACACTTAATTATTTATTTATTCAACTATTTTGACTAATGTGGTTGTTATTAACAAAACAATGAAGATCATAAAAGTAGATAAGAAGACAAATTTGATGCATTTACCAAACATCATGTACATGTATAAAAATTAACACTTTTTGTTAAAACATTTGTTTAGAGTGTGAAGATATATACGACAGTGAATCTTGGACACTTACTAACCTAGTCTAATTTAGCCACAAGGGCATCATGGTCCACGGTTAATAGATATCTATTAATCATGAGCATGGTCAACACTCAACAATGGTGATGATAAGTTGGATGGAAAATAAATTAAACTAAGAAGTGTTAAAATATTTAATACACGAGCCCGGGTAAAGTACTAAATGATTAGATGTCAATTAATTAAACTACTTTGTTTTCACACAATATTATTTTTAGAATTTTTTAGGTAAGAAATAAGAGTGGCTGAGTATTAACTTTTTTATTCTTTGGCATTATATTTTTGTTATGGTTAGTAGAATTATTATTGTTTCAACGGTAAAACTGGTTGTTTTGTATGTGATGCCTAAAGCATCTACGGATGACAATAGAAATGACAAGTCGGCATGACCGATGACGTTCAATAGGTGTAGGCACAATAACCCAATAAGTAATGACCATTGACTTAAGATTGGATTTAAAAAAAAAAATACCTAGTGAAGTATAAGAAAAATACTGGACTGAATATTTTAATTATTTTTTATTGTACACTTTTCAAGTACATATTTTAGGTATGTATAAATTGAAATGTGTAAGTACATTGTAATGGTCAGACCTCTTTGAGATATTGTAATGGACGTGGAGTACAATTTATTGCTTACTGTAGTTTTGGATAACTTTTAATTAATGTATAATACTTAGTTAGCAGTTAAGCATTCTCAATTCTGTTTATATGACGTTAATACTTGTTTTTCACAAGTATTAAGATATGCTTAGCTTGTATTCTTTTTAGTATGTATATAACCCCAAAGGAACAGCTAGTATTCATTCAATTGTCTTATCTTGTTTCACCCGAGCAAGTTACTGTCTGTGTAAAAGTTATTAATTAAATTACATTGAATCAAACCTATCTTGTCAGTTCTTATTGTCTTACTAAGTCTAGTCCAGTGAATTAACTACATTTTTAACACTGTACAAGATAGTAATTGTTTTGAACTCAACAGTTCATTACAACATGCACTGTTGTTTGTATTAATTCAATTTTCGTATACTTAATAGTTTTTACTACTTTAATTGAAAAAAAAAAACAGATTTTTCCTTTTGGTAGTAACTAGTAAATAAATAATGTACCATTATAGAATGACTCGGATTAGTATCTAAAAATATATTTTAAAATGCACTAAATTAAAATACTTTTTAGTAGAAGTAATCATAAATCAATTGATCGACGATTAATAATGATGACCTCTTATAATTTTAAGCATATTCTGACCTTCGACGAATTTCTCAAACGCACATAATTTTATCATAATTCACTAAATGGTATTATATTTTGTTTGGTAGGTGTGGATTTTTTTCATATTTTACAACATGTGCGGCTCACGAGACCTTCATATGCATGATTCATTTATTATATCATCGCACATCTATCATCAGGAGATATTTTATAAATTAAAAAGTGCGTGTAGCAATGTAACGTGTTATTCATTTTTAATGACGTACCAGCTGCACCAGATGATAAAAACCGAGAACCCTTAAAATTTCCGATGACGTGGTCTCTTAATAAATATCGTCGGTGGTTGACGGTGTTTTATGAAAACGTTTAAATCATAGGCGGGGATTTTGGAGTGCTTAAGAGGCTTAGCCCTCCCCCCAAAAAAAATTATTCATCATCATCATCAAGCTTAACGGGCCTTCAAGGCCCAACGCTGCTATCATGAGATAATGGTTTCTAGACGGATTCGCTGTCCGGGACGGGTCGTCAGTCGTCGCCGAAAAGGGGGGTGGCGGTTCCTTTTCACCGGACGATTGCTCGTCACTCACTCACTCACTCCGGTAAACGGAGTGCCCGTGACCGAGTGTCGAACCCATAGATAAGTATAACAGCGCTAACCCACTGCCGCCTTACCCACTCAAAAAAAAAATGATTAACCCCCCAAATTATTTGATCACTCATCAAAGAAATGATGAGGGGTGTAAAGCCCTTGCGGGTCATTTTAGGAAGAAAAACGCTAGCCCCTCCCCCATAAATTAACCAAATTTCCGCCTATGGTTTAAATATCAACCAAACTGTAAAACTACCTAAAGTCTAACCGTTTACAAACTACGTAGGTTTACTAATAATAGGGAATTGAATCATGTATCATTTACAACTATTGTGTGCAGTGTGGTTCCGCCTGCTAACTGACTATTGAATACCGAATGGCCAGTGGCCACTGAGTAGCGATACATTATAACGATTAATGTGTAGTTTGCGCCTTGCGGACTGCGGAGTGAAGTGTGAACTGTGACACACCAGTGACCAGACACAGCCTCAGTCCTCTGATCTCTGTGCAGTTAGCACTTGCCAGTTGCCACCCATGTCGCAGCAGCCCGGATATTCTTGTCTACGCAGCAGCCAGCACTGTGTAGTGTGTAATGTGTTATGTTTAGTGTGCACAGTGGGGCGGTAAGCCTTCTGAATACCGTTGACGGCTATTCCACAACGTCTAAATGACGGTGTAGTAGGGTGGGATGGGGAAGATGGCTCGACATAAACGGTAAAATACCGGCACGTTCAAAATACGCCGGTTGTTATGTTGGTCACACCGCTGTAGTCCAAGTCGGCGGCGTCTCGTAGGCGTGGGTTTCCGACCCCCGTTAAGAATTTCGTCGTTTTGTTAATTGTGTTTAGTGTTTACCTTCCCAGTTCCCAGCCAAATAATTTACAGTCAAATGTCAATGCTCATTGCTCACTGGACTGTCAGTAGTGTGTTACATAGTAATTATCATTAATCTTATTTGTTGACTGTGTTGTGTGTAGTAGTATCGTTAAACTTATTGTGACTTATTTTTTTCGCGCGTTTATGTGTTTGTTAATTATTATAATACCGGTAGGTACTAAGCCGACAAGTTGAAACGGCGTGTGAGTTTGTGTACCCGCGCCCTAGTGAGTATTGTTGAGTTTGTGAGCCGATCGACACAGTTGCCGTAATGTCACAGAGATCATCGAGGAAAGGCGGCGCGACTAGGAACACGCCGCAGCCTGATGATTCTACGGCAAGTGAGAAAAGCAGACGGACCGTGACTTTAAGTCCAACCCGATTCAGTCGCATCCAGGAGAAGCATGAGTTGCAGAATCTCAATAACCGTTTAGCCGCTTACATCGACCGCGTTAAATATTTGGAAACTGAGAACTCCAAGCTTACACACGAGCTCCACTCGTCCCAGGAGGTCACTACCCGGGAGGTAACTAACGTGAAAGTTCTGTTCGAGTCTGAGCTCGAAGATCTGAGGAATGCCTTGGACCGCGAAGCCAAGGAAAAGAGCCGCTTGGAGTTGGAAAATCGCCGTAAAAATTTGGAGACTGAGGAGTTAAAATCTAAGTAAGTGTTGATATTTTGTTGGAACAAATGCACATTACTGGGCACCCTTTTTTTGTCAATTTTTAGTGTTTTTTATGCTGATTTCGAATCTGTAATCAGAAATTTGCAGACTCTTCTAGTTTAAAAGTTACACCTTGTAAAAGTTATAGTTGCGTAAGGTGCTGCGGTGAGTGGCACAAGGGACGGCACCCGTCGATGCCGTCAGATACATACAGCAGGTCACCGAGTATTTTGGCACTCGCTCGCTTCTGATTTTAAAAATATCTATAAATATTGTAGATAAATTTAATTGTATTTCCAGCTCATTGACTAACTTGTTTTTATTTCTATATTCTAGACTGGATAAGGCCAACAAAGAACTTAAAGAAGCTACTCCTTATATAACACGGTTTAATGATTTAAACTCCAAATTTGGCCAAAATTTAATTGAGAATAAAAACCTAAAAGATGCTAACAAGGTATTTTTTAATTGAATTCTGTTTAAAAGATAATACTATTGTTTTATATTCATTTTATATACAATAATATTATAATTTCTCTCATTTAACTAAATTATTAATTTAATATATTATTGTAGAAATTAAACAAAGAATTAGCAACAGAAAAGAAAAACGTAAAGGACATTCAAAAGACATTGGAAGAAGAAATTCTACAAAGAGTGACTGCAGAAAATAAGTTGCAAAGCTTAAGAGAAAACTTTAAATTTAAAGAAGAGGTAAAATGATTCACTTCATTCTTATTATTAATTTATAATATTTTCAAATAAGCCTTCCTGTATGTAGAAACTTGTTGTCATCATGAAAGTATGTTTTCATAACTTTGATGATGGTGAATGAGATTCATATTATGTTTATTTTATATAACAAAATATTTGAAAAATAAACAAAACAGTTTGTTAATTGACAAAAAACTGATCTTATTTTTGTGTATTTTAAGTGTATCAAGTATCAACTAAATCTTTATTGTAGGTGCATAAACAACAACTTAATGACACTAGAACTAGTCGCCGTACAGAAATTATTAGTGAAGTCGATGGACGTCTTTTGCGAGAATATGAAGAAAAACTACAATCTGAACTCCAATTACTACGGCAACAAGCTGAAGAAGATGTTAAACGGAATAAAAAAGAAATTTCTGAACTGTTTGACAGCAAAGTATTTGATTACATAGTAAATTCTATGAATGGTTTTAATTTACATAGTTTTATTTTCAAGATTCAAAATATGGAAAATGAATTACAACGCAAAAAAAAAGCCGTGGAATTAGCTCAGGAAGATACTAATACGGCAAATGCACGTCTTAATGAACTTACAACACAAATAAATGATTTGCTGGCCTCAAATAATGATCTTTTGGTAAGTATACTATTATCATTGATTACAAATATAATACATAGGCCACTGGCCAGTTTTTTTGGCTGCACGTAAATTACAGTGATTTTAGTTATAAAGGGTAACGTGGGGAGTGCTGTTGGTCGATGTGCATGCATAGTAAAACTATATTGACTGTATTGTTAATGCGCGACGACAGTCAGCGTTTCCAATGTTATCCACCATAACTAAAAATACTGAATTACAGGGAGCCAAAAAATCGACCAGTATTGTATTTATAATCAATTCTATTATTTAATATTACATTACAATGTGTTATGTGTATGTATAAATTGACAGAGAAAAATAGCAGATTTGGAGCGATTGAAGGATAGTCAACGGATCAAATATCTAGCTGAAATTCAGAGCCTTGACCAACAACTGACGGCTATGCAAGATGACATGTCACAAAAAGTACAAGAGTATCAAGACCTTATGGACATAAAAGTGGCTTTGGATATGGAAATAAGTGCTTATCGAAAATTATTAGAAAGTGAAGAAAGGCGTTTAAGTATTACACCTAATACATCAGTTGTTGGTAGTCCGAGAGGCAAGAAAAGGAAATTGTTCCAGCGTGAGGAAACAGAATTTGAAACTTCAAATGTTATCACTGCTTCATCAACAAGTGATATAGAAATAAGTGAAGTATGTCCGGATGGACAGTTTGTCAAGTTGTATAACAAAGGATCCAAAGTAAGCAAAACTGTAGAAATGTATTAAATTTATTTGTCTCTGTATTGGGTCATAGCTAAATTAAAATTTATTTTTTAGGAAGTAACACTGAGTGGATATGAATTGGTTCGGACAACGGCTGGCGAAAATGTTTCTACGGTGTACAAATTCCATCGCTCAGTTAAACTTGGAGCTGGAAATTGGTTGACAATATGGTCATCTACTGCTAGTAATCAGATACACGAACCTAATGCTGGATCAATCGTAATGAATACACAGGCTTGGGTTGTGGGAGATTTAATGGCAACTATTCTTTTAAATCCAGAAGGAAAAGTATGATAATTTCAATTTCATATCTATATTGAAAACTGATAACTTTTTTTTTTAATTTAATAGGAAGTAGCCACACACGAGTTAAAGAAAGGTCAAATTTCCCACCTAAGAAGTGATTATAACGATTATGAAACTGAATTGTTCCATCAACCAGTAAGTAATTATTAGTAGAGCTCTTATTTTATGTTACCATTGATATATTATGTGTTTCCGAATGTCCGAATGACTTAACAAATGTTAGTAAATTACGTAATTTTGTGATTGATGTATTCATGTAACAAATTTTTATAGCCAATCAAGAGCTCCAAATATAAGTAATTCTTATTTTACTTCTATTCAATATGATAAACTGAGAATTGGGTTGATATTTTTTTTTTATATTCAATAATTATGGTTATATTACAACTTGTAAATTGAATTATCACATACAAGAGTGGATAAAATCATAGTATAGTAATCTAAGCATGCAAAAACGTTGAATAATATAATTTTGAAAGGTCAATTGTTTGAATCTGAGTATCTTTGAATCTAGTTTAGTTAAAATTGTCATTAATTGGAAACAACATTATTTTGTAACAAACTTGAAACCAATAATTCTTGAATCAAATTTATTTGGAAACAATAAATCTTGAACCGATTAACTTAGAATCAATATTTTTTTTAAAACTGTTATTTTTGGCTGTCTGTCTCCGTTATGACTTTAAATAAAGTGCAGGTATTGGGCACTCACTCTGCTAACCCAAAAATATCCTAGGCTTGCAGGCTACAGTCTAGGTTTTTTGTAACAGTTTTATAAACAATTCTTTAGGGTCCATTTGTAATTTTTGTTTACAAACAATTGTTTGTTGTTTCTAGGGTGAAGGACCAAGTGGCGAAAAATGTGTCATAATGTGAAAAATCTTTTTCTAGAACTAGATTCTACCTTTTAAATAACACACTTGTAGTTAATCAGAGTTTATCACATGTTAATTATTGATTTTTACTGTCATTAATTTTTTTTTAAGCCAATTTATTAATTTTTTTTTTTTACTAATATTTATTATTTAACTTATTATTTAAAGCTTTTTTGTATTTTGCTTTATAAATCTAGATTATGATCCATTCACAACTTGAAAATTTATTTTTATCAAACTACTAATTCTGTAAAATAGTGGAAGAAAAAATTTTTGTTAGTTTTTTTTTTTTTTTAATTAATTAATGAGTTAACAAAAATATACTGTGACCAGTGTGACGTACATTTAATATTTTTATTGTACTTAATAAAGTATACATTTATGTATATTTTATGTATAAATATACTACGGTATATGTCATTAAGTCAAAAGTTAATTATTGCTATGTATAATTGTTTTTAAAACAATAAAATATTTTAGACTTAAAATGTTCTATATTTATTTTTAAATTTTCATTTTGAATAATGGGTATTAAATTATGTTTTAAGTTTAGACTGCACTAGATATAGGATTTATATATGTTTTTGATTTATTTCTCGGGTGTACACTAATTAAAAATTGAATGCTTTGTATTTCTGATTAATATATAATATATTTTTGTATACCTAATTTTAAAAATTCAGTTATTTTTTTAATATTTGTTATCTTCTTTAAATTGCATTATGTTTTAGTCTGGAAATTTATTTTTTTTATTAATTTATAAAAATAATTAAACCTTTTTAAACATCTGATGTGAGTATTAATTTTTTTGTTGATCATGTTTACAAGTAATGGTTTTTCTTTAATTCATGTTTGTTTTACTTGTGTCGTGTATTTGCAAAATGGGCCAACTCCAAAAAAAAAAAAAAAAGGAAAAGCTGATTTTTTATTTCATATTGGCTAAGTGTAACAGAAAGTAAGCTTTTCTCAAAACATTTCTTTTAGGAAATCTGATTAACTATCTCATTTTGGCTACGTGTGACAGAAAATCAGATTTTCCCAAAAATTGTTTTTTTGAGAGTTGGACGGTTTTGCAACTATGTACATGACACACTTGTTCTTTATTTACCTATCATTTTTTTTTACTTCGCTTCCGAATTAAATCATTATGTCTGCTAAGATTTAATGAGAAATATTTTTATTTTATGCATGGTTGAATGAATTTCTTTTCTTCATGTTGTATACAGGTAGAAAAGAAATGCATTCAGTCCTGTATAAAAGAAGAACATATTTATATAACATTATTTTTTTATAATACTAAATATTTATAACATTAGTTAATATTGTTTTTAAATCATTTCATTTACTGTTTAAACCTGAAGTCCAATTATTATATTGTTACAAAATCAGTTAAATACTTAAGGATATTGACTATTAAATTATATTTTAATATTTAAAAATATAATAATTTATTTAAAAAAAAAAATAGTTTATTATTATTATACAAAATTGTATGTATAAATAGCGACTATTTTTTGTATGTTAGTCTAGTATCATTTTTATTAACAAAATATCAAAACTTATTAATATGCAGTTGGAATTTATTATAAAGTAGTATTAAGTATTACTAAGATGTACAATTTTAAGTATATACACTAAATAAGCACTGTAATCAAATATTTTAAGCTATTTATTTATAATTTAGTATATGTTTAACTTATAAATAAATTTATTAATTTGCAGTTACTGTATGTTTTGGTTTGTTGAAAATTAACTTAAGTTTCATCCGAGTTATTGTTTTTAGTTTGGGCACAATAAATTTAGCGTTGTTACAATTGTAACATAATTTTAATAATTATAAAACTTGTAATTTGTGCCATATTACTGTTATTTTTGTAGCTTGTACCTACATTTTTCAACATGTTGATGTAGTGCTAACAACTGTTGTTAGTATAAGTTATCAATATTCAATATGTCCACACAATCATGATAGAGCAGTTCACTTTTTAAGCTAAAATATTTTATAAACAATTTTAGATGGGGAGCTGAGTATTGGTTTTATAATAATTTTTTGTCTAACTGAAGACAATGACTTTTAATTTGGATCGATTAACTCGAGTATCATATCTATACAAAATCGTATGCGATTGTTTCATTGGCGGGTCCTAAGATAAAAACCAGAAAAAAGTTTGATCGGGTTTTCAGCCTTCAATTTTGATTTGCTATAACCTTAATTTTTATAGAACATGTATTAGGTAGGCATACTTCTATCAACAAAACCAAACGTTAATCCCTATCTTATCGAGCGGTTAGAAGTCTTTTGTTATGTTTGATGCGCAATTTCAGGATAAGAGGCGAGCTGAGAATTAGACGAACATAGATCTAAACTAACCTTTGGGCTTTGTCTATGAGAAAAAAAAATATCAACAATTTTTTTTATGAAAGAACCTAAAAAAGTGATTTACGTTTTTCTGCTCTGCCGAGCATTCATATTTATGTTTATCGAGTACTGAGTAGGTAAGCGCATTTGGATGTTCTTTGCGAGTCGGTACTATTACGGAAAACTAACAGGTAACCGTCCTTATCATTTTACTGTATTATGTATTATTTTATAACCAAATCAGTGCAAATTCTTTATCAGTTATCGCCATAAAATATGCGAATGTCGAATACAATAATTTACACTACTGATAATAGCAAAATGTAATGTTTGATGATCAAAATCAAATAATCATATTTAAAGATAACACTAAATAATATTAACTAATTATATGTGTTTGTATGTATGCTGCTGAGATTGCGAATTGTGTTGATTAATAAGTCGTATTAGCTCTAATATTGCATACATCAGAAACAAAAAGTTTATTATTCTATTGTAGAATCGTATAATATAATACAACAGATAAATACAATAACCAATAAGTATAAAATTATGCAGGACTAAAATTTAAATGTTGAAAAATGCGCGCTAAATTGTGTATGTTTACATGTTTATAGTACTCTTTGACCAAATTGTCTCCCCTCTTTGCCACAGTGCTAGTACCTTTGGCGGGCGCCGGGTGGGCAAGGACGCGGTTCCGCCATTTTGAAGTTGTAATTTCGATGCTATTGCCTGTTCAATTAATATTGTTTGTGATATACATTATACGCCGGCATTTGTGAATTGTGATTTTGTTATATTTTTAACGCCTTACATAGTTTTGTACGACTTTTGGAAACACATTTAAGGTGAGTGACTTACGATGTTATTGAACAATAATCTTGTCTTTGAATACAGCAGGCGTTTTCCAAAACGCTCGTGTTTACATATGTGTTTACCGGCTTTGCCGTCTATAGTTTTTCGTTTCACGAATGCGACGATATATTTTTAGTATAAAATAATTGCATTACAATAATAATACTGTCTACTGTCGCAAGTTCATTAAATATTTATACTAACTGCAGCGGCAACTACATTATTTGTGTATTATTACTCGGTACTTTGGTTTAGGTAGTAGGTCCTGCTGCTGAACACCGATATTGTGTTTCTACTTTCCTTTAAATTATTGTATTTGTGTGTCCAGCTATTATCTATTAGCTATGGACATAAAAAAGTTATTTCGACCTAATTATACTTTTGGTAACCATTAATTTAAGGCGGTCGGTCCCTTTTGTTGCCATGGCATCCAATAAGACAACAGCTACATACTAACTGCCTTCTATACTTTTCATATGAATATTACATAACATATAGCGGACAATGAAACTGATGTTCTTTAGTATCTAAGTATAAGGTATTGTTCTAGTTGGGATACGCCTTAATAATTGTTCATTAATAAATAAAAGTTTGTTCGTTTAACGTATTATTAACGAAAAAGGGTTCACTATGAATAATAATATAGTATGCACAACTATAGAATTATTATAGTAAAAACATTATTTTAAAACTACTTGTTAATTACATGTTTCAATGTTCAAATTAGCTTGGAACATAATATGTATTTTGTATAGTTATGATCAATATGCCTTGTATATTCAAAAAAAATTATTTTTTTCCTATTTTGTTGAAAATTAATTAATATGGTTAAGTGGTTCAATTTTTTTTTTCCACATCAAACTTCTTCAGATTTTTATTTTATCTTGAGTATCTAGTTATTTATAAAAATAGTAAATTTGACTAAAACAAAAAAAATGCAAATCATTTATTTAATGCTTACCTAGTAATGTGCGGTACCACTACTCATTCAATTGTAGCGGTCCTTAAGTTTTTGGGTTAAATCAAACAAATTTGTATACCGAAGATTTTATAACATATATACTATCTACAATTGATATTTTGTTTTAAACGATAAGAATGAAATTAATACAAGAATACAAGAATGGTATGAGATAATGCACATCACTAGCTAAGGATTAAAATAAAAATAATTATATAAATTATAATGCACTAAAATTGACTGTGTAAATTGAACTAATGAGTTTTTTCTTAAAAAATTTGTTGTATAAAAGTAATAAAAATAAATAATTTAAAGAAATGCACTTTAATATTTACGGTAAATGTATTAGTTCATAATTGAAAATAAGTTATAATTATTTTTTTAAAAATTATATCGCTTACCTAGAACAAGTATTTTAGAGGTTATTAATATACAATTAATAAATGTAAATTGATGTATAGTAAGTTAGTCTAAAACTTTTCATTAATTGTTCTTAAATTAAAATGAATACATAGTATTCAAATCAATAAATATGATATTTTTTTAGATATTTAATTATAACTTACCTATTGGAAGACATTTTGTATTGTTTAGCTAAGATTATCTTACACCACAGCTGCATTTAATAAATCTAATATCATACAAATTGTACGCTCTGAATTAATTTTTATGATAATTTAGTAGATGATAATTATGCTTATTATTTTTATCATTTGATTCATTGATGTTTGAAAATAGAAGAAACACTAAAAATATTTTGTAATCAGTTGGTTTTTTTTTAAATGTTATTTATTTTTATAAGTATGTATTTAATTTTTTTAAATATTGTTAAATTTATTTTCTAAAAGAAGTACTAATCATACATATCGGTAGTACTATTGTTAAAATGATAGTGGTTAATTAAAGGTACGTTGACAGTATGTCAGAAAAATACGTACTCTAATACCACTCCTCTTAAATTCATGTTAAGTAGACAGGGTTCAAAGTACTGGACTCAACCTATTAAACCTATTGTGTTTTATTAGGTTAAACCAAAAACCCCAAAAAAGCCAACTGGTAAAAAATTACCAAATTTTAAACTTCATTACACCGTCTACCCCCTCCAATGTTGTCCTAAACGGTTCTAGTGTTAGTTGTACTGGCTGTACATGTCTGAACTTAATTACAGTAATCTGCAGTACAAGAAACATAATTAGCTTATGGATTGATGTCTCATCCTTACTTGTAGACCAGTAATTGTACCAGACCTATTATCTGTATTATCATAATTATGTGCATTTAAAAATTCTAGATTAAATTCATATAGAGATAATGTTGTCAAAACTTCTTCGGCAAGTTCCTCAGATTTATGTTCACTAATAGGAAGAAGGCACATCAAATGTTTAATAGGTGTTCCATTTATTTTACTAACAATGTACATACACAATCGTAGGAAAGATAAATAACGGGCCAGTACTGGGACCCTGAGATTAAACTGTAAATAACGATGATCAGTGAGTTAACAGAAGCTCCTATTTACACATGTACATAGCAGGTCCAGGAAATGTCTGTGATCACTTTTTATTTTTAGTTATTAACATTGATTTTAGTATAGATTTCTAAATTCAGTATTATTAGTTTCAATCTGATACTTGATGTTAGTGCACAATATTATTTTCTTTTTATTCACTGCTAACATTTTGTTAAACTATAATGACAAACATTAAAAATCTAATTGGTATTGCATTACTGCTTGAAGAAGAAGACAAACTATTTTAACTGAAACAGAAATGACAGTAGCCAACAAATGAAAACGTTAGGTACGTAAAGCTTAAAAAAAGCAAACAACTGAAGAGGAATTTAATACTTTATTCAAAGAACGCCTCCGGGAACTCGGAGAAAGAATTGTCTAGAACAATATTTTTCGACCCAGATTCGATATGGGCTGCTTGGCCTGGACTATAGTGTGAATGGTCACATTTAAAATGAATACAATGATGTTTTTCTTATCCGGCCAGATCCCGGCACAGACACATTGTATGTAAGCATACATTTTTTTGATTACATTTTATTTACATATGTTAATTTTACCCTGGATAACTTTTATTGTTCTAAAAAAACATATTATCGAACAGAAAACCTCACGGACAATTTTCAATTAAACATTTTTTTATTTAAAGTAATATCCACATACATGTTAATCTCATTCAAATAAGGTTGACGATCCTGAATCCTCTGTCTCTTAACTTTTTTATTTGTCCCTATTGCTATAATATCTACTTATAGATTATTATGTAGAACTGCAATCTTTTGACACCTTTCAGTCTGCTGAATTCCTACCATAGTCAACAATCAATGTTTCATCTACATACATTTCAATATTTCATACATTTATATTTATATTTCATACATTTCCTTAAGGTTATTTGAGGTTTTTAAAAGCCTAGATAGCTCATATATGAGTAGTATACACTCTATTTAATATATTTCTTTCTTGGGGTACTTTTCCACTTCTTTGAAAGTCTAGTTTTGTAATATCTATCTTTAATTCCAGTAATCGTAATTTAGTAAGTAATTACTGCCCAATCTCGAGATGAACTTTGTTATCAAAACTTGTTGAGAAATACTAGACAGCCTATAGGTATGGTAAATTAATTAATGATTCCGACGTGTCCAACGAAGAAGGATGTCTTTAACTCGATTTTTTTTTTTTAACTGATAACTCGTTTTCCGTATTACCGGCAAAAAGGCGCTAACTCAAATCGACCAAGGAGGTTCTGAATAACAAAATAATAAAGGTTTCTACCCACAGATATATATAATAAACTAGATTGCTAACTATAGCGGTAAGAATTGAAGCCGACGATCCGCCATTCTAAGTGGGATTTATGTGTGTTATCAATGCATATTATATATATATATATATATCTGTATATATTATTATATCGATATTATATATAACTGTGATTGTTAAAAACATATATTATTCTCACGTGATAAGGTTCTAATTCCCACCAAGATGGCGGAGAGTGGCTGCTCCAATCTTCTCTATTGGTGGCATGTACAGTTAGCAATCTAGTTAATTATATATATCTGTGTTACTACCTTTTTCGCCGGTAATATAGAAAACGAGTGTTATCAGTTAAAACAATTTTTTTTTTTAAATCAAGTTACGTCCTTCGTGGGATACGTTAATATAGGATATTTTTCGTGATAAACTTAAACCCTGAAAAAAGGGAATTTCCAATAAATTAAATTTTACTTTTCTTGTAGTTTGATTAAGTTATTTTGTTAGAAGTGAGGTTTTCAATTACTTTTCATCTCGGTAGATAGTCGTTGCTTAAAAATTTTACTGATTTCTTTAACTTTCAAGTTATTTAGGTGGCGCGTTTAAGCAAAATACGTATTATATTCCATTCATTAGTTTTTTTTATAAGGTAAATAATGTTTATAGATAAGAAATTAAAATGTAGGTATATTAAGATGTTTTCCTTTTACTATTTTACAAATTTCCATCAATATTTTTCGGTGTACATTAATCGTGTGCTGTTTAGCAAGTTTCGCTCCTTTTGTATCCAACGAGATTACAATTATACTACTAGTCATGCGTATCGTATCAATTTATTTCAATTCCAGTATACTAATATTTATTTTGTTTGTAGAAGAGTATAATTTACTTAGGTTATAATTTACTGAAAAAACTGCATCAAAAAATATACGTTAAATTATTTCGACTTATTTGTGTATTCAGTTGTGTGCAAATGGAAAAATTCCGTTTTATTTTAATATTTTATTTAACACTGGTTATAGAAATATGGTTCTATATGTGAGTTACCCATGGCAACTGGCAGCAAACAAACTGGCACCATTCCACTCTCTTAGTTGACATGCGAACATGCAATCAAACAAAGAGCTTATTTTCATAATGGATGACACTATTTTTTCCACCCTTTTTTTCTTCTGTTAATATTATATAGGTAGCAAATAATAATAATACCCTATGATTTTCATTTATTGGCATGATGAGTATATAGTATATAATATTTATGTATA